TTGGGTTACTTCAAACAACTAAAAAATGTTAAGATTAGTCTTCAAATGCTTACACAAAAATGTGTTGCACTTGCAATTTTATTGATAGCAATTCCTAATTAAAACAATTAACAATTATATGGCCGAGACCCTTTGGACTTATCTAGATAAAACTAAAACTCTTAGTTTAAAACTGTTAATGAAAAAACTTTCCGTAAAGCTTGTACCCAAACGTTAAGTAGTTGGATTAACATTATTTTGCGTAAGAGTCGTATTGATATGAATAAATTCACAGGTTATAGTGTAAGCCGTGCTGTTATATCAGCTGACAATAGAAAAGAATTAAATTACGACATTATTCGGAAGGCTGCGGGTTGGTCAAATAATTCTGTATTTCCGACAAAACGTTCGCAGAAACTGTACTTACTATTATTAGCTGTTCTGTATTTTTTGTAATTTATTTCAATTTATCTTAGATTTGAGGTTTGTTTTCATATATATTTTTTGATATTTTTGTTCAACACAATGCTGAGGTATTGTACGACCAAAAATATTGTGCATTTGTTCCTTTGACGTTTTAAGTATTTTACAGTACCTTAAGCGCAGACCTTCGCAGGACCGTGGTAAAACCCATTCCAATATTTGTATTAACTTGAGATTTTTATTTGAAACGTAAATGGACCGTTTTAAATTTAATTAAGCATTGATGCTGCGGGGTATTCTCGAATAAGTAGAAGCGTTTATTTTAACATCAGGTGATATGTATCGTTCTTAAGAGTTTAATCTAATTTGCAGTATGTTCGTATATATTACAGATGTATTTCATTGTGATCCTTCCAGTAAATATGTATTTATGTACCTGATTCTCGAACTTTGACCCTGCGAGGCTGTTTTCACTGGATAGTTCAAATGGTAAGAGTAAATACCTGTAGTATAGGTAGATAAATTCCTAGGATGGTTCCGGAATGGTTACGGGTAAGAATATGCTCGGCAGGGTGTTCTAGAAGGGGTCACGGTTTTGGAATAATAAACAGTAGGCAAAGTTAATGATAACTAACCGCGACACAGGTCCTCTACTTGTCACCAATATGGGAATCAGTCATCCGAAATGGTGTTTATGCCCTCATTTCGCTCCGCCTCTCTCAAACAATATAAAAGCAGGTACAGAGTAAAATTTGAGCCAGTTTCAGTCAAGCTCTGAAGAAGTCAACAGGATGATTCGCGAAAGGTTAGCTAGTTCGAGTCAACAAAAACCGACGGAGAGAGAGAGAGAGAGATTAAAATATAAGTATTATATAAATTTTACCTTCAAATTCTTATTCAAATTACACTTTCTTTTTCTCTCTCCTCCATTCCCTAGTCGAAATTTTCTTCAGCCCACGGTCTAAACATAACCACACGACACTACTAAAATCAAAATACCTACTTGTATTGATAAACGTTTATAAATTAGCTTTTATTGGTATATATCTCAGTATGTTGAGGATAAAGAACCTTCCATTTATGATGTGCTATACTAAGTTACGGGTTTAGGAACGATCAGATGTTTACGATACCCTAATGGTATTTTGACATTTGTCAGTTCAGATAGATGTACACGTGTTCTATATTCATTACGCAACTTATTGAATACATACGGTTATTAAACACTCGCTCTGCTGCGCTCCGCTCGTATCCAATTCAAACTGGAGACTAAAGTGGCGTTTATCAAATCTATAAACTATTAATTGTTGATATATTGAAGACTAGAGAAAAACTTTTTTTAGCTTTTTTTGTTCGCATAAGCGATTATGTTTTAAAATGTAATTACTTCATAATGGCATTGCAACATAAACACCATTTTATTATTGTAAAAATAATATTTAGACATCTGAAATAAATAACTGAGTTTTTTTAAGCGGCGGCAGCCCTAGAACATAATGTTTATGCCCACAAACTAATTTAAAATAATTTTTTTCTTACACAGGGCGTTTGGTAAAAGGCGGATCAACCTTGGCGAAAATATAGATATTTTCTTAATTGACCGGTGCCCTGAATGTCACTGATACAATACAATACAAAATCCGAATGCGAATTGGAAAACCAGCGTCTTAGCTTCGTCCTTGTTGACTGTTCCGTATGCTAACTATCTATTTCCAACGAAATCCAAAACAGGCCAATAAATACAATAAAAAATTGCAAGAATAAGCTCAACGCCAGCAGCGCATATTCATTCAACGACCTGTTATTAAGACCTAACTGTTCTCTGATATTCCGTACGCGTAGAGATCAAGATATCTCTTTGATTTAACTGGTACCTTATTTTTCAATTAATGAGTAATTGAAGCCAAAGTTCCAGCGCCGCAAGAAGCCGTTATTGTTTAAATTTAAATAAAATCATAACCATGACGTACGTTAACTGCAACTCCTATGAACTCCTATGTGCTCTAACCAAAAAGATCTAGTCAGATTTTAGATCAAAAATAATTTCCAATTTTTGGGCCCGAATGTCAATTTTAAGTCATTTCATTTATTATGTACGGGGCGGCCCGTTCTTTATAGGATGATCCCTTACCTCAAGAATATAAAAAAAAGGGAAGAAAAAAAGTTGCTTATAATTTTAAATTATTATAATGCTATGTGTACATGTTTTAAAATGAATGTCCTGTATATTCAGACATTTGTGAATTCTTCGGAACATTCTAGACATGTTTTGTAAATATAATAACATTACAGTTTTAACATATTTTGAATTTTGCAAAAGCGACGTTTGCATCAATTTCTACGACTGAAAACGTTTTTATATATTTAGGGTTGATTTCTTTATAGAATACTTTAGTGGTATTGATATTGATATTTTAAAAATAAATAAATACAGTGTGGACAAAAACATTACAAATTTTTAAGAAAAAAATCGTTAAAAGACATTTTTCCATATGAAAACACCCAAATTTTTTAATTTTATCATATTTAGAATTTTGAAGAATGGCGACTTTGTATAAGGCTTATTGTTTCAAAAAGTAATAGATTTGGAAATGTGAGCAATAAAACGTTTTTCCACAGTAAAAATGTCCTTAATTGGTCAAAAATTTGCAAAATGAGACAGAAAAAAAACAATCGAGCACAAAGGAAATGGCAATTACTATCTACCGTTGTTTGACATTTTTTATAAATCTTATTAACAGTTGCTTTTGAAAAACGTTTTGTAGACCGGCAATTTTTTTTTATTTAAAATAACCATAACAATAAAAAATGAATAAGTTAAGTGACATAAAAATATCCAACATTGATTTCTAAGCTAAAGTTGCTAATATTTCTAAATTTGCACATAATTTCTTCAAATAGGCAAATTTATACAAAGTCAATCTTTTTTAAAAATCCGAAATACGACAAAATTATAAAAATGGGATATGACCTTTTTCATCAACCTGTAATTAATTATTTTTAAAATATCAACACAGACTACTAAATGAGATGCCCTTATATAAGGAAATTAACTCCAAATATATACGAAAGGCTTTCAGTAAAATTCTAACATATGTAAGAAACGGTAACACAAAAGGATTTAAGTCTGGGGAACGAGCCGACCAATAATAACTCCCATCCCTTCCTATGCAGTGATACAGACTATTTAAAAATGTAGCAAATTTAAGCTGAAATGTGCTACCGCACCATCATGCATGTTATACATGTGTGAACAATTAAATCATTAGATAATAATTTTTTCATTTAATTAGTCTTATTTTATAGTGAAATGAACTGAGCAATGGCAAATAGGAAACGCCTTAAGTAGTGGTGTTGCCCACTGCACACAGATTTTTTTTCTAATAATTTTATTCATTATTGTTTATTGTGTTAAAACTTTAATTTTTTTATCGGGAAACGGTATAAATTTTGCTTAAATTTAGTTAAGAAGAAGATAGGAGTAGTCTAACTAATTCCATCCACTCAAAAAATAATAAAATAGAAAGTGTATTTTTATAATAGTAATTCCGTAGTTGTAATTCTATCTACTATAGTTTTTAAGATAAAAAATAAAAACATTATTTTATGTAACAAACTACCCTTAAATTTAAGCAAGTAATCACCCCCTTAAGTTTTTCGCATTTATTGCGAATTACACTGGATATACCCATCAAAGTACCCATCATATGGGATTTTTTATTATTATTAACTAATTTAATTTTATATTAACTAATAATTTAATTTAATTATTAACTAACTGTTTGTTGTTAATTAAATTGAATTGAGTTGAAATAATCGACTAAACTTTATTTGGTTTTAAAATGTTAAAACTAATTTGAAAATTTTCATTGATATCGAGTGTTTAAGATAAATTTCAAGAAAAACTATTAAAGTATTCAGTATAGTCCGTTTAAGTAGTTTGAGTTTGATTAGTGGAAGTTTTCAAAAAATAACTTTTTAATATATTTTATAAAAAAAAATGATTTATCCATCATTTTTGGTGCTTTTTGATGATTATATAAATAAAAGATTTCCACGTAATAATGAAAATATTTAATTTAATTTTATCCATGTCATACAGATTATTCATAAATCAAAAGTAAATCAGCAAGTTGGTATTCATTAGTTTTCACAATAATTTAAAGTTTTTCGCTTTTTCAGGAAATAAAAATATATTTTCCAAATGTAGTATATATTTTAAGTCTTAATACTCCTGATAAATACATACCGACCAATATTTTTTCAAATGTTAATAAATAAATATTTTGAATTTCCAAGTACAATGCTCATTTTCCTAAAGTTTTTTTAACCAAAGACGATAGCCGTATCAGCGATTTATTTCCGTCACTTGAGTTGTGACGTCACCGATCCCCGACGATGGATTGATTTTAATAGTGATAGTGATATTTATGAAAATATCTGTTGTATCTATCACAACGGTCGAAGAGATATTTCGAGACATGTTTATATTCCAAAAATCAATTTTAATAAGTTTTGGTTAGTTGATCAGTTTGGAGATCCCTCCCTGGCGAAAGTAATATTATTGATGTTTTAACAATAATTATAACGTCACTTACAAAAGTCGTAAAGCGACCGACGCGACACCGCTGCGATGCTACTCATTAATCCGCCGACCGGCCATTACCGAGCGTTTTTTTTATGCTCAAACATTCGGTTTGAAATTGGCGCGCACCCGCGACAATATCTTCAACGCAACGCCCGAGCTTTCTTCAAACTCTTTAATTCGCGGTGGTCTACACGCGACTGCCAGCAAGTTCAACGATGACGGTCTTCGAATCGGAAGAACTCGTCCGGGATAGCACACATGGCGTGTGCGTTCCTGATAAATGATACTTTCACAGGTTTAACGACGAATTATGCAGATATTTAAATTTTTATGTTTTTCAATTATTAGGGAATTGAATTTTGCGTACGTTTTTACCGCTTTTTATTGCAGCGAATTTGAATAAATCCGCAAATCGCGTTGCTGGGAAGGAAAATTGCAACATCTCACACCGGTTCGAAATATGGGAACAACGGAGAAAACCCTTTACCTTAAAAAATTCTTGACCTATCCAGCTTGTGTGAGACTTAATTAATTTAAGATCAAAAATTCATTGCTAACGCTCAATTCATTCCCACATTTACGCACGCAGCATGGAGTTTTAATAGACTGATGGTATTTTTTGAATATGCAAAAAATATGACTAATCTTTTGAGCCAATAAATCAAACCGATCCAGGGTAGTAGTAGGAAAATTGAAACACAAAATCTATGAATACCTGTTGTTACATTGTGTACTATATAATTGCAATTTATCTACATATTAAATAAATTGAATAGGCGCAAAATATGAGTAATCTATTGGTCCAATAAATCAAACCGATCCAGGTAGTCCGGGAGCCCTGGACCTTTTTTCAAAATGATAAGCAACCTTTTCCTCTACGAAAATTGTTGTATCAGTTAGCAAACTATACACGCTGGTATAAAATCATGCCAATTTAGTTACCATACCAAAATGATCAGCAACAGTTTAGTTTTTAGCTAAATCTATACATATTGAAATATATAATTTGAAAATAATTTTGGCCTACAATCAAATAGGTTGTATCTATTATTTATTTATAAAAAAAAATTTTTACTATAGCTCGCTAATAATTTTTATAAACAAATGATCACATTGTCCTACAAATAAACTGGTAGGATTTTTCAGTCCTACACTTTAAAGTTGTTGACCTCACGATAATACGTTATTCATCAGCAACTGTAGGACACCAAGATTAAATGAATCTTTATGACATTTTCTATCTAAATCTAAATGTCCTACATAAAAATAAGTAGATTTCGCTAGGCCGACAAAAAATAAGTTGCAAGTTCGACTCTTGAACATTATTCCTGCTTAACCTCCAAATTACGGTCTAACCTATAAATTTAGTTGAGCGATTAACTTTTTTTTGTTCAAATGAGTTTAATTAAGTTGTTTCACTATTATTTTTTAATTTAAGAAATCAACATTTACTTTTTTTCATTTTTTTTTTCACGCCCGATTTTTGTTTATACTTGTCTTTAATTCATGACAGTATTTGATCGACAAACTTTTCAAAAAGTAAGTGGGTGATTATATGGATGAAGTGAAAGAGGAGAGGATAAATAAATCAATTTTTTTTTCTGTTGACTTTAGTCGATAACAAATAATAGATACTTTTTACACGCAAGATAAATGTCTTTAGTAAATTTTTTTATCGTCTCTCTTTTTTTACGAAAATTAGGTTTATCACGGAGTATATGACAAAGAAAACACTCCATGATCACTTTCACAATTAAATGTAATAAAAGAAAATTAATTAACAAGTGTTGACAAGCCAAGTAAACAAAACTTTTTAATGCACAATGTATGTTGTATGCGTATGCTGGATACTACGTTGGTATGTTACGCGCATGCGCGTTGATGCGAATATATACCGCCGATTTGATATAATATGTGTATGTATACATATACACGTATATTCGAAAATACACGTATGAATATGTAACCACGTTTAAGTTAGGGGCAATTTTCGAAATTTTCCAGTGTAGGACTGAAAAAACTTACCATTTTATTTGTAGGACAAATGTTGTTTTATCTGTTATTATCTGAAAACTTAGTTAAAAAATAAGCTGTTGCTGGTCACTTTTACATAATCAATTTGACATGATTTGATACCTGTTCATTCTTTCAGCTACCTGTTTTGCAAATTTTCGCAAAATAATAAATAGCTGGGCGTCTTATTAAAACGAATCCACTCACAAAAATCTAGGCGGTTGAGGATGGTTTTTAAAAATAGTTTGGTACAACAACTTTAAAGTGTAGGACTGAAAAATCCTACCAGTTTTGTTGTAGGATAATGTAATCATTTGTTTATAAAACCTATTAGCAAGCTACAGTAAAAAATTTAGCGTGTTGCTCATCACTTTTTATAAATAAATAATAGATACAACTTTGAGGGGCCACCCTATACCAAACCTATTTGTTTGTAGGCCAATTTCAATATCTATAGATTTAGCTAAAAACTAAACTGTTGCTGATCATTTTGGTATGGTAACTAAATTGACATGATTTTATACCTGCGTGTATAGTTCGTTACCTGATACAACAATTTTCGTAGAGGAAAAGGTTGGGCGTCTTGATGAAATGAAACGATTTTCAAAGAATTAGCTTGTTGCTTATCATTCTGAAAAAAGGTCCACGGCTCCCGGACTAAGGGTAGTAGTAGGAAAAGTGAAACACAAAATATATGAATATATTCTGTTGCATTGTGTACTGTATAATTGTAATTATAGAAATAATAATTGCATATTAAATAAGTTTGAATCTGTGCTATCACTTTGTCGTTATGAAATTATGCACTTTGAATTCATAACAAAAGTATATTATTATATTATTCCTCTTCTTCTTAAACTCGAGGGCTTTTTGGCGCATTCTTAACATCATCCAAGGACATAATTATTTAACACTATTGTAATTATATAAATAACTACATATTAAAAAAGTTTGAATCGGTGCTATCACTATCATCCAAGGACATAATTGTTTTCCAATTGATATTAATTCACACTAAGTTTAAATACATCAATTACATGGGCGTACATTTTTCGGTTTATATTACTAAGTCTAACTTCTTCAAAATAAAGGCCATGCTGACTAAGGAACCATTGCATTACATCTTTTTTGCTGCTGACGTTGGTAGTGTTTTAGAAAAAGCGTTTTGATATTATCATAAACTATTACGTTGCATGGGATATTTTGAAGAAGAATTTTTTTTACCCAATTTTAAAAAGGTTCACTTGTTATGTACTTATGGTTAATTAATTTCAACATTAAATATATTAAGCGTACCACAAAAAAATACACTTCACCATAACCTTCCAATAGCAATGAGACCGAAAGCAATCCTTCACGTGCCACTGTAGACCTTCCTTACATTCAAAACACCACTAACCACATATCAAAAGAAATATAATGCCAAGACCAGATTTACCACTTGTCCAAAAATCAATCAACATCTTCGATCCGTCAAACAGCATTTCATGCATATGCGGCAATGAATACATTGTAAAGACTGGACGAAAAATATTAACTAGAGTCAAAGAACACGAAAGAGCCTTACGACTAAGACAAATAAACTCATCAGCAGTTGCCGACTATAAACCGGACATAAAACTAAACTTCTTGCATGTAATCAATTCTTATACCAATTGGAGAGGCTATAGAAATCTATAAACAACCAAACAATCTTAACCCCGGCTCAGGTCTTTATCTGTCACGAATATGGGAATCAGTAATCAAACAATAAATAAGCAGGTACAGAGTAAAATGCGAGCCAGTTTTAATCAAGCTCTGAAGACGCCAGCAGGATGATTGGCAAAACGTCATCAAGTTCGACTCAGCAAAAACCGACGCAGGAGGAGTCCAGAAGTTTTGTAAAAAATATAAAAAATATTGTGCTAATTCTTGAAATAGTTACAAAAGGCAATAGCAAAAATTATCTACATAACTTAGAAGATTCAAGTCTCATTTCAGACAATGCTCTGAAGAAGCCAACGTCAACGATAAAGAGTACAAACAAGACGCAGGAGAAATCCAAAAGCAGTGCATCCTCAAGTTTCACAGTTTGCGAAAATATCTTCGACGGTTTCCAGGGCTCGCCTACCATTAAATATGTGCGGTGTAATAGTTGCCTGTCTTCCGATTGAGCAACTCAACGAGGAAGCAGCAAGGGTAAGAAATAAAGATTTTAAAAGATTTGGGTCATTTCATTTCAAAGCTTTAATAAAACCGCTGCAACTTTTGCTTAGGTAAAACTCTTTGTGAATGCACAGCTTCTGTAACAATAAACTTTGATGACTTGCACACAAAAGTTACTGAAATCGTTTAGTGTTCTTGCACGTAAATGCTGTGTTAAATGAATCTACATCCTTTAAATGAATTGTAAATGTGCTTTTGTTAACTAATAACAGTAAACAGGTGCGGGAAGTGTTATCATTTAGTTGAAGGCTGTTTCTTAAGATGCTGCGCGTTCTCGTATTAATGATTGCGGTAAGGTCCTAAACTTCAATCAGCTTAGTGGTGATAACATATTGTTTTTAGGTGAACCACTGCCTTGCATTCCTTGGTAAGTCATCGTAAGTGTGAAAATATGCGTAATATCTAACTAAAGTCATATTATCATAATAATAGAATATTATGCAATAAATATGATTAACGTTATTTTAGTCATGAGCTTTGTTAGGCAACAAATATTCTTTCTACTATTTAGTCTGAAAAACCAAATTGTGCGAACAAATTAAGACAATAAGAACGTTTTTCCGCCCCTGAATCGTGTAGTTGAAAATATAACATAAATTTTCAATTAAAAAAATAGACTCAGTCAAAATGCCTCAAGCAAATGCCGACGTTATCCTAAAACAGGCCTTTCCTAACAAACGTTCATTTTAGAAATGTTTGCTTTCTTTAGAAATAAAAACCAATAATCAATAACAAATTTGTTTTTATATTCTCTTTCTAGCTTGAAAAAAAAAATCGTTTTTGAGTGATCAATTTTCAGGTCAAAACGATTAGAATTTTGAGAGATTTTCAACAAGTCACATCGTATATACATTTATTTATACTGTTTTATTAAGGTGAAAAAATTATCATGCCTATTTTTTGTTGTAAATTTTAAAATTTATAAACATGTTGGTTTGTTGTATATTTCTTCCTGATTGAGACTGGCGGCCTAGTTTCAACTGCAACATTTCCAACATTTACAAATTTTAAAAAATGTAAATTCTTACAATGGAGTTGTTCATTTTAAGGGACTTGGTTTTTCTGTAATCTTTCCTTGTACATTTTCTAGAGCAATATGAAACAGATCAACACCGTCACCGACAAGAGATAAATGACATGGTCGAATTAACCAAAGCCAAACAAATGATCTACAAAATGAAGAACGGTATCGGCGGTGTTACGGTGGTCATACATCGTCCAAGCGGTAAGCCGGCTGTTATGAACCCTGAAAAAGTAGCGAAGCGTTTTTCAGAAAATAGTTAACTTTTTCATCTGTAGCCAGTAGTTGGTTCTCAAACAATCTATATCAATAAAAGAACATACACGGTATTACAATACATATCCCACAGTCACACCACTTGAACAACAGTTATAAAGATTTTGAATGCCGTCGAACTCTTTTATTTGGTCGGTCTGGTTCTTGTTCAATTTTTTCCAGAAGTCTTCTTAAAGTACTCTCTGAAAAAACAAAAGCATATCAGAGGTTTTTATACTCTCAAGATATACTCCAAGACCAACGTTGTTTTTTTTAAGTAGAATAATGTTGAACTTTTAACACTAAACGGCATTCATCTGGATATTGACGCTTTCTAGTACTATTTTAATCTTGCAAAATATTCTTCATAACTGAAGGTTGCTGCCTTCCCAGTAGAATAATTCAATATAAATTAATAAAACCAGAAGGCACGTTTGTATCAACTTAAAGCAAAAGAACCTTAGACCAATAAAAAAGTAATTAACACGGACTTTCATTGATGGTTAATAAAAAAATATATTTTTAAAAAATTGTAAGTGATTATTGAAATGTTGATGAAATAAATCATTTTTAATTCATGATTATTTTTTAGAAAACACATAAATAATTAGAAATAGTAAATAAAACCAAATCTAGAAAATTAGAAGAGGTAGGGCCTAGGCATTTTCAGAAAATGCTACTGGATTTATCTAATTATACAATTAAAGTAGTACAGCATAGTAATTATCCCAGTATACTTTAATAAATTCGGGAGAAATAAATAAAATATGCATGAAATTTGACACAAGATTCAAAAATGGATTTAACAAATGGGGATCTATTTTTAAAAAGGACTTCCGTTTCATTCTATTTCAGGGCACAAATTCATCCACCGCAACAAGTGGATACTGACCTGCAATGGAGAAATTTCTCCCGTGAACGGCCATTGCAACGGCGACGCCCTCGAGTCTCTTACTGCTTTAAAACCTCAGAGGCCAGCAGATTTTTGTTTTGTCAAAAATTTCGCGAGCGCCAATCAAAATTTGTGCCTGTCGACGCACCCCGTGAGGATGTGGTTGGAAAACAACCGAACCAAATGCGAGAGCGTCAGCGGATTGTTTCCGGTTTACGTCGTTAAAATAAACGACTACTTGAGGATGTGCGAAAAGATATCCAGCGACGTCGTATATATTTATTTCAGTAACCCGCGGGATATCGATCACGTGGAAATACCGAATGGTAACGATTACGTGAAATGCGACAACAAAGCCGGCCAGTCCAAAAACGAAAGCCTCAAACACGGCTTTCGGGTTAACGAACCGGGAATATGCGTGTTTACAGAAAACGATAACATGTCGCTAAAACTTTTAGACTTTTTAAAAATGTAGATTAACATAGGTAAAAGAAGTGTCACCAAACCATTGGACCACGGCACTCGATTTTCATTCTCCAAATATATACTAAAAGTGATTTATATGGAATTTTATATGGCAGTCAATTTAATCAAAGTTATTATTGTTATTATCAAAGTTATTTTTAACTAACCCGTCTTTAAAAATAGGGCTTTTTTCAATTTTTCAAAATGCCGACGAAACACTTACCATTGCAACTTGTCTCGAAGTTGAATAACAATGGTTTACTAATATTTCGTTGTTATTGAGTAAAAAGTAAAACATAATCTTATCAGTTTTAAAACACCACATTATTAAATACCAGGATTTTAAATTGGCCGGTTTACCTTTTTTTTTTTCAAATTTCTAGGACGGTACATTTCCCTAACACCTACCAACAGACTATTTTCTACAGAGTGATTTAATAAAACATGTTAAATATCTCAGAAACGGTGAAATGTTGGTATGGGTTTTCTGTAAATTAACAGAAGATTGACACGGCTTTTCACTGATGGTTAAAATCAAAATAATAATTTAAACAAATTGTAAAATGGATTACTCAAATGTTGATGAAATAATAATTATTAGTTATTGTTTCAGAAAACACTAAGTAATTGGAGATAGTAAAACAAAATTCATCGAATGTTCTTCACACTTCACAGTATTATTGTTAGTAACGAAATTAACAAATATGGTTGCATGTTTTAAACATTTATTGAATACAAAGTAAAACAAACTTAAATATTTTAATCACTTAAAAAAGATTAATATAAAAATCGATAAATAGAGTGCACGATACCATTAATTACTACCTAATATCACACCATGCTCAGAGAGCCCGGAGATATATTAATAAAAAAAATAAGAAACTGGGAATGTAAAAAAACTGAACTAGATTTAACATAGCTGCAAAGAAATAAAAGTCAATAAATGAAAAAAAAAAACAAATTGTTAACCTTCTAAATGAATTAATGATCACAAATCAAATCACACTTGGTATAACTGATTCATTGTCAGTAAAACTTAAATCACAATTTTCACAAAACTAATTAACAAAAACCACATCCACATTATTTATCATCAATTCCAGAAGAATAATATCGCTTCTTACGTCAGGGATGACGTTCGCAGGATGGTGGATTAAAGTGGGAGCAAACACGGTTGCCAAATTTAGGGCGTTCATTTTATTTATGGGGGAATGCAAGGCGACCCTAGATAACAAAATTCTTCAATGACATTCTAACAAACCTCTTACTTAAAAGGTTTTTACCTATTTAAGTGCTCAATCACAAATTTAAGGGTGTCATAATGGGGTTTGGGAAGTGACAACAATGCATGCTTAATAGAGGGCAACTGAGATTCCAAGTTGTTGTTTTCTGCAAAAGTCCCTGCATAAAATGCTTTTTTGAGCAATGCAAACTTACGTATTGCATCAATGAGCCTTGGATGGACCTCAAATGTTATCAGAGGCACTGGTAATATCCTCAAATAGAGCTTCAAGGCCCCTGTTATAACATTTATGCTGGGATATCGTTTGACACTTAAATCCGCCTTCTCACCGTCTACAAACAATGATAATAATTAATTTAGAAAACAAATTTCATCTGATTTACCTTTATCGAGCGCCATTTTGATTGCATCTATCTCATCAGCAAAACCACTTAACCTATAAATACCTTCTGTATAAAGACCTCGGGCCTCTACTTCAGTGATGCACTTAGTAACAACAAAAGGGAGCTCTGCCTTATAGGCACTCAACAGTGTCGTCAGTTCTATTCCAAATACACCTCTCAAATATTTCAAATCTGGAACGCAATCATTTGCAAAGTTTTCGGAGCATTTAACTAAAAAAAAATTTCCTTAAATTGAAGATTTGTACAAATAAATATTTCTCACTGTGTGCAATTACTCCACAATCCTCACACTTCTTGCCTTGCAGTGTAAATCCCCATAAGAAGTTTGCACATAATTCACACCAATTCAGTCCTTTGAAAGTAGTAACTTTAAATGTATGCATTTTTTCAGTTTTATCAGGAATGTTTTGCATTGAAGAATGTTGTAAAAGTGGCGAACTTTCGCTGTTTGTACTTCCAAAAACATTTAGGTTTCTTTAATCAACAATAATGTATTATGCAGTATTTTAGAGAGTCACAAACATAGTCTGTTGGAAAGTTATACTTACACAGTATTTTCTTTGGAAAGAGCTTTAAGCTTCCTTTTATTAAGAGTCATGTAGGGACTTTCTTGGTAATTAACAGTGGTCAACTTTTGCAATATAACAGGAGCTTTGAGCTCCAAATACATTGTGATCAATCCATCTGCGACCAGAGATTGTGCACAATCATAACGTTTCTCTCTTATGTAAAGACCAGATTTAGCATCATGGAACAGTTTATAGTGATGAATTTTGTCATTAAATCTTAAACAAAACTTTCAGCATAATACCTAAATTATCCGGTTTGTTACTCACTTGAGGCTTAAAGTATAAAACTGACCATTACCAGATCTACTATCGCGAACTAAATATGCACCATTTGGTTGAGAATGCAACAAATTCGACTCCTCTACATGAGATAGTCTTCCATGGTAATCTTGACCAAAGCAAGGAGGTTTGTAGGGTATAATCTGGTCACATATTATAGGCACTGGCACAGGAGCTTCGAGTTGCATACGATACACTTAAAAAGATCATAAACATAGTCATAAATTTAGTATATGTATGTAGTCATATATTTTAGTATATTAACTACTTACAGTCACTTTTCCAAACTGTATGTATAGGTGACCCGTTTTCAAATACCATTTTTGATTATTTTGAGAGAATATCACATTAAAAAAATAATGGTACGCATAATAATTTGCTTAAATAAAGTGAAAAGTAGATACTATATTAAAAACTTTACGCCTCAAAAAACAAAAATTGTTTACTTCTATTTCTAAAAATATCAAAATCATATGGGCCATAGATCTGGAAAAGTATACATTTAAACCTTTTTTATCTAATCCTAGTTTCAAATTTAATTAAATTCTTGCGGTTTAATGATACGGGAAACATCGATCTTCACAAATTCGCGGAAAAGGCTCAAAACAGAGCAGGATGAGAATGGGAAAATAAAAAATACCGACCAATCAAAGTTGAACTAAAGACTAATCCTCTACATCCAGACGAACGGAAAAGTGGACGGATGAGGTATGACGTCATTGTTCCAAAAATTTGGTGAAATTTACATTATCCTGTAATAGAAATTTACTTATCAAGCAAAATTTATTCATTTATTACATTAACAATTTAAATAATGCAAGAAACTTGCTTCGAAAAGAGTATGCACCGAAATGTCAAGAATTCTCGATGGTAGTCGGCAATGGGCAAATGATTCTAGCGTCATGCCCAACATTTTTTTATAACAATAATTGAGGTGAATTGATTAAACGTCAAAGAATTAAATTTGTAAAAGCGCATTTTAGTTTATTTGAATTGTTTCGAGTCTAGACACAATAATTCAAAACCTTATATGTACCATTACATAATAAAATAATCTTCATAAATAGGAGGACTATCTAAAAATTAGTTCTAACATTTAGGTCTCTGGTCACAACTGTTTCAAAAATGCCTGTTGATATAAAAGAACTTACAGAGGGATGGTTGGAATTAGAAAGTGATCCCGGTTTATTTACACTGCTTTTAGAAGATTTCGGTGTGAAAGGCGTCCAAGTTGAAGAAATTTATGATTTAAATAAACCATTAGATGGTCCTGTTTATGGTTTTATATTTTTGTTTCGATGGGTAGAAGAACGTAGATCGAGAAGAAAAGTAGTTGAACAAACTGAAACTTTTGTAAAAGATGAAGATGTTGTAAACAACATATTTTTTGCTCAGCAAATGGTGCCCAATTCATGTGCTACCCATGCTCTTATATCAATTCTTTTAAACTGTCCAAATATTCATCTGGGAGATACTTTGCAGCATCTCAAAACATACACCCAAGGGATGTCACCAGAAAATAAAGGATGGGCAATTGGAAATACTCCCGAGTTAGCTTGTGCTCACAATTCACATGCAATACCGCAGGCTAAAAGAAGATTTGAGAAAAGCAGTGGAGTTTCTACAGGAAGATTCACAGGGGAAGCTTTTCATTTTGTTAGTTTTGTCCCTAGTGGAGGCAGGCTTTATGAGTTGGATGGCTTGAAGCCATACCCAATAGATCATGGACCGTGTACCAGTCAAAATTGGGCAGACAAATTCAGACATGTAATCCAAGAAAGATTAGGAATCACAGCTGATGAATATAATGAAATTAGGTTTAATTTAATGGCAGTTGTTCCCGATAGAAGATTAGCCATACAGCACAAATTAAAAATGCTTCGAACCAATAAACAAATTGTTCTGGATGCTTTGCAACACCTCCTAAGTATTAAAGACAAGGGAGGTGGTAAAACTGACAACTTAGTTAAATCTCATAATGATGAAGAGGCAGTTTTGCCAATTGAGGAAAGTAAGGATGAAATTAGTACACAGGAAACTGAAATAAAAGCTATTCCTGAAATAAACGAGGGCAAATCTCTGGGTCCACTTGACTATTCTACACCGTTGACAATTCAGACATCTCCAGCTCCAAGTACAAGCACTGATACAAATACTCCTTCAGAGACTGGATCCATTTCAGTTTTAAATTCTCCAACATACAGCTGTAATTGGTCAGGAAATGTACAAGGTAAGATTTACAAAAATGTATTTCGTTACTGGATAAGGTACAGTTGTAGAGGAAAAACCTAGCGAGAAATTGGATAGTTCACCTTCTACAACAGAGGAAGAAAAAAAATCATTAAATCAGGGCAAAACCAAACCTAGTGAAGGCGATTCTTCTGGTGTTGAAAAAAGGAGCCAGGATATTCTTGAACCTCATACATTCGCACCAAAGGACTTACTTGCCCTATTACGAAATTTGGAAAATGAGATTTGCTTATGTGAAATGAATTTGAGTGATGAAAATGACAAGCAAAACAAATACAAGGTTAGAAATGATCTATCTTTTGCTTAATTTAGGCTTAGATTTAAATTTTTAGATCGATGACTCTCGTAGGACTCACAACTATGATGAGTTTATATGTACATTCCTGTCGATGCTTGCTGAACAAGGGAAACTGGCCGACTTAGTAGAGAAAAACTTAGTTATGCCGAAGAGGCCCAGTTCTGGAGCTCCGGCACCTAAAAACGCTAAAACTGCCAAAAAAGAAGGTCTCAGTCCTTCGAAGAAGAAGAAAAAGGGCAGGTCGAAAGTTAGGAGAAAAAGATGAAGCTTTTATATTTTTCAACTGCTGTATATATTAGATATGGATTTAATAAATTAATGTAAAAGTTATTGTAAAAAGCATCGTGTGGGTAGTCTTGACTGCATTTAAATGTGAAAAAAAAAGTGAACAAGCTTAGTTACTAGAAAATCTGTAAGTGAAAGAAGCCAGGTGATGTTAAGAGCGCTTAAGCAGGAAAATTGAAAACTATTATCAAACAAGCCAATAAACAATTTCTTCAAAAAAACTATTTCAATGTATGCTAAATTAACCTTAAATATACGATAATTGCTCCGAAATTAGTGTCAGAGAATACAATAATTAATATATACCGGGTGTACCAGCAAGGGCAACGGAATGTCTTGGAAATTAAAAAATATATATATTAGGCAAATCGGCGAAGAGAAAGTGCTGGAAATTATTTTCAAGTTTTTAAAATATCCACCACAGGGTATAGATGCCATCTCAAATGTTGAAACTCTACTTCTACAAAAATTTTTGAACGTTAAAGCCGAAATAATTCAAATCTTTTAGGTTTAACGCCGTGGGCAAAGAAGATGGTGTCGAATTCGAACAGTTTCTTAAGTAAATGTCCATATTTCCAAAAACGTGTAACGCATTTTAATAAACTTGGTGCTATCGACAGATTTTTCTAGACCGTCATTCTTACAATGTGTAATCCAATTGCAATTTCTGACCTTGCCACCAGGTGGCATTGTCTGACAATCGCAAAAAAATTATTTTTTCGGAAAAAGGATAATTACAACGATGTTGCTTTTTTATATCATGCGACACTCAAATAAGGGCTCAATAATCAGAAAAATCGCATCTCAATATCTTTATCCTAACCTAAAATGTGAATAAGAGAATTGAACTGAGTTGCTATGAATATCTAATTATTTATACCAAATAAAATGCTAATTTATTAATTAGGGTGCCAAATGATTTTTAAAATCAAAATAAAAAGCTATTATTTTTTGTACAGGTATAGACATATAGCTATTAGATAATATACGGTAAAAATTGATTGCGCTGCAGGCGGCATTGATATTTTCATAGCGAAGGAAGTTTGCCATTTTCTTTCTAAACAGCGATTTCCACACACTTACTCTTGCTCCCAGAATATTTAACGAAATGTAGGCATATTTTGAGAAAGTACTGCTGTAAAAATGGTTGTTGAATACCGCAAGGTAAATGATTAAAAATGATATTATAAATCTGGCACTCGCGCATGTTGAATGGACCTCCTCAATTGTTTTTTCATAAGTTCATGTATTTTCGGCATAGACATTGCCTTTATATCTCTAGTATCTCATATAGCTACTAGATATATAGGGGCCCTGTCTATGCTGACAGTACAGGAACTCATGAAGTAACTATGTAATTTTTTTGAGAAGGTCCACACAAAGTGCGCATGCGCGAGATTTAAAGTTTCGTTTTTAACCAATAGCAGCTTTAATGATAAATTCTGACGTAGCACCCATAAGACCTGTTGAGAGTTGTGGTCAACGATTTATGTTTTTACCTTTTTAAGAAAACACAACGAAACTTGCTTTTTATTACTTCCACCATTTTACCAACTCTTCCAGCTTCTTCCGTTCTTAACCTAACGAAACGCTACGTTGCCATGTTATATGTTGCCGATTATTAACCTATTTCTCAACAAGATCTTGCAGCTTTCAACAAACAGCATGGCCGAGAAGCACCTCCTGTAGACAGAAATACCCTTTTCTTATTTTTATTCTAGTAACAATTGAACTTGTAGCTTAATTGCTTTCTTATATTTCCTGTAATTCTTGTACACTAAAATATATTACCCAAACATCCTTCGTAGCTATTTAACTGTACCTAAAAATGTAGGTGATTCTGTTTTGTAAATTCACATGTAAATATTTATCTAAGTCTATTTTCCAGTTTGTTAAATGTCAAATATAATATTAATTAATAATACTATTAAAAATATTAAGTTCAGTAAAAACATATGCACACACGAACACAACTTAAGAACCAATTAGAAAATTTTTGTTCTGAAAAGCATAAACTCTTTAAACGTTATTTTTGCTATCAGGCATTCTAGATATGCAATTCTGTATCTTATTTATGAAAAAATAAAATGTCTTGGATTAAAAACAAAAAGTTTAAGCAATTGGTGTCAGATCACTATTATGTCTTTTTTACTTAGGTGTACAAATTTGATTTTATTTAGTTATAAGAGATTAAAACATATGATAAATGTGTTCAAATTTATTGTTATTTCTGTTTACATATACTTGCTTTTTCTTATTATTTTTTCCCCTACTTGGGATTTAATCCAAAATGTTGCACACGTTGGTCAGCTGATTTTCGGAATATTATAGTAATTTAAACTATTGATAAAAAATAAAGATCTATTTATTTATTTAATAATTTTTGCACAACAAATGATTTTGACCATTTTTTGGTCCAATCGATCACGGATATTTAATTAATCGCGAAAATAACGTGGCCAAATTTCAGTTTGCTCGTTTCAAAAGGAACAGAATTTAAAAATTTGAGATTTTTTGTGGTTCCATTCGGACAGGTACCGAACTCGCACCGATTTAATCTAGACGTCGCCGTCGCATCCAACGATCGATCGCGCTATTTTTGGCACTGCGTACTCGCAAAAAATATATTGATATTTTCAAAATTTTTTTGTCGCATAAGGAAGATTATTATTTCGGCGTTGTATATTTTTTGTTTAGCATTTAATTGTCGCATTCTTTAAATATTCTCTCAAATACTCTAATTTAAATATTAGCTCGTTAATCAAAAAATTTACACGCCACTCTACTCTCGCTCTCTCCCCCCGTCCCCCCGTCAATCCGGTGTTTGCAAGCATTTATATAGGAGTGCCTAATGTCCACTACTAACTAAAATATTTTAAATTTATTTATTTATTGATTAGTTCAAATAATTTTATTAACAAATGTGTTGCAGGAACACAGTCAGTTGCTTTAACGAACATTGATTCTAGCCCTGATGGTAGAGATTCTTCAGTTCTTCTAGCTACCGCTCAAATCAAAGTTTTAGACTCGCTTGGTTACTACAGACCTGTTCGAGCTTTACTTGATCGTGGCAGTCAAGTGAACTTTATAACATCTAAATGTTCTAATAGGCTTGGACTTACTCGAAAGCCTCTCTCACTTTTTGTAAAAGGCTTAGGAAATACCACCTCGAACGTTTCTCAAGAGGTTACTTGCACGTTTATCCCTCGAATGTCCAGTGAACCCCGAATAACCCTTGATTTTGCAGTTATACCCCAAATTTGTGATAACATGCCCAGCTCTGATTTACCGGATGTTAGCTTTAGTAAATTTTCCCACTTAGACCTTGCCGATGATAAATTTAATATTTCAAGTCCCATTGACATGCTTCTTGGTTGCGATGCATTTGGATTTCTCTTTAAGGAAGGCTCTATTTCTTACTCTATCAATGAACCTGTGGCTATTAATACACATCTGGGTTGGATTATTACAGGTCGAGTACCAACATCACCACCAACTCTCTCAAACAATACCCTTTGTTGCACCTCTACACTTTCACTCGAAGAGGTTGTTAATAAATTCTGGCATCTTGAACAGATTCCTCAAATAAACGCCCACTCCCTTGAAGATCTGGCTGCAGAAAAAATCTTCGTTGAAACTTACTCTCGAGTTAATACTGGTCGATACATTCTTCATCTCCCGTTTAAATTCTCTTCTCTACCGGTATTCGATCATTCAAGAGACATTGCCTTACGTAGGTTTTATTCACTTGAACGACGACTCTTGCATAATCCAGAACTCCGCAAAGAATATAACCTATTCATGCAAGATTATTTGTATTCCGGTCATATGGAACTTGTTAAACCTTTGCCACATACTAATCATCAATACTATATACCTCACCATTGTATACTTAGACCTGAAAGTGTAACTACTAAACTTCGCGTTGTCTTTGACGCTTCGGCAAAGGCGGCTAATAACTTATCTCTTAACGACTGTTTCCTAGTTGGACCCAAACTTCAACAAGATATATTCTCTCTACTCCTCCAATTTCGCACTCACTCTGTCGTTATTAAAGCAGATGTTTAGGCAGATACTGATGTCGGAACCTCACAGAGATTATCAGCGGATTGTCTTCAGATTCTCCAAAGACGATCCTATTCAAGATTATAGGCTTAATACTGTCACTTACGGAATCTCTTCCTCCCCCTTTCATGCCATTAGAACTTTAATCTAATTGGCTCAGGACCACGAAGATGAATTTCCTCGAGCTTCAAAGGTTATAAAAACCAACGTTTATGTTGATGACATATTGTCAGGTGCTGATTCTGTCGAAGCAGCTTTGAGCCTTCAAAAGGAATTGATCGATCTCCTTGCATTAGGGGGTTTTCAACTCCGGAAATGGGTTCTTATTTCCAATTTAGATAAATCGCTCTCCCAAGTTCCGGTTTCGCTAGACAAAGAAAGTGATCAAACTATTAAAATTTTGGGTCTGCAATGGTGTCCCACCTCAGATACATTTACTTATAAAATTGATCCCAGACAGCATGCATGTACTAAACGTAACTTACTGTCCGATTTGGCACGAATATTCGATCCTCTCGGGTTCTTAGCTCCCGTTACTGTCTTTATCAAATTACTAATTCAAAAACTATGGTCTTCTGGAATAGAATGGGACGAACTGGCTCCAGAGTCGGTGTCGTCCGCTTGGGCCTTATACAAGGAGAATCTGCCACTCTTGTCCTCTTTATCTATTCCTCGAGAGGTTACCTTCGATGACATGAAATTCTGCGAATTACATGGATTCTGTGATAGTTCTGAAAGTGCCTACGCCGCTGTAATTTATGTACGAGCGGTGCTAGGTAACCAAGCAAGAACTTTCTTCTTGTGTGCCAAATCAAGAATAGCCCCACTCAAGAAAATTTCAATTCCTCGTTTAGAGCTATGCTCGGCTGTACTCTTAGCAGATTTAATCGAAATTGTGATGCAGTCGTATCGAAATATGTTACCCATCAGCTCAGTCTTCGCATGGTCTGATTCAATTGTTACGCTTTCGTGGATTCAATCTTCACCCCATAAGTGGGCAACATTTGTTAGCAACAGGGTTACCCATATTCAGGAAAACGTATCTCCTAGTCAATGGTCTCATGTGTCTACACAAGAAAATCCTGCTGACTGTGCTACCCGCGGCATTGTACCCTGCGAATTACTCACTTAGAAAAATGGTGGGCGGGGCCGTCATTCCTAACTTCCCATTGTGACCCTTGGTCAAACGAGTCTCTAAAGATCAACGAAGTGACATTAGAAAGACGAAAGACGACTCTTACTATTTCGACTACAGAGAGATGTTGCTGGGATAACCTAATAGACCGGTTCTCATCTTTATTAAAATTGAATCGCATTTTCACTTACATAATGCGCTTCATCTCAAAGACTAAAAATCCAACGCTGTTGCTAAATGAATGTTTTTCTCTATCTGAACTCGACCAAGCCCTCTTTATTTATTATTATTTATTATAACAAGGAAATAACTGCACTCTCTAAAAAAGACTCGTATAATTTGAAGTCCTTCCCGAAATATTTTCGCAAGCTCACTCCCTTTCTTGACCAAGATGGTATTCTCAGGGTGGGCGGACGTTTACATCACTCTTCTATTCCATATAGTAATAAACACCAGTGTTTACTTCCATGTGATCATAGGCTGACTCGTCTGATCGTGGAGCATACACATGTTAAGTACTTACACGTTGGGCTACAAACTACCCAATATTTACTTAGCCAAAGATATTGGATCCCGTCCTCTAAAAGAGTGATACGAAAGGTCATCTCTTCTTGCGTTCGTTGTTTTAAAAGTAACCCCTGTTCTTCTCCTCCGGTAATGGGTAACTTACCTGCAGTGCGAGTAAATGAAATAAAATGCTTCACCAAATGTGGGGTTGATTTCGGTGGTCCATTCCAAGTAACGATGGGCAAAATGCGAAGCTCGAAAAGTTATAAGGCTTATATTTGTCTTTTCGTATGCTTGGCCACCAAGGCTCTGCATTTAGAACTCGCTACTGAATTGTCTACCGATGCATTCCTTGCGGCGTTAAGACGGTTTATTTCTCTGCGTGGTCTTGTCACGGACATCTACAGTGATTGTGGCACTAATTTTATTGGAGCCGCCAAACAACTCGCTCAAAAGATGCATAATGCTTCCACACGAGAAGGCATAAAGTGGCACTTTAACCCTCCTTCGGCGCCAACTTTTGGTGGAATTTGGGAGAGTAACATCAAGTCAGTGAAGAGTTCATCACAGTTCTGACCGCAATTGAAGCGATTCTAAATTCTAGGCCATTGTGCCCTGTTAGTTCCGACCCTAACGATCTAAGCGTTCTAACTCCTAGTCATTTTCTAAATCTTCAACCTCTTAACACATTTATTGAATCAGATTTAACCGAAGTTAAATTGGGAAGACTCTCGCGTTGGCAGTTATTACAGCGCATGCATCAGGATTTTTGGAAAAGGTGGCATCGTGAGTATCTTCACACCCTTAACCAAAAATCCAAGTGGTATGATCCCTCCACTGATATTAAAATTGACACCCTGGTGTTAATTAAAGAAAATCTCTCTCCTCTATTGGCTTGGCATTTGGGGCGCGTAACAGAAGTCCATCCGGGTACGGACGGAGTGGTGAGAGTAGTCTCTATTAAGACGGCAAAGGGTATTCTCAAACGCCCAGTTTTAAAGGTTTGTCCTTTGCCAATATATTAGTTATTAATGTTTTCCAATATATTAATTTTTAATTTTAAGCTTAGAATTCGCGTGGGTATCTGAATTGTTATTACGGTTTTTGTTAATTATTTTCTTTTTTTTTGGATTCATTAATAAAATGTTGCCATTTTAGGTGGGCGGTATGTTCCGTCCAGTCGGAATTGTTTTGTTTTATTTTTCCTCTTTAATTTTTGTAATTGGAGAATTTTTATATCGAGCAAATTGAAAATGGTTTTCTTTTAATTAATTGCTGCGGTTATATTCTCCGCGTATTTTGGTGACAATCTCACTGGGTATATGGCCAGAAAAACTCGTATGTCGCTTGGATGTCGTACCCCGCTGTGATCGGGACTAGTACGACTCAGGCAGAGACCAACGTGAGAGCATTTTCCGCGTGCCAGAATTAATATCTCGAGTGCCGTCAAGTATTGCGAAATTGTGCCGGTCAACAGCCAGAGCTACATCAAGGTAGGCCAAGAAGAAAAGAGATTGTCATTTTTCGTCTCGTTACATCAATATATTATTTTTTGAATCGCCCCGTTATTTCTAGCTTCAATTAAACAAAAAATTACAGTCCACTGCTCTTTCTCGTCCAAATGAAATATACCCGCATTAAAGTTTTCCATAGCTTAAAAATAGCGCAATACTTGACAATCTGCCCTAATGCCGCTTATTGTTGTCAATTATGAGTCATTGTTTTTTTTTATTTTGACTGGAGGAACATGGTACTGAGAGAAGTTTTAAGATGCATTTAGCAATTCAGAATGTAGGAGACATTTTCCAAGTCTCCTAGCACTTGCAAAAATTTGGCCACCATTGATTTAAAATGCAGCAAATAAAACTCTGTTAGTAACAAAGTCGGTATATATAATAAAAAAATTAATATACACAATAAAATTTTATAAAGTCTACGAGAAAAAATCAAGTTTGGTTCACATTGAGTTTATTATAAAATGATCATTTAGACTTTCATTAGGTACCCCTAACGTTAACTATTTACAAGTAAGTACACAACACTTGGTACATTTGATGACATGCAATGATTCTAAAACAGTGGCGTAGATAGGCACGATAACTCAGTTGTTTTATTAATTGACCTTAGTCTATAAATTTTGGCAATTTTCTTCCAACATTTTTTAAAAACAATACACTACCGCGGACCCAAACGTTCCGCTGCCTACGCCACTGCAAACGACAAAAATAAATTTAGCGACGAATCTAACCTGCGACTACATAAAATTTGATAAATAACGTTTATTTAAAGAGGTCTTTAATTTACTTCCTTCTGCTGTTATATTCCTTAAAATTTTCCATCCAACCGTAATCAGAGTCCTTCGAAGGCATTCGTTCTCCCCCATTGCCGCTAAAAAACTCGTCGTCGAAGGGATCATCTTCCATCGAGAATATGTTCACCGATTCGGACTTTTTCAAATTGGCGTTAGTTCTGGCAGCAGATAACCGATGGCGAACATTCTTTCTTCCCTGCGCTATAACTTTATGCGTCGTCGAACTGAACCGATCCTCATCCTCCTCTTCCTCTTCCTCCTCCTCCTGGATATCAGTCTCTTCTTTAATACTGGAGATTCCGTTGCCTTCTGATGCTCGTTCGCTAGGCGAAAAATCGTCCTCGAAGGGACTCCGGGGCTTCGGCTGTGACCGCGGCGACACCTTGTGCTCCTTCGTGGTACTCTGCTTATCTTTCGTCTCGTCCGCCGTGTTGTCGAACGTGCTGGATTTTAAGCCTGCGAACAAAACACAAACAGAAGTGTAAATGACATCCAATAATTTACGACGTATTTTTTTTATTGCATAAATTGGAAATGCAGTAGAATACTTTAGTAGCGACCCTGATGGAATCAAATATAGGAGGAGCGTTCGCTTAAAAGGAAAACAAAGAAATTGAATCAACCGCTGGTATTTCACATTATTTATTTATTCATAATTTTTATAACCTGTAATGCTTATCAGCAAATTTTAAATACAAAAGTTCTTTGTATTTAAGAAAATATTTAGATTATTCACTTTTGTTATATATTATATGGAATTTTAAATGGAACACATTATAATTTGATTCCGTTTTAGGATTTAGTGGTAAAAACAAGGGTAACTTGTATCAGACCGACCTATGTTATTTCCGTGTGTGAGTTGTTACTGAAAAATTAGCAAATTAAGATAAACCTGCAAAATAGATATTAGGCTAACTAGTAAGATTTGCAATGAATTTAATGAATTTTCGTGATTTTCAAGTCTAAAATTATTTTGAGTATCTTTTTTAAATGAGTTTCGAAATTTGTAAACACCACAATATTTTTTTTATAATTGCACATTCTGTATATTATACCTTTAGTAGAACGCACATAAAACATTTTCTTTGCTTCTATATATAGTGTTTTTGGAATTATTATTATTACTATTTAAAAAATAATGGAACACGCTGAGTATTGCATTCCTGAAAAAAAAAAACTAACTTAAAAATGATTATCGAAGACAAAAAACTATAACAATATCGTAAACTTAATAAAATGCTTTTATTATGAATAATTATTATAAATATGCAGAAAATGGATACATTTTATCAAATTGAAATACACTGTATAATACTGTAAAAATATAGGTAGTATGGGTTGCCTCCGGCAAAATGAATTTCGTTAAGAATTATAAAATCATAAATCATTAACATCTACACCGATTTAGCAAAGCATTTAATAAAATTTAATTTTCTTTCCTTTGAAAATCGCAGACCTTCAAATTATATAAAATAACACAACAAATAAATTGTCCAGAGGTATTGTTTAAAATCAATTGAAAACTTAAGAAATTGAAACTTTTGTGTTTAATACAAGAAGAACAAGAAGACAAAGACAAAAAGACAAAGAAGAACAAATTTTACTATAAGTCTGCAACGTTAAAAAAAAACTATTTTTCAATATTACCTGTAATATTAGTTTTCATTTTAGTTTTTAAGTTTAGTTTATTATACAAGGATAACGAATTTACATTTTGTACAGCGGTAAGACATTTATTTATATTGTACCTTTGTCCCGTTTGTGTTCTTTAAACTTCATCTATAATATATCGCCGCTCCGACAGTACAGTAACCGAATATATTATGTAAATTCTTCCCAATAACATTAAGACTTTCCGCGCACACTCACCTTTTAAACTTTTGCTGACCGTTGATCTCGTCTCCGAGACCTCGAACTCTACCTCAAAACCAAACTTCTCTCCCTCCCACTCGACGGGACTATCCTTTGTGGGCTCAAAGTCGGCCACAAACATCGACTTTGTTCTGTCACAGCCTTTTCTTGGGTACGGACCAGGAGTGCTATCTTTTGTCTTCTTCTTATTTATAGAAGGCGGTTTCTTCTCGGTCTCCTGACCCGAAAACTTTTTGCTTTCTTTATAGTCGGCGTCCATCGTCCGCGAGTGGGCGTGTTGCTTGCTCCGGTACTGGCTCCGTATTGAGGCCGCGTCCGGCTTGTGGCGATGATGACCATCGCCGTATTGTGAATCACGGCTACGCGAGCGCCTGGTGCCTTTGAATCGCCTGTCTTTCTCGCCGTCACTTCCACCTACAATTACTGACAGTTATCGATGGTACAAGTGTTATTTATTATAAATGGTACCCCCTATAACTCTTTCGTTTTACAAGTTGCATTCGAAAACATGAACAGGTTCAGAAATGCTTCCGTTTTTAGCTACAAGATGTTGAAATTCTAAGAAAAAAACTTTTTTTTTAAATATAACTTTCCACCACCTAGAAACTTTTTGATGCGATTTTTTAAAAAAATTTTAAAGAAACTTTCACAGGCTGTGATACTATTTACAAATCTTCTGGATTCTTCCTGCTTGGGTTGTTGATTAATCGAACTTGCTGGCATTTCGCCAATCAGAAACTGTTTCTGAAAAAGCCCGTAGGATGATTGGCGAAACGTCAGCAAGTTCTATTTTTCAACGACCAACGCATAAGGAATCCAGAAGATTTGTAAATAGATTTTTTTTGATTTAACAGTGACATCCGGCTGCTTTTTCAGAACAACGCACCGTTTTCACATAAAAAGATAAAAAGCCATTTTAATGCATGGAGTGTTTGCAAGGAGACCCCATGCAGGAAGACGTCGTTTAGTAACGCTACAAGAAGGAACTATCTTGAATTTAATTGAAGAAAACGCCGAAACAAGCCTAACATGCATTTCAGTGCAACTGGGAATTCCTAGAACACGAATTTATAGGTTGTAAAGCAACAGCTAATGAAGCCTTTTTGATTTCAAAAAGTTTAGACACTTAAATCAGCTGATTTGCTTAGCAGAAGAAATTTCAGCAACTACAAGAACGAATCTTTGCGGTTCTCGAGGAAATTAAACCGATGGTTAACATTAGTCAGAAAATACAAGATTTTGTGTTAATGTGGTGGAACACTTTGAACGCGTTTTACAGAATTGACTTGTACTAATTTTACGTTTTGGTTGAAAAACAGTTAAGAGATCAAATTAGTTCCACCCTGAATGAGGATTTGAAAACTAAATCTTAGGAAAAAGCAGTGATGCACGCACGCATATTCTATACAAATCTGGTATGCACGTCACTGATAAATTTTTAACAAATATTTCGCATCAAAAAATGTCTTTTGCTGCTTGAAAGCAGTGTACTAAATGTCAATGTGTGATTTGAAAATTATGACAAAAGAATACTTTTTTCTTAGAATTTCAACACCCTATATCTAAGACAAACGTTAATGCCAATATGCCAAAACTAACCAAAATTTGGTGCATTAATTTGGAAACCCTGTGTAGCTCGATAAAAATTTTTACACATGAACTCAAATGTCTTAAAAACTAAGCAAAATTCGACTATACTAAGTTAGGCCAATTTTAGATAAATTGAAAACTTAAAAAAATCTATAGCAGATCTTATTACAAAATTTGAAAATAAAAACAATGAGAAATTTTTCAGTTTCGGTCAGAATACAGTTTGTGTTTTTTGTAATTTGTGTTATAAATTTTAATTAAAAGGTCAAACTCACGCTATAGGAGCTAATATTAAATCTGAAAATTTTGATAAATATGACATGCTAGTTTGTTATATCGAAGATGAAGCTCTAGAAGTTATTTTTTTCTATGGAAAACTATTTATAATCATGTATTACTTATAGATATGTAGAAAAAAGAGCCGGATAAAACCATTTTTGTAAGATTAAAACCAAATTTAATTCAAGATTCAAATTTCACCTGGTTCAAAACTTACATTATGACGACAGACAGCGCCGAATAGAATTTTGTGGTTGAGGTGTACATATATTATATTATGTTATTACATGATCTGACGAAGCTTGTTACTTTCGAAAATCGATGGAATCGAATTTTTCGAAAATATCTGCGCTCGTATAAAAATTTTATATCTCGGTAACGGTAGGTCCTATGGAATTACCGTTGGTACAAAAATGATCACCGTCGAAAAAAAATTTTTTTTTCTGTTTGTACCGTTCTCCGTTCTCGTCCTCTGGTTGTTCCTGAATAACTTTCGAACCGTTGGAGCTACAAAATTGAAATTTGCCTCCCTTTTAACCCTCCCGGGGCACATCAGCTTATAAGAAATGGCCCTGATTTGACGCCGGTATCCATTTTTTTTCCCGATTTTCGACTGTTTTTTGGAGCTTGCTATGAAACACGAGAAGTGTCCGAAATTTGAAGCAATCAAAGTGACGGAACCTATTGAAAATAGGGGTGCTGGGGGGTCGGGAAGTATTCTAAAGAAAATCGCGCGTGCAAGGATCTACAAAAAACATCCATTTTTCAAAAACTGTTTACGATTCTTGAACCAGAAGAAGCAGAAGATACGGCTCTTTAAACTTTTATTCTTAACAATTTTTCAAAAATATACAGGGTGCGCCGCAAATTCAAAAAAACTGAAAAATGGGTCCCCCTATTATTGACAATTGGCAAGAATTTAAAATCTGTGTTTTAGTTGTGAGTTTCTTTTACATGGCGATATAGCCTATATAGATAGGTAAAACTTTCGTATTTAAGGTTTTTAAGTATTGTACAGGGTGTTCGCGATATTCCGCGCAATATTAAAAAACATATGTGCCCCAAAGTTGCAGCGACCGACTTCAGACTTGGGAGAGAAGTAGGAGTCTGGACCCACATTTAGACTCTTTAAATTGGGAGTAATAAAATAACGCGAAGTATTTTTGATTTTTTGTTTTTAGTCATTTTGGCATCGAGAAAAACATCTTTTCTTACAAAAACCATTCTTCTGATCGGAAAAATTTTACAACCATAATACGTTGGAGATTCGGCGCTATAACTTTTGTTTCACGCATTTTTTCCATTATATACAAGTTATGGACAAAAACTAAAATGAATGTTTATTTAGAGTAAATTATTAACCAAATCAAAATTTCTACAAAAAATAGGTCATCCGTTTAAACAGTGTTATGGGCCGTATCAAGGGCTACAATTTTTGTATTTACGGTTTTCGTCTATCACATAGTCTGTTCGTGATATTTCAAAAATCCCAATGAAAATCACCATTTCTCGCCCTCAATCTAGGCGCGATGACGTCATTTACTATTACCACGTATGCATGGTTTCAGAAAACAAGTAGTTTCTTGCAAATTATTTACTCCATTGGAAAAATTCGGATACCATGAAACTAAGAAGATCCAGGGCTATAGTCTCTATTTCGAACATTGTTGGAATTATATACAGGGTACGTCGTTTGTGGCTAATAGATCCAAGAAATTTCCGGTTTTGTGGGTGAATTATTGGCGATAAATTAAAAAACTTTTAAAGATGTGGTAATTTGATATAAACAGAATCGTAAACTGTGTCGAGAGAGAGTATAGTCTATAATATAGGGGGCGCGAGATATTTGAAAAAATATAATTCGACAACGCTATTATTTGTACAAATTTTAATATTTACCGTAGTTTGCCGTAACTTTGAAGTTCAAAGAGATGGAAGGATACTTTATACAGGGTGTATTCATAATAAAATGACATTGATTTTGCGAAAGTTCCATAGTGGTCCGCAACAGCACGATAGAAAAACAATGCATCCCTCTAGGACCAGAATAAGTGAAGCGCCTACTTTTTAAAATAAAAAGCTAATTTGCGCTACTTGCGACGAACTTGCCCCGCCCAGTGACGATTTTTCGAAAGCAATCTTGTTTCACGAGTGCTGGTATATTGAATCAACACATTCAAAATTTTGGTGTAAAGAAGATAAGCATGTAAGACCACTGAATTGTGCGTAAAAAAAACGGCAACAAACCCACTTTTTACTTTTCTAATAAGATTTAGAACAAAAGACATATAGGGAGGATCCCAAAATGCACAGCTTGTATCAGAAAAATTAAAAGGGTCAGGAGAATTCTGTTTGCGGCACTTTGTGTTTCTCGAAAAAACACAGTATCGTGAAAACCGCATCCTTCTTTCTTTAGTAATAAGACCCCAGGTGGCTTTAAGACAGGAAATCGGAAAAACCCTAACCGGCTCCTAAGTAAGCTCTGCTCTTGTTCTCGCCCGATTTCCTTTCCATTTCGGAAGCGCTGCTTGGCCTTTGCTTCCAGTTTCGTTTTGTCGGCAAGTAGTGCCGAGAATGGGATTCTGCCGGCTCGTTAAAGTACTCATCCTCCCATGGCGATTCTTGCGATTCCCTTTTGTCCCGGAATCTTTCGTCGTGGCGCTCCCTCCTATCTACTGCCGGTTTTCTACTACCAACGTATCGTCTCGATTTATCTGAAAGGGTATCGGTTTACATTCCCGTGCGGGCGGACAAAATTTGCACTTTCCTAACCTAAATTAATATCACGTTCATTCCGTTTCCAGTCTACACAACACCACCGCTCCTTCGGATCAATCGACTCCTTTGTGCCGTCCCGTCGTTTTCTGTACCGGCGATCGGCGTTCCAGTTCGCGACCCATCTGGCGTTTTCCGAGTCCCTGCTGATGTGCCTCTCGGATTCTTTGGAACCGCTCCGTTCAAAATAACGTCGACCTGACCGATGCTCTTCGTCGTACCTATAATTTGAATTTTTGTTTGGAAAACCGAACAAGTTTGTTTTTTCTGCGGGTCAAGAACAATAATCACTTTACTTAGCACTAAGATAGCCAGACTTCTTGGTATGAATTAGTAAATTAGCGTCACAAACATGGTGTTGCGACGATAGAACCCTATGATCCTTATTTTTAGGGAACGTTGCAGAATAGCCACATCTACTCAAAGGTACCAATTTAATTTTATAAATGGAGTGCTCTGTATATTATTTTCATTCTCAGATTCTATAAAAAGTTCTTAAACTTTCTGTGTAACATATAAGTAGAATTCCTCAAAAGGGACCTCCCTCGTGGAATCAAATATTGATAAGAGAGGTGGTCACTTAAAACGAAAACACAAAAATAAAATTATTTTATGTGATTTATTTTATAACTAAATGTTGATTTTTCAAAGAAAGTAAATACAATACAAATAAACTCATCAGCAATTGCTGAACACAACCATGAAATAGGACATGGAAGTCCACAATATCTATGTTCCACTCAAATCCAGCTTTTAAAAAAAGCACTGCGTTATTGATTTCGGTGAAAAACATCGCTATGCTGGCAAAAACCATATTAAAGCGTTGGTTTTTCAATATTGTCGAGTAAATAACCGCTATAGACGTATGTTAAAAGTCTCTTAATAATATTGTGAATAATGCCTTCGTCTAAAAGTTGGCAATTTGAGGGGGTGTTTAGTAGGAGAAAAATAAGTTTCCAATTATCCACGACAATTTTAAAATGCCACGTTGCATTATCCTAAACAATGCCACTTTCCTATTCTCTCTCTTCATCTTAGAATCAAACTTGGGCCGTCACCCCATCATGATATCTCCTGTCATCTATGCTTTTTTGTTAGATACCCATCTTACTTATGATTGCACATTGCACAAAACAAAATTGTACGAAGCACGATTTATAGGACATAATAGACATCTTTTGGGGCATACTACTTTCAAGTAGCAACAGATTGCCTTAAAGGTAAAATCCCGCAGACGACAAAATCTCCATAGTTTCAAACTTTGTAACTTCAAAAGCTTTTGCTTGAATTATGGGGCCCGATATTGGTAAATGTTTGTTTGTAGTCGCAGTCCATAATTCAACTAACCAAAATTAAGTGACTAAGCTTTAAATGAATGGTTAGTGAGTTTTCGTCGTCCGCACGAATAGTACTTTTAAGGCAATCTGTGGATAAGGATCCCAATAAGTACGACACTGAAGAAACAAAGTTAAATACAAAAAGTGTTTGACCCTAAGTATATATTTTATTTATAGTATTTTAATGTATACAGTATACAGAGTATTCCGTTGTGGCAGGACAGTAACTAACTTTATTTTTGAAATGGAATACAATAAATGATTTTCAGTATTTTTTGAGAAAAATGTAATTTTCCATTTTTTTGCGGAAAAACAGGTCTTTGGAAAAGTGTTTTTTACTCTTGAAAACTAAAGTTGGGAATTTTTATCATAGATCCATGAAAGTGGTTAATATTTAATGCTTTGACCTATCTCTAGCGCAAATATATTATACAGAGTGATCACAAAAGACCATAAGAAATATTTTTTCTAATTAAAAAAAATCAAATATTTTTTAATAAAACGCCCTGCATTTAGCACTTTTACTGGGTTTGGGATTTAATCGGTAGTTTAGAATTTATGGCCAATTTTCTGCAACAAATCGTGTATTTTATTTTAAATCCAACCAAACCAAGTTTTTTTAAGCATTAATTACTTCAATTCGATTTAAAATCAACGAGTGATGCAAGTAAACAGAACTTTATTACTAATTACAAAACATTATCTAATCAACGTAAACATGTGGTAGGGTTTCACTTTTCGCAAAACTAACCGCATCTTATTTTTACAAGATATCCATGGAAAAAAAAATACAGTTTTTATTTGACCTTGAGTTGTCACCAACTTTTTTACATAAGAAATAATAAGAGTTCAGCATTAGCCTTAAGAGAATATAGGTTGTTGTATCCTGCAAGACGAAACATTTTTTCACGAATTGTTCGTGATCTTGAACGGGGAGTGGTAGTCAATAATCGAAGACGCCGTCCAAAAATTGTCCTAACAGAAGAGAAGCAAGTTCTCCTGTCTTTTGAAGAAAACAACGAAAATTAACAAAGCGATGCATCCCGCGATCTATCTCTAAGACTAGTGTTAAAAAGACTTTAAAAAACTAAAAAACTAGCATCTAGCGTCTCAACCACTGTGTTGCGGCATTTTTTTTATTAGAAAAAACATTTTTTATAGCCTTTTGCGTTCACACTGTATAATAAATTTTCGCCATAGATAGGTCAATAGCATTAAATAATTAAATAAATATTTACCACTTTCATGGATCTATAATAAAAAATCTCAATTTCAGTTTTCAAAAAAATGCTTTCCCAAAGTCCTGTTTTTCTGCAACAGAAGTTTTGAAGTTTAGCAATTGAAGTTTTTTTTTAACCAAATAATTAGAATTTTTGAAAATATTCATAGCATTCCATTTATAAAAATAAGGTTGGTTACTTTCCTGGCACAATGGAACACGCTGTATATATAATACTATAAATAAAATATATACTTAGGGTCAAACACTTTTTTTCTTCAGTGTTGTACTTATTGGGAACAAGTATAGGAGCATCTAAACTGGACTACCCCGTACAGGTCCATGTATTCCCGATTCTGAAAATGGAAAAGATTCGAACAATTGTCATGTGGCTACAGGCTAAATCTGAATCGGAGTTTTATGAAAATAAATTAATATATATAAAACGATTATTGAACACTGACTATTTTAAAAGGTAAAAACTATATTTTAACAATTGTATTATTTGAATATTATCTGCTCGTATATAGCCATAGCATAGCATAGCATAGCATAATATTTTATATTATGTACAAAAAACAAAACTTCTTATTTCTTATTTATGTATATATAATACTTGTGTACTTATAGAGAGCATCTAGTTAAAATAATGCAAAATACCACCGCTTGCTTCAATTTTTTTGTTTTCATATTAAGAGATTCTACTATATATGACATATCTGGCAAAGATTATGGTCGTTAAATCCTGAATGTAACACTATAATAATATAAAAACCATAAGATACTTTTATTTTGAAAAACGAACAGTTTTGACTATTATAAAAAACATCCTGCATCACTATCAGGTCAGAATCATTCAAAAATTATCAAACTGACAGAAATAAGACCTCGAAGTCTTCGACAAGTTTATAAGCTAATAGACGCAGCAGGTTCAGGTATAGAGAGAAGACTTTCAGTTAGTTTTTAACAAATCGGATTCCCAAGAAAAAGCATTCGCGTTCCAGTAAGTATTTTGCTGATATCGCCACCCGCGCGTTTTAGGAAAACATACTTGTCAGTTAAACAAAGTAACAAGAATCAAAAAGTAACAGTTACATACTCGTAATCGTCGTCCTCATCGTCCCAACTATCTGCGTGTTTCATATCTCTGTGTCTGTCAAACGGATGGCCTTTCGACGTTCTAGATATGGGCCACCCTTCTCTCCTATTGGGCTCCTCCTCCCAAGGACTGACATCTCTAGAACTTGAAGAATGACCGCCGGTTGGCTGACGAACATGCTGCCATCCCGGCCCTTGTCTACGGCGCCTCGGCCGATCGTAGCATTCATAATACTCCTCCTCGTAGGAATCCGTCGATCTTCTATTTGCCGGGTTGTACACTGTCGAAACATCGCCAAATAAACTCCCGAATAATTCTGGGAATATTTTATAGTGCTTTCACAGCTAAAATCGATTTGGCCTAATGATAACAACAAAAAGAGTGCTACCTGTAGTCGTAGATTTATATTACCAGTGGTATGGGCCTGAACAAATTCAGTGAGTTAATCAAATTAGCAATACTATAAGAGTAAAAAAAATCCTTTCTATGCTGCAGTACCGTAAGTAGACCTTTCCGCTGTAACGTGAAATCGTGGAGGCACATTCTAAATGAAACTTTGAATATTATTTATTTTTTTATTAATCTGCAGGAGTCACAAGAAAACATCAACACCAGATATGAAGGTCTTAATTTCCTATGCACAGACCGAAAGAAGTCCCATTTATTTGTGCATGAAAATTTTTAATAAGTGACCAGTAACAATAAAAATAGAAAAAAGATTTAATACTTACAAAAACAAAATCAAATCAATTTTAATAGACCTAGAACTAGTTGTAGATCTTGTAAATTACAGATTTGAAGTTAATGTAGTCCTTGTAATTTACTTTTTTGTTCTCATCTTTGTGATTTTATAAAAGTCATTTTTTGTTTTTTTCTGATTTTTATCTTAAAGGCATCTTCTTCTTTAACAAGTGTGTAGCTGATAGTTGATTCTACTGATAATAAAATATGTACTAGTTTTAATACTAAAATATAAAATAACCAAATTTACATCATGTTGAGAACCTATGAATAAGTTAAATTACCATTTTTTTTGTGACGCTTACTTTGTCCATTTGTGACAATGCTTTCATTGTTTGCTTGCAATTTTTTAAATAAAAATCATTTGACTTTGACTTTGATTTTGAAATAGATAAGGAGGGCACTTCCAGCCATTCTGAAATCTGTAAGTAATTTAAACCTTAGTCATAAATTTTGAAGTTTTTGTACACGTTTTTTAACCACTGAGAAAAGGGCCAAAGACTGAGCAGTAGTGATTTCACTAGGACAAAACCAAGGAGTTACAGAGAAGTTTTTTGATTTCTCGTGATAAGCAATGTCTGTGTGAGTAAATTGGTTTTAATGCACCACAGACTCTCCTAAGCTTATAGGTAGCATGCTCTCCAAATCTAAGTTGCAGAAAAGTGGAATCGCAATTCAAGTTTTATTAAAAAACATATTACTCTTTCAACCTAAACGGCATTTCTAAAAACTACAACAGACGATTTGGCGGGATTAAATAACTGTTCATTTTCTCAAATATAAAAGTTGGTGATATCGGAATTAATACATTCATTAATTCGTTGATGGTTACTGTCATCAAAAGATGTATAACAAATTGGTGTTATCACCATATAGATGATATTTAAGATTTTTAGGTGACTGATAAAAATGGCAAGTATCGAATAGCAATACTACTTAAGGTACTTCAGATTTAATAATGATGCTTAGAAAGCATTTCATAAATATTTCCCAAGTTCCTTGAAGGATGAAATAGCTTTCTTTGACTTTAGTAACTTGTATAAATCATATCTGATATCACATATTAGGCAAAGTAAAAAAAAAGAAAAATTAAACAAAACAGATTAAGACATAGACATAAAAGTTAGGTTTTTTAATTCTTTCTTTTTTCAGTTACTTTATATTTATTGTTTTAACAAAATTTTAAATCGTTTTATTGAACTTTCTCACATGTTTATGGGCAAGCTCTTGTAAAGAAAAAAAAGATATTTTTCTATTAAAGCAGAGACAGGAGGTAAGCACAGTCCTTGTTTTAAATTTCAGTGTTGGCAAGGATTACATATAGATATTTTTGATTGCCTTTTTTTGTATCACTTTTAAGTAAGTACTGTAAATGACTATGTACCAGGTGTCCCAGTAGCGGGAACAAAGTACGGTATTAGGAAAACTGACCCTCTTAGAAATTTGGAAAAAAAAAGTTAAGTAAATCGACCAAGAGAAAGTGCTGGAAATCATTTTTGAATTTCTGAAATTGCCACCAGGGGAGGTCATTGTTATCTTGACTTTTTGACGCATGCCTTTACATTTCACCCACTAACCTGCACTTTGCGCAATTTTTTTTTCTAAACACCGATTTCCACACTTAGCTCATTTTCCGAAAACATTTAACGAGACCTAATGATATTTTAAGAAAATATTGCCGTAAAAATGCCACATCCAAACTTATTGACGACCTGTCAGCGGTCATGTTGGTTGTTGAATGCCTCAAGGTCATTGCTTGAGATTTCAATTATCGAGCATGCGCAAGTTAAGTGGGCATAGACATGACCTCTACCTCTATATCTCTAGTAGCTATATGGCTCGAACCGTTTCTTAAATAAATAAATAAATAAATAAATAATAATAATAATAATTAATAATAGTAATAATAATAATTAATAATAATAAATAATAAGTGCCGAACAACCCGGTGTTACAATATCTTTACCCTAACCAAAAATATGAATACAAGAACTTTACACACTATCATTAATGTCTATCCAGAATTTACCAAATAGAACGCTAATTTATTATTGAAGATGTCAAATTATGTTTAAAATTAAAATAAAATATTATTTATCTTTATATATCATATATCAGTTTTTCATTAAAAATTAGTTAAAGCAAACCAATCAAAACCAAAACTAATCAAATGTTGGTGGCTAACTAATTTTATTCAATATTAACTTTTTAAGCAGTAAAATAATAACACATCTTTTGGAAGAAATAGTGTATTTCTAATTATTACCAGTGTCATGGAAACCAATTAAGTTTTTATTTAACCAATTGCTACGCATCATTCATGTTGCTATTTGAGGCTTGTCAAAGTATTTTGATTGCCTGCTGTTTTAATTACTTAATGTTTATTGCACTAAAAAATGTCTTATTTAAACCCATTGTAATTCAGTTCCACGAAAAACTCGACACGTTAGCAATAAAGAATAATCTTTACTGATCATTTCAATACACATCTTAATACTTAAATAATTCAATTATTAATAAAATTGGTCAGTCTTCAATATTTTATTAGTTTTGGTTAGTTAGTCGACTAAACTTAATTATTAGTGAAAAAATTAGTGATAATAAATAAATTGGGAACGAGCAAGGATATCAAAACGTACCAATGTTAGCTGTTGGGTAATTTTGTGTGAACCAAAGGTATTGTAAAGAAGTGGCATCATAAATAATAAATCCGAGTTTTATTTGGTATATTATGGACAATTAGACATTAATAACCCACAAAGTGGAAAATTTTCCGAAAATCCCAACCTTTCAAGTCAAGTTTTTTTTAAACAATTATTTTTTTTGGGTAAGTTTATTAAAATGCATTAACCCTTTTTGACGATATGGACCACTTTCCTTGTAGAGATACAACAAAGAGCATTAAACAAAAAAATATTTGAAGCAGGACTCACTCAAATTTCAGAAACTCGAAAATAATTTCCAGCAATTTCTCTTTACCGATTTACTTAATACATTTTCTCTTCAAATTTCTAGAACCGTCCACTTCTCTAAAACTGTACCTCGACGCCCTTAATGGGACACACGGTATAAGCGTAGATAAGCATAAGTAATACATTAAAACTTGTTAAATTTAAACTTTTTATGTCAGTATTATTCTTTCCTTTCCGCAGTCTAACACTGTACTACACCTTTTACCTGGTTGAATTACAGAATGTAATTTGAGGTGCTCTTTCCTAAACAATGGAACCGGCACAGGTAGTTTTATTGCATACAAAAAGTTAAAACCATTTTTCTGTGAAGGCGCTATACCTTCGGGTTCAGCTGAAGTATCCCACCAACCATCTTGTTCTCGTTTCTCCTGCCAGCGTTCGTTTTTGGGGTTTTTCCTCCACTCAGTGGGGGAACCGGCGGCGAATTCCTTTGAATCGCTCGACCATGGGGAGACTCCCTCCTCGCTATGAGCGGTACACAGATTTTCTTTTAATGAGGCTGAAGTGGCCCCACCCGTTTGGTCGAACACAGCCCACGATTCACCCAAATCTGAGACATGAAAACCGACTTATTTATTTTTCTTTCTTTAAAAACATATAAAGTATTCTATTAAAATACTTTTCCAACTAATGTTGAAAAATTGTTTCCGGAAAATTTGGTACCGTCTATATGTGCGTATTTTGGTGGGCCAAGGAAGTTCATAACATTCACACTACTCCCACAGGAATTTCTTACCTGTGCCGTTCTCCTTCCTGGGTATATCGGAATTGCTGCCGGTATTATCCGCCTCCGGCGAACTTCCGCTTACGATATCTGACAAAGAACCCGAAGTCAATCTATTGCCGGCGGATTCTTTGGACACCATCGGTATGGGACTTTTCGACGGTGATTTTTCGGGCGTCGAACACTTTGATTTCTCTACGATATCCACTGCGTACTCGATAACCGAGTCCTTTGAGATTATTTCATTATGCGGGGTAACCGGATCATCTTTCGTTTTTTCTACGCTAACTTTAACTTCTTCAGTAACCCGCGAAGCACTGGCTTGAGTATTTTCAGGTTCCGTAACATCAGTCTTTTCCTCTCGTCTCAATCCCACTTGCTCGAATTCCTTATCTACAATTTCCCTTAACGCGGCGTACTTGTCGTCAGGTTTAACGTCTACCGACTCCGACTCGATCTCTTTATCAATGGAATCCTCAAATTTGTCGTCCGTCTCCTTTCGCGGTTCCTCCTCGGGCTTGCCCTGCTGGATTTCCTCCTGCAGCTCTCTGAATACAGCGTACTTATCGTAAGAAGCGTTGCCGCTGAAGTTGTTCGAGAAATCGGCATCGAAAGTAGCGAATTTCTCCTCCGACGAGGTACCAGTAATATCTTGCTGAACCGACTTTGTTTTGATAAAATTTGAAATGTAGCTGGCCAGCTGCATCAGCGGCATATTGCTTAATTGATTCGACGGTATGCTAAGTTTCGTGGCAAGTTCGTTCAAATCGCTCAAAGTCAATTTGCTCAGGGTAATATCCAGACCGTCTGCTGCTGGGATGCTTCTAGGCGGCGATCTACCTCCGCGTGGGCTTCTCTGAGGTGGAGGCAGTCTTTCCGGAAATGAGATCGGGGTTAAATAATCTTCGTCGCTGGAAGTAACGTTCAGCTTTTTATGGGGTCTCTCTGGTTGATTTCCGAATTCTGGTTCGATCTTCGACTTCCTCAAGGGAGCCGGTAAGGGCGGACCCTTCTCCTGGCTGATGCTTGGCGCATCCTGAGCTAAGTCGTAGACCCCCGCGTCTTCCGTATGCGGCGGTCGGGGCGGCGGTTTGATTAAAATATCGCTTTGCTTTTTAGGCGGTAAAGGCGGAGGTCTGACTTCCGTTAGTGTGGAAATGGGACGGGGTGGCGGTTCCGGGGTGCTTTCCGACCCCGAAGAAATATCTAAATTGGTCAATGTGCTCAATTTGGTTTCGTTAAACGTGTCGAAGGTGGTGCCGAGCATTTTCGGACTGGCTGATAGTTTCGGGGATTTGGTCAGACTTTCGTTCTTTTCCCAGTTGCTCGTTAGGGTGGGCGTAAAATTGACGAAATCCGCGTTGAACGGTTCTTGACGGGTAAAATCGGAATCGGCGAATGGATCGTTTTTAACGAAGGGATCATCGCCGAACGGATCGTTGGCGAACACGTTCGCGGTATTAGAATATGGGTTCCTCACGGTACCGCCTTCCGAGACGAACAGGTCTTGGTTGTTGCCGGACGAGACCAAATCGTTGAGTACCTTCTTGGGGGGATTTTTCAGTTCTTGAAAGAAATATTTCTTATCAATATATGGCTTACTCCTACCGGTACCTAGGGTAAAATAAAATAGCGTTTTTTTGAACACTGAAAAGATGTCGGGTTTAACTTAAAACCAACAAAAACTGAAACAAACGATAAAGCAAAAGAAAACCATAAACGTCTACTGATTTTTTTTATTTTATTTTACCTCAGATAAGTCGCAAAAATGATTGATCGAGTTTAGTTGATTCATTATCGATTTTCAGCAATGCAAATGAAATATGATAATACTGATATGCATTACCAGAGTGTCTATGAGTTCAATGCTTTTAAATGTACGTCTTTTCCATACTGCGTATTTAAATCTCTCTAAAAAAACTTAGAAATTAAATAGAACACCCTTCCCCTATATAGTAGATCATATAAATGGAAGAAAGCAGTTCCAAAGTAAATATGGTGTACACGGTAGAGTTCAATGCTTTTAAATGTACGTCTTTTCCATACTGCGTATTTAAATCTCTCTAAAAAAACTTAGAAATTAAATAGAATACCCTTCCCCTATATAGTAGATCATATAAATGGAAGAAAGCAGTTCCAAAGTAAATATGGTGTACACGGTAGACAAATAAGCGAGGTAAACGGATGTATCTCCGAAAACACGAATTCTAGAGATTTACGGTAAATATTTTTATAACTAAAGTGACCAAAAGAAAGTACTAAAAATAATTTTCAAGTTGATATTTGGCTTTTTGACTTATCACTTTTAATTGTAGAGCATCAAACAAGGGTGGAGGGGAAAAGATGTCTGACTGATCGAAATGGCTATAACATTAGTATAACTCAACGTATTTGAGGAAATTAGGTCTCGTTTAACAGAGAAATACTTCTTCAGAAAAAACATACCTGAGACAAACTGGTTTTGATTGCTCCCGCTAGAGGACTCAAACGTTTATAGTTTTTTAATATTAATTATATCAACAGAAACATAAAGTAGATCAAATTTGTAAGAAAAAACATTCAATCGCATAGCGATCACTTCAGGAGTTCAAGAATTATTACCGCTAACCACTCGTATGTTTTCATACTTTTTTGCATTTAGTCGGACCTGGAAACAAAATGCAGTTTGCTTTGAAAGAAACGTCAAATTTCCATAATACTGTGTTACTGAGTTAAACTAATCTTATATGCACTTCAATCAGTTACTCCCTACAGCGAAAAGCGATGAGTCAAAAAGAATTTTACAAGGATTACAGTGGTCGTGTACTTTTATTAACTTATAATAAAACATTATTTAGTGATGGGCATTTTTCTACCTTAATATAGCTATAACGCCTTCTATCAACATAGAAATGAAATGCAATTATTTCCAATATTTTCTTTTGGTCATTTTCATAATAAATTTTTGTTACCGTAAATCTCTACAATTCGTGATTTCGGAGATACAGCCGATTGCCCCACTTATTTTCTACCTTGTACAACTCCGGATCAATTCTGTGGTACTAATAATAAATAATTTTATTTAGCGTTCGACATGTTTCCGGTTATTAGACACTCTGATTATGTTATGCAAGGTTTGTTAATAGAAAAAAAATACTCCCCATAGTTCTAAGTAGGTAAGCAAAACAGGTTAGTTGATTATATAAACGTTGAGTCAAAAGCCAACCCTTAGGAAGATATGACGCCACAAATATGGCGGAAAAAGAATGTTTTTATTTTTTCGAAAAAACTTCCACAGACTACTGTAATACTATTTTCTTAACTCAGTTTCAGTTACGCTCTAAAGAAGCCAGCATAACTGGTGAAAAGTCAGCAAATTTGATTTGTAGATAACTGACGCAGGAGGAATCTGGAAGATTTAATAGTAATATTAAATTTATTTTAATTTTAAAAGTTAAATAGTAAATAAGGTTTTTATTTTTATCTTCGAAACGAAAATAGAACAATAAAATTTTACGGAAGTATTACTATAATAGAAACACACTTTCTTTCTTTTCTTTTTTTAGAATAAGTGAATTAGACTACCCCTATACTTCTTAACTGCATTTAAAGAAAAAAATAGTTTCTGAAATTACTGAAATTGTAATCTTGAATTTGAAAACTCAGTTTCTACAAAAATATCTATATCATACTTAAATTGCGCACCATTTCAAAACTGAGACAAATTTAAATCTCTTTTCTATCTCTACAAGCAGTGGGGGATGATTAAATAAATGTCCATTTCTCCAAAAAAACTTTTAATAACTAAATAACTTGGAGTGGTTAAAGGGGGCCTTTCCTAGGTTATCAATGATGCTATGCGTGACGCGATTGCGACTGCTTGCTTACGTTACACCCAGGTAACGTCTTCTGACATAATAAAAAAAAACTTGATTTTCTAGAAAAAGAATTCGCAATATCGCAATATCTTTATTCTAACCTAAAATATGACTAAAAGAACGCTGAAAGAAAAGTTGAATTTTGGAAAAGATTTTCTACTTTGCGGGTTGTTATTAATATCCAATTGACCCTAATTTACCAAAAATTTAAAATCAAAATAAACTGTTATTCTATATCTTTATTACTCAATAACTTTTGATATGCTTAGCCCTTTTCAAATAAACAGTATTACCACCAATTTTTTCATTAAAAATAAAATGTTGAAAACCCTTTAAAAAATGAATAAATCTCGAGCACAAAATTATTCATTTCTTTTGACTGCCTAGCGTTTTAAGTTTGTTAAATGTTTATTGCAGTAAAAATGTCTTATTTAAAATCATCGTAATCCAGCGCCAAAAAAAAATCGTTAGAAAGGAATACTAATATTGATTATTTCAATACACAGTTTACTAATTCAATAATTAAATATTTAATAAAATTGGTTAGGCTTTAATTAATTATTTTGAGCGTTAAGTTCTTTTAATTATATTTCTTGGCTAGGATAAAGATGTTGATATGCAGTTTTCACTGTTCATATCAGGGATTTTTTTTTGCGATTATGTAAGAAAACGCCAATTGGGTGCAAGGTAAGGAATCGCATTCACAACATATAGCAAGAATGATAGCCTACGAAAAATGCTTTTTAACGACTTTAAGTTTATTAAAATATCTTAAGCCTCTTTGAAGATATAGACAATTATTTAATGTTTAACCACTGTCCTGGCAGAGCTAGAAGTCACAACATTAATCAAAAAAGATTTGAATTTGTCTCAGCTTTAAGACTCACTTTAACGTTAGAAACCTTGGTAGAAACCACGTTTTTAAATTCAGGATAACAATTACGCCCCCTGGTGCCCATTCCAAAAACTCAAAACTAATTTTCAGCATTTTATCTTGGCCGATTTACTTTTATTTAATTTCTAGGATCCTCCGTTTCCCCAATACCGTACATCATGGCCCTTACTACGACACCCGGTATATTCTTCTAAATCTTAATTTGGGAAGAATGTAACCACAGATTGAAAAAGCTTGAAACCGATCAACGAAACCGCAAAATACAAAAAGAAATCTATCAAAAAAATGTAAAACAACCCCGTCGAAAGAAACATCTCACTTACCTAGTGGGTCCAACTCCGTAAAAACATCAAACTGAGACAAAATCTCCCTCTTAGTCATTTCGTGCTTTTCATCACGAATTTTATCTTCCTTCAAAACTTCCGGAATGGATACCGGCTCATTGAACTTCTCACTCCCAGAGAACCAATCGGCGCTGAGTGTCTGATCTTGCGAACCGCTCAACTCTTGCGAAAACGGAAAGGCCTCGCTCAGCTCTCTGAAAGTATCCCCGCCAGTTTCCAAATTTCGTGGGATGTGGGGAGTTTTCGGGCTAAATATGCTGGTAACATCGCTCATTCTGGATGACCTTTCTCGTCCGGATGAAGGAGGAGGCGGCAAAATGAGTTTCTAAAAACAATAAGCATTAAAGCAAACAAACGTTAAAAATACGGGCACGAGAGTGAACACGTTGAACATAGTAAAAAGAAAGACTTCTGATATGCGACCGATAGCAGAAAGGTGATTTGCAGATAATCAACTGTCAATCAAACGAGTTTAGTGATGAGCGTAGATACTTTCTTGAAACTCAATTTCACCGGTTTCGCAACAGTAACAATAAAAAATTTGTAACATGATTTTTATAATAAATATTTTTGCAATAAATGACAGTGTAAGGTAATAATGGATATAACATTGAGTTTTTATTATCACGTGAGCTTAGGAACAATATGAAGAATGCAAATTTTGCTTACCATATAAGCTATAATGTTATTGTTTGGAGTCTCAAGTGGGGTAGAGCATAGATATATAGTCAAGGGAGATATCCTTGTTTTCGTTTAAAAGTGGTGCAGATATCTCAAAGGGCTGTAACAATATTACCAATGGTGGACACAGCCAGGGCTTTTTACAAATACACTATACACAGAATAATATTTTGATGTAGTTAAAAGCATAGGTAAATTATAAATTTAAATCAACATACGTGAACAAAATTTCTTGCTAAATTTTCGCCAAACATTAACTTTAAAATTGCAAATAGTTCTTTTTTTTAACAATAGCGATATGGTTTTTAAGAAATGTATTTTTTTAATTTCACAATGTTACAATGAATACAAATCTATTTAGAATTTAGAAACATTAAACAATATTTTTGTTTTTATTTTTTTTTACTCATATTAAAGTAAGACGAATATTATTAAACATATCGAGTGCCTCAATGGGGGCAACAAGGATATTAGGAAAACGGACGCTCCTAGAAATTTGAAAAAGTATTATCACTTATTCTTATATTAATAATTAGATTTAGTCAACTAACCAAAACGAATTAATGTTGAAGACTAACCAATTCTATTAATTATTGAATTATTTAACTAACAGAATATGTATTAAAATAATCAGTATTTTTCTTCATTCCTAACGTATCGATTTCTTCCAGGCACTGAATTACGATTGGTTTCAACTAATTAATATTGTAGGTAATCAAGAGACTTCAAGCATTAGATAATGACATGGTCAGATAATAATAAAAATCGTTTTCATGGCAATCTTGATCTTTATAAATGAATTATGTCTGTCGAAAATTAGTATATTATGCAACAAGTGCGGTAAACGGCATTTGATTCACGAGTTTTAAATAAACGAGTGAGTTAAAAAGTTTACCCAACATGTTGCATACTATACTTTTTCTACAACCGTTAGTTTTTGGGTACATTTTCGCAAAACAACACGAATACATTCACTGACATGACCGTCAGAATTAACAAACGTCAAAATTCAAAGCATGGGAAATATCTCCGAAAACATCCGATTGCTCCCAAACCCGTGCGGTAAAATCCCGGAAATGTCCGAAGTGGCTCGGATTCGTGGGAAACGAAACTGACGTGGTAAAGTGACGCTTCCCGCACGTTAGATCGATGGGTAATTAGGTATTTTACAGACGGGAGTAGAAAAATATGTATTTGTGCTGTTTTGCGAAAATGCACCCAAAATCTAACGGTCGTAGAAAAAGTATAGTATGCAACACGTTCGGCAAACTTTTTAAGTTACTCGTTTATTAAACACTCGCTCCGCTGCGTTCCGCTTGTGCCAAATAAACTCGTGACTTAAATGGCGTTTACCGCACTTGTTGCATAATATACTAATTATTCATATTTTAGCTTAGGATAGAGACATTGTGATCCGGGGTTGTTAAGTTCTTATTCCTTATTCTTGTTTCAGAAAATTATTTTTTTGCGATTATGTCTAATTGATCTTTCCATTGGGGTATAAAAATGATTATAAAGCACCAAAATCGTTATATTTCACACAATTTTATTTATGTCTTCTTCAGTGTGGTTGGCATCCGGCGTATCAGATTGATGACGACAAAATTGATCAACAGTAAGGATATGAGCGTATTTATTGATTGTCTGAAAAAAAAACTTTTCAGGAAAACCTATCACTATTCAAGTTTGATCTATATGAATGAAATGAAGAAACTCGGGAAAGAACATATATATAAATAGTGTATGAAATACAGCACAATTTTTTTTACAAATGGTCTTTAAATTCAGTCGTCATAAAATGCCAGTCTATATGCAACTTATTAAGTAATGTCAATAACGATACACCACTGTGGAAACCAAATCTACAATATACTGTCAGTTATCTTTGGCAAAGTTATACATTTTGTTGACACTTTTAACTTACACATTTTAAAAACCTTATTTACTACTTACATTTACAGGATAATATACAAAACTGTCTCCAAATGGATCATCTTTTGATCCATATGGGTTAGATGGTGTAATTTTTTCCATTTGGTTCAAACCCTGCTGCAAATTGCTCAGTTCTAATTCTAAATCTACCAAATCCGCGACTGCAGCACCTGAACCCTTTGGTTCCGGCGCTGTACTGGGTCCCTTGAGTCCAACTTTCGATTTTTCTATAATCTACAATCACAGCAAACACGCCAAGAAAGACAAATTGATAGAAGAAATGTAAAATACCTTCGTCCCAGAACCAGTCGGATCGGAAAATAACGGTGAGCTAGGCAAATATGTTTTCTCCAAATGTTGTTTTGCCAATTCAATTTCCTTCTTTTTTAGGGAAAATACGACTTGGAACAAATCTCGCATAGCAATGACAACCTAAAAATGGCAATCTCTGTTTGGAAATAGCAGAGTACAAAACAAAAAGTTATATGTAGTTGTGCTTTACATTTATTAAAATTTTCAGGAATTCTTTTTTTTATTTATAGAAAACTACTATCTGCAAATACATTTACGAATTCCCAGGATTCTTTTATATAAATAATGAATAGTAGCCAACACACTTTCCTGTGGAGAACCATATCTATTTTGAAAGAATATCTATACAACTTATACTCTCCTTGGTTGTTGAACTAAAAACATGATTTGGTAAGTATACTCTTTTAGTTATTCTTTATTACCAGCCATTATAAAAAAAAAAACAGAAGCAAACTTAGGTCCCTTCAATGTAAAAGACATAATTACACAGTTCAATATTAAATAAACAGACAAATTAAAAAACAAAAATTCAGGAATTCCCAAATCCTTTGCCCCATACCAATAAAATTGGATCTATCTACTTTTTTCTGCATATTATTGTACTTTCATAATAGCGATTAAAATTTTCCTAAACACAGAACATAGTCAATTATTTATCTATTTATTTACTTATGGTAACTAACCAAACTAATCAATTTACTACAACCATTAAATATACCAAAAATTTATTTCTATATTTTGGACATTGATATCAAGATAGTCTGCTTGCTGACCGTGGTATTGCAACCAATTTAATCTTGTTTCCTTTCTACACAATCCTGCTCGAGGAGTGACTGTTAGACTCAAGCAACATTGACTTATGCTGATTTATTAATTCTCATTAGCAAAAGATGCATCTGACTGATTATATGTTTTACAACTCTGAACAGACTAATCATACTGGTTTACTTAATTTGTAACCCTTTAAAAAAAATATATATATATATATTATATATATATATATATATATATATATATATATATATATATATATATATATATATATATATATATATATATATATATATATATATATATATATATATATATATATATATATATATATATATATATATATATATATATATATATATATATATATATATATATATATATATATATATATATATATATATATATATATATAAATATATATATATATATATATATATACACTATATTCCGGGATATCATCCGTTCGTTCGTTGAACTCCGACTGGAATCCTGCATCTGACTGGAATCCTGCAAATCCTGCATCTGACTGGAATCCTGCAGACGTTTCGCCAAAATCTCACTTGGCATCTTCAATGCTCGCTCTCCGAAAACACTTCGAACACTCACACACACACAGTGTTCGAAGTGTTTTCGGAGAGCGAGCATTGAAGATGCCAAGTGAGATTTTGGCGAAACGTCTGCAGGATTCCAGTCGGAGTTCAACGAGCGAACGGACGATATCCCGGAATATAGTGTCATCACATTTTTCCATCCGTGAATCAATACGTGAGAATATATATATATATATATATATATATATATATATATATATATATATATATATATATATATATATATATATATATATATATATATATATATATATATATATATATATATATATATAATCTATTTTTAAATGTGTTGAAATAATTTTTGTAAGCAGATTAGTATTTATAAACCAAAAATTACCTACCTGACTTGCTGCTTTATCTGTTTTGATTCCAAAAAATCTGTGTCCTGTGTCTGGAGAACCAAAAATATATCCAAACGCTCTGGAATCTGTCATATCCTGAGCAATGAATGAGATTTTGTGTACTGGATGATGATAAAGACAATCCTACAAAATTTACATCATGACACATTTAGCATAATACACACTGAAAGTTTGTGTTAACAGATAATATTTAACCTTACCCCTGTTTTTTCATCTCTTAGCCTCAGTCCGTCAATGGCGATATTAACGGTTATGCGTTGCTTATGTTCGCCAGCAGCTCGGATCGCCATCTTGAGATCAGAGAGCGCCTCCTGGCACATTCTGTCGCCCCTTGCCTCCGATACTTCAAGAATACCAATAAGCTTTGCTTTAAAACTAACTCCATCCCCAAGAAACTTGGTAGTTTCATTTTTATCTACAAGTGTTGATAAATAAATTTACTCATTGGTAATTCAGTAAAAAGCGAACTTTACAATAACATTTGAAACATATATGTCCCAACAATATGGCAATATTAGAAAATGTGTTTTCACTCGCAAGTACCTTTTTTATCAAACTCTTTTATTAATTTCTTCATAGTAATGTAATAAAAATAAGTAATGGTAGTAATAAAAATAACTGTTCTATAAAATCATCCAAAAAATATTTGCATTGTATACAAAGCAACAAAACAGTCACATCTGGTAAAATAAACTTTGATAAGACTCATTATCTCAAAAACTTAAGTCTGGAGGTAATAAATAGTAACAACAAAAGGATGTAACAAACACAGTAAATTACAATTTGCAATTACAAATTTACAATGCATTAGTTAAATCAAACCTCTCAGATCTACCTATTCAGTAATATAAATAAACCAGGGATAATACAAAAATGTCAAAGAAGAATATTAAACTAATGTTAACAAGTTGAATGCGTTAGTGTGCCTGAATATTTGTACTCACACTTTAAAGGGCTAGTTTTCTTTCTTAAAGTCTGCATATTGGGGGCCTGTCCACCCCTACAAACTACAAATCACTTTTTGCACAATATAGACGCGAGGATCATTTTGAATGCTTCACCGAAACTAAATACGTCATTACATATACTTTAATTCTTCATATTGATTGCACAAAATAGCCATTGACCTATCAAACCTGAGGGTGAGGGGTGTAGTAGAGACTGACGGGGTTGAAGAACGGCACATGCTCAATGTTGTGTTTAAAGACTATTGATTAATCAGGTGTATTTGGAATACTGACATAATACTGAAGGGAAATAAGGTGTATTTAGTTCACTTCTGCTGAAATAAGCAAGACAAAACATTTTTGAAAAAGTAGAAGGAGCAGTTGAAAAACTAGACAATGCCAAAGTAGATATCCACTAAATATTTGGACTAGACTGGGATTTTCTATCTATAACAATAAAGCTAACCTAAAATTTTTGTTTATGATGCCCTCTTCCACCATCTAAATATTTGACAGGATGTGACATTTAGCACCAGCATAGACTCGGCAACGTAAGGAAAATAGAAAGGTAAGCATAACTCAGGAGCTATAGTTTAACAATGGTATCAAGTCCGAAAAAAGCAGACATCATTGATTTCTGTAAAAACATTCTTGTTCCCCTTCGTTATGTTCTAGCTTCTGCTTTTAAGCATATACTTTTAAATATATCAGCTAGATCTAAAATCCTTATATATAGTAAAAAAAACAATCGAGGTCTGAAAGACAGAAATAAATCAATCTCGCTCGAGTAACGATGGCGTCACTGTATTGTGGTATAAGAAATCGAACCTTGAAAATGCCAACTATAGATTTTAGCTATCTAGTCAGATGTACTGGTCGGAAGCGACGTTTAAAAGCTATGACCGTAAAAGTTATTATTTTTTAAAATTGAGAATAATATTTTCAAAAATTGGATTTTGATTCGTACTTACAAACTAATTTCTTAACTTCGTTTATTATAATCAAATTTTATATTGAATTTTGCAAATGTAACATGTATTAAAAACTTACTGCAACAAGCCCCTGTGGCCTAATGGATAAGGCATCTGCCTCCTAAGCAGGGGACTGTGGGTTCGAGTCCCACCAGGGGTAGCAATTTTTTTTGTGATTTTTCCAAAAAATGCACTGTTAATTAACTCGAACCGTAAAGCGAAACTTACCAACTTATTAACATTTTTTGAATGCATACTTTGTTATAAGGTAATCCAATCCAAAATTAAGTCGAGAATGTTTTATAATCTGCTTTTGATATATTTTACAACTTTGAATTTTATAGCCTTTGACAAAAAATTACGGTGCCAACATGTTATTACCTAACCAAGTATTTACATGATCTAACAAGTTTAGAAACAATTGAAATCCGCGATCGTTTAATTTTAACGAATTTCTGAGATTCCAAATTACCACAATATTATGGTTTCAGTGTCTGCCAAAAATCGCATTAAACGGAATAAGAAGACAATCGCTAAAAATATGTATGCGGCATGGTATAGACAATGAATGCATAATAATACTATATGTGACAATAAAATATACAGGGTGTTCTAATAAATAGACGCATTAAACGGAATAAGAAGACAATCGCTAAAAATATGTATGCGGCATGGTATAGACAATGAATGCAAAATTATACTATATGTGACCATAAAATATACAGGGTGTTCTAATAAATAGACGGAGATATATTTTTTCTATAGGGACTATATAAACTAACGCCTTTAAAATTTAACACTCTGATTTTGAGAACTGCATTTCCAGAATGTTTATAAAAACTTTAAAACTTTTAAAACTCTAAATTATCTCCGTCTCCAGTGTTAAAAATCCAAGGATGTCGAATCAGGTGGTCAGGGTGATTTTCCTGAATCCCTTTGATGTAAATAAAACCAAAAACAACTTAGTAAAGCTAACTAGGAAGAACGTTGGGGTTTAATGTCTTTTGAAAGAAAATATGAGATTTCCATAGGCAAAACCTATTTCACCTATTTTCAATTTTTTTTTGTTAAGAGAAACCTACCATGAAATTTGCTCAGGAATCCGAAAATAAAATAATATACTGGGTATTTTATTTAAAATCAAGAAGCTAAATGCTGTGAGAGACTTATCACATTATGCTATTTTTATTGGATTCGTACAAATAACTTTTCTATTTAAAATTCCTTAGAAAATTCTTGCCTTATTTTATGTAAATAATATCGCATAGTTATGTTGACAGTTGATTAGTTTCACAAAAACCTCAGGATTCTATCTTCCCTAATAAACGAAATACAATACAATTACAATCAAAACCTATTTCACCTATTTTCAATTTTTTTTTGTTAAGAGAAACCTACCATGAAATTTGCTCAGGAATCCGAAAATAAAATAATATACTGGGTATTTTATTTAAAATCAAGAAGCTAAATGCTGTGAGAGACTTATCACATTATGCTATTTTTATTGGATTCGTACAAATAACTTTTCTATTTAAAATTCCTTAGAAAATTCTTGCCTTATTTTATGTAAATAATATCGCATAGTTATGTTGACAGTTGATTAGTTTCACAAAAACCTCAGGATTCTATCTTCCCTAATAAACGAAATACAATACAATTACAATCAAAACGGGACAAGTTGTAAAAAGTTAAAAAAATAATAACATTCCAGTAGCTTTTGTAACGCAGCAAAGACACTTGGATGAGTTTTACTTCTTTTGTTAGAATAACTGTCTAAAATTGTTTAATAGAATTAAATAGAAGTCAGTCAAGTCATTAATATTTTTTAACATTATTTAAACATTTTTCCAGTCTTGTTCCAACCCTGGGAACTATTTCATAAAGGTACACGTATTGTTGACAATTGTAAGAAAGAACCACTTGTTATCACAGATGTTTCATAATCATAAAAGTTGTTTGCAACAAATTCACTTGTAATGGACAAGAGACTCGAGAAAACTTCTCAGCAATATCGTATGTATTGTAAGTTCTTATTTACAAAGAAATTAGAGACTTTTGAGAAAAGAACTTATTCTGAGGCAAAACACCCTTCTTTTATGTATTTCAATAATTTTATTCAATAAACATTTTATTGGAACAGTAATCTATATACTATTTTAAAGCCTGTAAATCAACCACCTAGTTTTGGTTAGTTTGGATCAGATAGAATTTTGTTAGTAACAAGTGAATTTATAGTGAAGTACCATTATTACAAGTGTAACTTATTAGAACCAATTTGTTACTTACAAACGTGTGCTAGAATGCTAGAAAGGGTAACAGTTGCTTGCACCAAACAGGAAAATCATCCCATTCCAGTACAAATTAGTTACCAGGGAAAGCACAGCATCAAGCACAAAGTTTTTATAGCCAAATTGGAAAATTGTACCTAAAAACTTTATTTTGAAATTAGTAAAGTTGGATTTTTTTTTTAAGCATTTAGTTACTATTCGTTCGGTCTCATTGACGGCAATGTCGACGTGTTTTGAATGTTTTGAAGCACTCCAGATCGGAGCTGCATATTCAGAATCTCCTATACGGGTCACCCCAGGTTCTTAAGGTTAGTATGTTTTTGTGCGCGCTTATTTTGGTCTTTAAGCAGTGCTTCTTAAAGCTTATACAGCGTAACGTAAAATTTTGCAATTGAACTCCACACCAAGTAACTTTCAACTCTCGCCTTACATGTTTGTTGTTGGAGTGAATAGCACTGCTAGGAGTTCCCCTATTCAAGAGCTTTAGCATCTGATTGGAATTGCGATAACACATATTCAACGTGAGATTGCTACCGACATGAAAAAGAGAAAACAACAAAATCAAAAACACCCTCTGGATAGTCCCCAATCTGCAAATAAACGTGTCAGGTCTAAAAAGTTCTCTTTTTCGAACTAATGCACTAGGGGGATCGGCGGAGAACAATCGCGTTGAGAGGAAAGGTAACAAAGCACAAAATATAAAACAGGAAATTGCTTCTGGAAGACCACCATGGCTAGATGGATACTACTCCCGGATATGAAAGACACAAGAAAAAAAGTTGTCCAAATAATGAAATAGTATTCTTTGATACTTTATACAAAACTTCTGAAATCCTCCTGCATCAGTTGTTGAGTCGAACTTATTGGCGTTTCGCCAATCATCCTGTTGGCTTCTTCAGAGCTTAACTGAAACTCAACAACAACAACCGACACAGGAGGAACCCATAAGTTTTGTAAATAATATCACAGTAGACTGTGAAGTTTTTTTGAAAAGTACAGAAAACAGAAGTTTTATGTAATAATCTTTTTTTCATAGACAACTAATGAAAATTGTCTATTTAATAGATAAAACTTAATAGGATTCAGAATTAAAAAAAACTAAGTTTTTCATGTCAGAAATTACAAGCGTCTTTCTTAAAACTTTTGTATTTATTATTTTCTCCTACAAGTAATATTAACGACATTTTTTTAAATATCCATTGACAGCTGTCAAATCTTGAAAAAAGGTTTCAAGTAGAAGTTAAAAACTTCTCCATTTAAGCTTTTTAGTACCTGTTACAGTTTCCGAGATACATAAAACTCACCCTGTATAATAAAAACTTGTCGACAATAAAATCACATAAGAATTCTTTCAAAGTTTATTAATTATATTTTAAAAATTATTATACAAAATACCACAAATTTCTTTCATACGAAAAATATCTTGCAAAGAAAAATATGATTGAAAACATATATATTTTTGAGTGTGCCCTCTTTGCTGACTCATATCCTCCATACATATAGACCAGACCAATTTTACAAATAGAAACAAATGCACCGATAATTCAAACGGATCCCATCCGCTAAAATTCACCGAAAAGACTTTAATGCATGAACCTATAAGCGTATCGGGCTATGACATAATACAAGAGACAACCTTTTTCTTTTCAGAAGAGACTGGCCTAGGCTGGCGTAAATTAAAAACGTTCACAAATTAAAAAAAAAACGCGTCTGTACCATATGAACAAAAGTAATAAAAATGATTTTCGATATTTATTAAATGCTACTTTCAAATTCATAAAACAATAATAGGAAACTAAAAGCTGTCTCCATATGACGCGGGCGGTTAGAAAATTAACGGCTCGCCATATGTAAAAATACATAACATATATATATACGGGTAGAATTATTCTTTAGCCGGCACTTCAATGACTCGTGGTTTGTCAATGATTCGAGCCGTTCGATTGCCCTTCTCCACGATGCCAATGATCCAGGCCTGGTAGCCCTCTTGTTTTTCGATATCCTTGCAGTAAGCGGCAGCCTGTTCTCTGGGCAAACAGATCAGAAGCCCGCCGGAGGTTTCGGCCGAGTTTCCCTGAAGCAACTGGAACATGTTACCACACGCTTTCGCCACTGCCGCCATTTTCGCGATAACGGGCAGATTGTGAATCACAAACGACACCTCGTTCTTCTGGTGGGAAGCTAACGTCTGCGCGTGTCCCAGGAGGCCAAAGCCTGTCACATCGGTCGCGCCATGAGCGTTGTATTTGTGCATCAGTCGGCTGGCTATGCGATTAAGTCGGGCCATGGAATCCATGGCACGGTGGTAGGCTTTTCGGACATCTTCCTCGCTCACGACGAGCTTTATTCGGTTCCAACGTTCTGGTTGGTCCAACCATTGATGAGCATTTACTGCAACCTGGCATTAGAATAATGATAATCACTTTAATGATCCAACCATCATGGAAGTAAAAAATCAATTCAATAATTTGTAAAATTAATTAACTTATTACCGAAAAATTCAAATATATGCTGGATATTTTCTATACATATAAGAAACATAGCACAAATAAATACCTTACTTTTCTACCATAATCTAATCCAGCAAGTGACCTTGAATTAAAATTAGTCTTATGCTGTTTATGCTTGTGCTTTTAATTCTTGATCTTAACGTATAAGAATCTGCTCTGATAGAATCATCTAAAATTTGGTATTGGTATTTATATCTAAATACCAATCCATTTATTTTTGATTTGGAGCTAACAGGTGTACTACGGGCTACAGGTCTGTGGCTCCATGATTTGCCTTGTACTTTTCACTTTGGTTTTTAGAATATCAGTGTAAATTCTCTATTTCAAAAAAAGATCAAAGAGCAACAGGCAAATATTTGGTAAGAGTTGTATTTTTTAGCTGTCTCAGTTTTGTTATAGACATCCTTCTAACCTTTGCTTTAAGACCAATGTATACTATCTACCAAAACAATTATTTTAACATCTGGAATTGTACCTGACAGAATTTTCAATTGACATATGAAAACCAAGCCCCTCTTAGAGCTCTGGTTTCTAAGCTAATAGTAAATGGATGAACTTAAAAAACATATCCCTTACCCAGTTCCCAATATTTTTTTATAATACATACCGACTAAAAATATTTCCTTTACCAAAAATTATTAATTATTTTCAAATTTTGCTTAATTTTAATAAACTACAAAAATTCAACTAGGACAAATGATTTTCTAGACAGATTACACTTGGAAATTTGTCTGATATCAATAAACTGCTTATTTTTACCTTACAAGTTGGAGAATAGAGAATACAAAATTAAGAATTATTATTATATTGTACATATGGAAACTGAAAAATTACACAAGTATAGAAATTTGAAAAGTAGTCTGGTTTGTTAACAAATATTGACGATTTATTGACATTTCCATTGTTATCATTTAACTACAAAGTGAAGATTACCTTTTTTTAATGTGAAAATGACCACGTATTTCAAGCAACATTACATAAATAACACAAATACAAATCAAATAAACCGGCATAAATTTAATTAAACACAAACAATATATAGAACAAATCAACTTACTTGCGTGCCCAATGGTTTAGTCAGCACTAAGACATCTCCAACAACAGCATTATCTGGCACAATATACTCATTTGGTTGGGCGACAGTGGATGCAACTCCCCCAATTGTGCACCACGGGTTGACCACAGTCTGTCCACCAGTAACTGTTGTACCAGCTTCCAAAGCAGAGTCCTTGAATCCTCTCATAATCAATGGAATAACTACGTCGCGCTCCTTTTCAGTCATCTTGGTGCTAACACCCAATAACATGAGCATATTGTCACATTCAGTAACTCCCATAGCGTACAAATCGCTAAGCACATTAGCGCAAGCAATTTTGCCCATCATATAGGGGTCGTCAACCAAGGGGTAGAAAAAGTCCGTCGTTTGAACGAGTACCAGACCGCCATGGCGCAGAGGAGTAACCTTTTTAAAAAAATGTTATATATTTCTTAAAAATCAAAAGTAATTTTGAATAATAACTGTACCAAAAACATTTTCCAAAAAACTTTTCAAAATAAAACTTAACCAATCGCAGTAAGGGCGCAGGAAGGCGATGTGAACAAAAGCCGGTATGTATCAACTTCTTTCAACTTACCGAACAATCAAGGCCAATACCAATTCGCGGGATGGCCATATGCATGAAATGAGCGTGTTCATGATCGCCACCGCTATTGTAGTCCTGCTGCAGCCCCTCAACCAGTTTGTTGAGTACTTCCTGGGGCACTTTGCATCCACGGCCTTTCAAATCTGCGAAACGTGTCAACCTAAAACTAGCTTCTAAATCGTGGGCTAATGGGTCGAAAGGCCGGCGAAGCGCCAAGGCATTAGGATTTCCACCCAATTCAAGCTGAACTGCCCCCAAAGCGTCCTGTTGAACACCCGCAACTTGATAATCGCCCATGCCGGTATTTGTTTGGAAACTATATTTTAAATTCGACTCGTACTAGCGTGTTAAAAACACTGGCTTCTCGAGAGCGTTTCTCAAACAATCACACAACGCTTGTAAAATGGCGCCCGTTACCACTGAAATAAGAGTCGTATGCGCATGGCGGGATCTCAGCAACGCGGTCATTGGTTAGATTTATTGATGTTTTATACTTGAAGTTGTCAAAAGTTTAGTCCAGAAAATTCTGCTCGTAATAATAAAACTCGTTGAAATAATGAAATGCCAAGATATTTAATATTATACGCAATTGCTGATGTTTAACTAATGGAAGAATATAATTTACAAAAAATATAATCGACTTAGGAAGGTTCAAAATATATGTATTCTTATTCAATAGTTACAGAATGCGTAGTAATTCTAAAACCATGTTGCCAAAACCTCGTCTAAGGAAGGGACAAATTTATTTTATTTCTCTATATTAAAATAATTTAAAATAAAATAGTATTAGTATAAATGTTTTTATAGAATGAAGCTAGAAGTACGGCTTCGAGATTGTGTCGTCCCATTCTTGATATAAAGATCATGTTATGTTTAGCCATATTTTTTGCAGAAAATTTTGGAAATATTTGAATATTCCTTCCAAACCGCAATTTTATCAAAGCGTATCAGACGTCTTAATCACAATTTTAATAATAGTTGCATATTAATAGGTATTTAATTTATACTATACTTAAATTAAGGTCTAACATTGTTTGCAGCGTCATTCTATATTATTTGTGTAGAGATTTAATTAAAATATAACGAATGTTATTTGAACAGAATCAATGAAATGATAAACATCTATTTACTCTTTTTTCATTTGATGATTTGATCGCGATCCAATGTTGCTGTTGGCTTTCTGTGCTTTAATTGTGTAGATATAAGCAAATTTTTGGTTAGTTTCTATTACTGAGTTGATAGAGAAAAAAACCATTGTAGACAGAGTACAACTTAACTACAATGGAATCCACTTAAAATTTTCTTTGGTATATTTTTGCTCTCCAGCACGCAGCAAACGCACTGTTCAAAAATTGCTAATGAAAATGTCAACAAAAAAATAGCATCTAAATATGCTAGAAAAAAAAAGATTGTAGGGGGAAAGTTTTACAGAGTTTTCTTGGAAATCTAGCATGGGGAAAATTTTACAGTTTTCTTGGAAATCTAATGATGCAGCGTATTCTTTTTTGCATTTAAGGATATTCAATAAAAACACATGGCTGTGTTCATTCCGCTTTATAAGGCTTTTTGCGTCTTAGCGATTCGTTAGAAGTTTTTATGATTAGAAAAATCTTAAAGTTCTGAATTTTTCTATTGCAGGGTTATTGAGGAAGCTGTTTCATCAAAAAAAAAATCAAAGTGACTTCTGATTATGCTGGAAGTCACCATTAGCTGCTTTCGTTATTTTAAATGGAACTGGCGTGTATATTATTTCATTTTTGGCCGCTCCTAACCGCTTGCTGTTATAATCCAAGGGCTGTCCTGATGAGATAAAAAATAAAACAATAAACTTAAATCTGTTAATTTAGTATTGACATTTTCTGCATAAAAACTTACAACAAAAAGATCCTAACCTAAAATTATAAACAGCAAAAGCATTGATATTAATTCTAGGTAGCCGTTATATTGCACCCACAGCAGCAAGGACATTTAGCTTTCCTCAGTTCCATCATTACGGAATATTTGATAAACCGTAACTGTATGGGTATCATCATTAAACTTACAGGATACACAAAGTTCGGCTATTCTGAACACGTAACAGTGACTGCCCCACCTTTCTCTCAGATACACGGATCTCGGGTCCTCCTGCAGTACATTCATGATTGTATTTTTTTTGTCCCACTAAAAATAAAACATAAAAGAGAGTTTGTCATTTTCGAATGATGACTTAGTTTTAACTTCAAAGGTCACCAACCTCAGCACCGAGTTCCTTAAGCTGTGTCAAGGCTCTGTCTTTAAAGCAGACTGTCAGTTTTGCAACCGGAGCTTGACTGATCCAAGAGGGTACACGTACATGTCCGTGAGATGCGCCTGGTTGGGATACCTTGGATCCCTGCTGACCACTTGTTGAAGGTTCTTCCTCTTCCCCGTCAGGCGCCTCCCTTTCACCAATGCGAGTGTTTGATCTTGAAAACAACACTTGTCACCCAACTGCAGTGTATTAGAACAAAACAGAATTGATCAAAAAACCAATGTATCTTACAAAAGTTCCTGAAAAAAATCTTTACATAAAGATGTTGCGGTTAGAAACAGTAAGCACTCTGAAAATTCTGAAGCAAAGTTAAAATGATTTTTTTACCTAATATTTTAACTAGTAAGATATGATATGCACCATGTGCACATAATCAAAATTGCGCATTTTGATTGAATTGTAATAAATACGTATCATATCGTGTTTTTACACATTTGAAAACACCTTTGTTACTACAAAGTGTGTAAGCACATACAACAGCCAGTCATTTAATAATTAGCAACTATGTCAAGACTGTTTGATATATATGCATATGTTTCATTGCTAAGTTGTTAATTTTATGTAAATGTGGCTTTGCCAATTGTAGTTAGGTATTGTTTAGTTAATAATTAAGTGTGAGACAAAATATCTAGGTCTGTATGTCACAAAATGAAGTTGAGATGGACACAAAAATTCATTTTTTTTTTATTTCCGATTTTTGTTTTTGCCCGGATATCCGAAACTAATGGGATTTTTTTCGATTTTGAAACGATTTTAAATAAAGCACCAAAATAGGCAACTTCGCCAACACTTAACTGACTTCATATCTCTCACGGTTTCCGAGATCCCAATAATCCCCCCAAAATTTGAGACACCCTGTATATTATTAACCCTGAAAGCCTGATCATTATTAATTTATAGTATCGCCAATAACCTTAAATTGACACGCTTTCTCACGGAGGTACCTAATTTGGCTAGTTTCTTAGATATCTTGATTATTTTAAAACATAAGAATGATACTTTCGAAATTGACAGTGAGAGTTGCTTTATGGATTGCAGGTTATGCAAAATTTACGAACAAATTACATAATTGGCAAAGCCTCCAAACTTTTTAAAATGAGGAGATTCCTGTATGTAGGAAAACATATTTTATTATCGAATATTTTACTGAGCCCTCACAACACTATATTTTTTTTGCAAATTGCTAGTTTCAATTTGTTTTCCTGAATAAATTGAAGAAATTTCACACTGGAGGGCAAGGACGAATTTGAATGTTTCATCCTTACAACTTTTTTTTCTATTTTTTATTTACCTAATTTAAAATAATATAGAAAGTACTATTCTTTCTGTTGCATTTTGTTGCTAAATTCAAGTATTTCAGTTTTTAAAAAATTACATATTCAGGTCAAATTTAAACTCACTGTACATAGCAATACCTATCTGAAAACGACTGATCCACTCTGTAATGCAAACTTCCAACAACTGATTCAACTTCTTGATCCAGAGTAAGGTTTTCCTGACCATCCATAACCCTACTCAAGACTTCATTGGTATCAGTTAGTTCAGAGGAACTTGAAACATCTAAACCCGATTCTTCCAAACCAGTAGGTTCACTTGGCTGATTGAAAGAATGAGTAGAATTAAACAGGACCGGATTGTCATACTGCGGTATATATGGCTTTATATCAAGAACCGGGGTGCCATTGACCATGTCAACTCCGCAGAAATAAATAATGTTGTCCTTAATTCTATCTATTTTAACTAAAGATAAACCAATAGGACAAGGACGATGAGGAGATCTTGTAGCAAATACTCCGGTTTTTGTGCCATTCAACCGGGGTACTGCTACTTTGGCTTTATTGTGTTTTGAATCATTTTTGTCAAAGTAAAAGAGAATCCACATATGAGAAAATTCTTGCAAACCCTCCAGTGCATGGCTAGGATTTGTGAAAACATCCTTTTCAAGTATTAATTTTGCGACTATATCTCTACATATAGTTGTCTGTCGAGGAGTACACCTTTTTTCTGGAAAGTTTGTCTCAATACTCCCTATTGGTTTAAACAACAGTTCACTCTGATCCTGTGCTGATGAACAAGGTTGTGAAATATCATTAACACTGTTTCTGCAATTAGTACATTGCCAGGTTTCTAGTTGTCTGTAAATGTCAGCAACTTCCTTCCGATGGATATGATTCAGCGACAGCAGAAGTTTGCTATAATTAAGTAAAGCGTAACTATAAACCAAAAACTTGGTATTTCCTACCTACCGAAGGTTGTTGATCTCTTTTCGAGCTAGTTCTAGTTGATTGGTCAAACGCTGCACGTCCGACATGTTTGTTCAAATTTGTTTTTACTTAACCACATTAATTTCATATTTTCTTGGGTGTTATGATTTCACATTACATTTCAATTTTTTTCGACGAGATCATAAATTCCTTACCGACTTAACCTCACTATTTTGTTTGCTTTAATATCTTTCTCTCATATTATATCGCTCTCTCTCTCTCTCTCTCGGATTTGGACTTCGACAAATCCATTGCATTAAATTTTGACCATAATTGCTGCGGACAGGACAGCATCCCTTAACCCTCGAGCGCTGCGTTTGTCAGTTTCGATCAACATCAAAAGGGACCTTGTGACGTACTGAATCAAAGATTTAGTATTAGTTACAAAAATATACCTTTCAAAATAAATTTACTACATTAAAACCCGACAAATATTTTTTATTGTTGCAGCGATCTCAGTTCTACCCGAAACTAATGATAACTTCGGAATTTTAAATGGACAACCCTGACTATCACCTCTTATTACAGAGTCGGGTTCTAGTCAAACATCTAAGTTGTGGGTGTCTACTATTTTAGATTTTCCCTATAATTTTGTTTTAAAGGATGCAACTCCTATTTTTAGAAACTATTTTATTCAACATACAAGAATCTCGTGATAACTATTCTTGTGTATACGTCATACTTGTTTGTTATTCCCCGGAACACTAGAATTTACCGCTGGTCTAACTAATCTAGCCATAACATAATGTTAGGAAATATTCCTTCCTTGAACGCTATGCCTTTAAAAAGGATGAATGAAATTAAAAGTTTAGGGGTCTTGCTTGCTAAGGGCTAAAGTAGTTTAGGTACTATAAGAAGGGGGTCGATTTATCACCATTTCTGTATTTTAAAATTTTGTACTTTTGCCGTTGTTCCTTCAATAGTAGAATATGCTAGCCCGGCTTGATCGTCTTTTCAGAAAACTCATATTAACACGTAATAACATAAATAAGTTATAAATAGTTAAGTTCTTCGGTATATTTGTTTTTGCATTTTGTATGCGTTATAAATTCGTTTCTGTGGTTTATCATAACTTTCAGTAGCTTCAAGAGGGTGCATAATGACATACGTGGGAATCTGCATGGCACTTCAAAAAGAAGATAACCATACCTTTTTTTTTTAATTAAAAAAAATAAATAAATAGGTTAATTGTCAGGAGGACACATATGGGGTATTATTGTAGTCAGAATTGAAATACGCAACAATATACCGGGTGTCTTAAACTTAAATTAGAAAGTTACCCTCCTCGGAAAATGCAGATTTTTCAAAAACGATTTCTATCTTGAAAACGGCTCGTCGACTCAGTTCGGTCAGAAGTTCGGTTTTCACCTATTAAAAATTAAACGCCGGATATGGAGTCGTTTTTTCTCTATTTTCCTTCGAAGTACCTGAAACCCTCCCAAAACCAACGAATCTTGGGCACCTGGTATATTGAAAATAATTTTTTCATCTCATTAGTCATCTCTTAGTAGTCTTAGTAGACAATAATCGACTATCGTCAATATGTTTTAATTACTCTATCACTCATTTTCCTTTAGTTCGTGATAAAATAATAATGAATGAATGACAATATATCAGGTAGGTGGTCAAAAATTACAACAAAGTGGAAAACGAGCCCAACTAGAAACAACAGAGGACCTATAAAAAAAATAAGAGAGCAACAAGGAGAAAGAAAAAATGCAAAATTAGAAAATTCCTTTTGCTTCATTTACCTACTAGGATTTTAGAACGCCTTTTGCTGGTCGTAAATGCTTGGTTTCAGAGTTTAACAAAATTTCACGAATTTAAAATAATGTATAAATTATTTAATTAATAAATAAATACATTTAGATTTAACAAACTAATTTATTTACTTTAGAAATTTATCAAAAATCCAAATAAATAATAAACTCTTATAAGCGCATAGACTGAATAACTGGGAACCTCAATCTGTGGTAACTATAATTAACATAAATTTGAAAATTTGGGATTATAATCTGGCCAATGAGTCTATCGGCATGATAATCTTAAGACTTACAGTTACACCAGAAGTAAGTACCAACTTCCTTATTTTAAATACATACATAATTATTTGTGCTATAATTTTCATTAGTTAATATTCTTCATAGAGAAGGGCATTAAGAAATTTAGTTTAGAATTTCGTTAATTATTAATGAAATGCATAATAATGAATGATGAATGAATGAATTAATGAATGATTGATGAAACAATTACTAATAAAGCCGAAAATAAATTTGAATCGTTAGTTGAATGAATACTCACCAAAAATGCAAATTAAAGATTCTACCAAGTTTGCAAGCTCAATCTATACATAGCTTAAAAAAGTTATTTAATAATTGTATTCGTGCATTTCTTTAGTTAAATTTGTTATTTAAAGATGCCTCAATTAATGTAACGTGTTCAAAACTCAAACACAATTTCAGAAATACGTTAAAACTTCACAAATATATCACAGATTTCACTGGTCTGGTATACCAGATTTCACTCGTGATGCGTACAAAATGGCATTGCGTCTGAGAAAAAAACTGTTTTAAGCATTATCATATTCAGCATTAACTCTGTAAATACATATGGTAGGCTTTCTGCAATATATTAAACAAAAAGAAGAAAAAACATTGTTCCTAGCTTATAACCGTTACCCTGCATCAAATACAAGAAGTTCCATCTTTTTAAACCTATGCGATTCTTCTAAAATGATTAAAGATGATCTGAACTTGCTGTAAAATTGTAGCGCTGCTCGTTTAAACTAGTTACGTCCCTGAGCAGATATAGACAAACAAGTACTTGAAAGGATCGGGACTATCTACACGAATTCAATCTTATCATTTGGTTTTACGATGGGCAATATTTTTAAGTGTTGTTAATGAATGCGGGTAGTCTGGTATTTGCGAATACTTGGGAATCAATGTTGTGATTTATACCGAAGATGTTCCAGTACGACGCTGTAAGAGATCAGTACATCGAGGTGGAGTTCGATGAGTTTTCCGAGAGCGAAGGGGAGGAAGAATTAACACCGACTGATACTATACGATTCTTGAATCCTTTGCTTGTACTGAGAAGGCAAAAAACTAGACGGTAAAGCCTTTTAAATTTAAACAATTTTTAATATGTACAAGATAGTAATAGCGGTCATTACAAACTAGAAGGAGATTCATCCATAAATATATCTATATCTAAACTGAAATTGAAACGAAAAAATAAAAATTTTATTTATATATTTCTTAATTCGAGAAAATAATAAAATGAAATTTTCCAATGACAGGGATTATTAAACCGAGTAAATTTATAATTGTGAAATTAATTGTTCTAAGATCAAGGAAGAATACAAAAATTGTAATAAATAGTAGTTTTAAAAAATCTGCTCTATACAATACAACTTTATTTGTACGTTTTAGCCCATGTTCTGAATAGTCAGATGAACTATAGGGGTTGGAATCCGGAGAAAAAATAAAGGATTCTACGGTGTTCCCTTGCATGTTATAGGCTTCCCAACTCTCATTATATAAAGAGCTTTATTTGATTTACAATCTCCAGTAGCTCCTTTTCAGCGTATTTTTCTGCAATTGCTTCTTAGTTAAAGAATGATCTCATTTCTTTGACATGAACCGCCTGGAGGTAACTATAATTATAATTTTAAAGAACAAGGCACAAGGCTAGGTAGGTCAAACTAATTGTCCTTGTACCTGTCACTCTCGAAGACCACGAAGTTTTACAGTTCAATAATGATTTATAACTCTCTCGCATTGAGAAAGATTGAAGAAAATTTTGAATGTTTTTTAACGTTTAAATTAAAAAAAAAAAAAACGTGATATGTGATATGTTTTTTGTCGAGAAAGGGCCAGATTTATTTTTTTTTACATTTTTGTCACTATTAAATCAAAGCAATGTTTTTTAAAGAAATTTCCTGTTTACAAATCTTCTTTCAATCTAAAAGTTTCAGTTAAGCTCTGAAGAATCCAACCGACACAGGAGGAATTCAATAGCAAATCAATATTATTTTTAAATAAAGCGCAAAAATATACATTATTAAATGAAGTTAACAATTTCCGTTAAGTTATTATTACAATCTGTTCGATGTGTAAATACATAAAAAAAGAAATTTCTTTTGCCGGATATATTCATCAACACACAATTTACCACTTAAAAAAACGTTCTTCTACTCCCTTCTGTAAAATACCCAATTATACACGGATCTAGCATGCAGAAAGCGCCACTTTACTACATGCGTCTCTTGTCGCAGAGATCCGGTCACTTCTGACATTTCCGGGATTTCACCGCACGGGTTGGGGAGCAATCGGATGTTTTCGGAGATATTTCCCACGCCTTGACTTTTGATGTTTGTCAATTCTGACGGTCATGTCAGTGAATGTATTCGTGTTGTTTTGCGAAAATGTACCCAAAAACTAGCGGTCGAATGCAACACATTTGGTAAACTTTTAAGTCACACGTTTATTAAACACTCGCTCCGCTGCGTTCCGCTTGTGCCAAATAAACGCGTGACTCAAACGCCTTGTTGCATAATATACTATTGTACGTATGGTACATATACGAGATAACCCCAAAGATAGCTAGAATATATTAAAACTACGAGAAGAAAAACTTGGCATGATTTCACAAAGTACCCCGCAACAAATGGTTTAAGTCCAAGAAATTTAAACAGGAGAAATAATATCAAATAATTAATATCCTTTTACACCTATCTGCTATTAGTATGAACATGTGACAAAGAAAAGAATACCCATTAACACCCGTCTCCCTTGAAATCAACTTAATGAAAAATTTTAAAGTTCAATAACTCTTTCGCATCAAGAAACATAATATAGTCTCACTGTAGAATGTTGTGGATTGTTCACGGTGATTCCAAATAAACAGCAAAAATTATTGAAACTAAAGTTACTTTGCTGTGTCACCATTTTTGTTTGAAAAACGGCTATCAAAAACAAATTTCCACATGCTTTTATTTTATTTATTATATTTTAGAAAATCCAGAGCCAGTTTCTTAAATTTCGTCCATCTGACGAGGATAGTGAGAAAATCGGGCCGCCTCAACACATTTCTGACCCAATTGCCCAACAAAAATCTGTCTTACATAAGGGATTTGGGCAACACATTGCTGACACTCCGATGGAGATGGATCCTCTTGACCCTTTATCTGGTAAACTTTACTTGTTTTGTGATATTCAGTTGGCTGTGGATGCTGCTGGCCATGGTTAGCGGTGATTTCAACGAAGGCACGAGAGCTAAGGGCACGTGTATCGTCAATGCCCATACGTTCACAGGTAATAATTGTAAATTCGCAGTGGCAAATATATTTTTAGTATTTGTTACGTCCAGGATACCTTCTCTTGAGTATAGAAACCATGACAACTATAGGATACGGGTACAGATATCCTACGGAGCACTGTACCGGCGGTTGGGTATTATTATTATTCCAGACGCTTTTGAGTGTGTTTGTGCAGGGAGCTTTGGTCAGTGTGGTTTACGTCAAGACCTCGAAACCTTTCACGAACATATCTTCGTCGCTGTTTAGCAAACGAGCAGTGGTGAGTGGTGGTTTTATTTTTTATAACAAGATTCAGTAACATGACTAACTAAAGTCGCAATTTTCTAAGGTACAGTAAAAATAATTAGATTTATCTTAGGTCAGAAAAGTAAGTAAAAATATTGCTAAACAAAAGAAAGAAAGTAGAAATAAAATGAATTTCGTTTGAGCAAACAACTCTTACTGTTTGATTTTTAAGCGAATTGAGTGACAAAGCAAAATATCTATCTGCAAAAAGTAACTTGTTATAATATCTTTGAAAAAGAGATATTGGTGAGTTATTTCCTAAATTTGAATTATAGTAGACGTTCTAGTCATTACCACCTTGGCATTAAAAGACAATTTTTCTAACAGTTTTGGGCAATCTACTCTGTTATTAACAATATTATGCAAAAAAAATGCTACTGTATACTATTCGTCTACCTACCTCTAGTAGATTGCGTTTATATCTTAAGCTCAAGTGGTTCTTTGAATATTTTCAATCCTATTTACATATTTATAGTACCGCAAATAGGCGTTATATAATACGATCAGCGACTTGGGATCTAAAAATTCTTTCTTTAAATAAAACCCAAGTTTTTGTACCCTTTTCTCACTATGTCTTCAATATGAATTTCAAAACTTAGTTCGTTTAGTTGCTTCACTTTACGCAAATTTATTGACCGCCTCTCTTCGGCCTATTTTTATAGCGGCAGATGATAATCTTGACTGTCATTGTCCGGGCAACGAGGTACGATGTTAGAGAAACCGACGATTCTAGAAATTAGAACAAGAAATTTATTAAGTAAATTGTCCAAGGGAAAATGATCGAAATTCTTTTCGAGTTTCTGAAATGGCATCCAATTCTTGATTTTGTTTAATTCTCTTTACTCTATCTGTAAAAGGAAAGTAGTGCAGGGTTCGAACACTTCATAAAATAAATGTTGAACTTCTAAAAGTCTTAACGTATTTTACCTTGGAGTTCTTAAAATGCGGTTTTCCTAGTTATGAGTGACGCGATTTCGATCGTTTACCTTGCCACCAGATGGCGTTTTCACACAAAAAAAACTTTTTTTGACATCCTTCTATCACTCTCATTATTCTCATTCTCTTTACCCGTTTTCAAATATTTAGTATCACTCATTATCACTTGCTATCACGACGATAAGGATGTTGTATACATCGACGCTTTCAAATATGCGTTGCTACGTGCTCGTCTTCTACTATGGGTTTCGAATTTCAAAATACTACACTGTATACACTACAATTTGCTGATGACCAAGTAATTGTTCAATCGGTAAAATACTTGAGATTAATGACCAGGAAGTTATTGGAGCAGTGTCGACCATATAGCTATTATCCTACTGATATTTTCGTAGGGAAGGTAATCATTTTCCGCGGTTTTGCACCCACGAGCCTGTCTTTTGCGCCATTTTCTTCTTAAAAGGCAATTTCCTCACACCTAAGTCGTTTTCCCAGAATATTTAATGACATCCAGGCATCTTTTGCGATATACAGCCCTAAACACCCACAACCTTATTAACGATCGTCCAGCAGCCATGTTGGTTGTTGAATGTCGCAAGGTCATTGGTTAAACACGAAATTTTAAACGTCGCGCATGCGCATGTTGAATGGACCTTTTCAATTTTTTTTACCATTTACAACTTACCTAGCATTTGAATTGTCTTCTGTAAAGAATCACACATTTAGTGCAATAATAATATACACGAGCGGATACCAGCGGAGCGAGTGTTTAATAAACGAGTGACTTAAAAGTTTACCAGATGTGTTGCATACGACTGCTAGTTTTTGGGTACATTTTTGCAAACCAGTACGAATATATTCACTGATATGACCGTCAGAAGTGACATACGTCAAAATTCAAGCCGAGCGGTAATACCTCCTACATAAATAATTCAATAATTAAACTTTTATAACTTTTAATGTCAAGAATAATAATAATAAATAATAATAATAATAATGTTAATAATACCATAAATAACACCATTTTTTCTCTATTTACTATTAAAAATCTTCTGCATTTCTCCTGCGTCTATTGGTGTGCATTTGCTGACGTTTCGCCAATCACCATATTAACTTGTTCAGAGCTTAACTGAAACTGGTTTGAGAGAATGGATTAATTTGGTAGAATAAGACTTAATGATGGCAATTGCTGTTAATTTTATTTGTCGTGGTCTTAAGGTTCTTTCATTTTCTTTTAGCATTACGCTCTCTGCTGGTCATTTTAGAAATTCGTAAATAGTTTCCAGCATTTTGTCTTGACCGTTTTTTTTTTTTGAAATTTTTGGGACTGTTTATTTTCCTAATCTCGTTGCGTTGCTCTTACTGGGACGCTCTATATAAGTTAAGTGTGCGTAGATCCTTGTTTAGAAAGAAAATGACGCAAAGTGCAGTTTAATGTGCGAAATTTAGAAGCATACTTTTTCTAATCGCTGTATGTCACAAACAAAATTAAAGGCGGATTCCGCTTCTTAACTGCAGTAACAGAGGTGGTGGGAAGGAGGTAAGTTAGTCTTGCGGGTTGGCTCGAGTCAAACAATTTATATTATTATATTAATATATTATTTATTTATATCTTATTTGGTAATGGTAGCAAACCAATTTTAATTTAAATGGCAGTTCATTGGACCTTGTTGGTCAAAACCATTAAATCATATAAGTTTTTTTTTCTGGATTACGTTTAATTGCGACGACGGTATCGGACATAAGTATTGCAATAAATAAAAATAGCGAAGAAATGTACAAAATATTTTACAAAAGTAGGAGATTATGTAATTTTGTGTGCATATTGTGTATTAGTGTAGTGGTTCCAGGACAAAAGTTCAGTTTGCAACTTACTGTTTTATTAACGCCAGTTTACAATAAAAAATGGGGGATGGAGTTGCCGTGTCCAGAAATTTAAGAATAAAACAAGCTACTGTTGCTCGAATGTGTTCCTTAATTTCCAGCACAGTTTTACGGATAATCTCATATTTTAATGGCAGATATAACTTAAATGCTATTCAGGGAGAAAAACTACTGCACATGAAGGCAGGTTGATAAAACGCATTACTGTGAACGATGCGAACGATGTGAACATTTCCTGCAGAACTATTCAAAGGAGGTTAGTGGCCGCACGGTTATATAGTAGGAGACAAGCCAAGAAACCTTTAATTTCTGCTAGAAATAGAGCTGCATTCGTACAAAGGCATATCAACTGAACTGCTCCTGACTGACTTAATGGAATGGAATGAGACACGTTAGAAGACCTGTAAAACAGCCTTTTAATTCCAAGTATGTGACCCCTACAGTAAAAAATGGTAAAGGTAATGTAGTCTTGTGGGCTTGCTTTTCATCTAAGGGTTAGGTCCTCCGCACTTTATTAATGGCATAATGTACAAGATGCATTATGGAAAATGTTATGTTTCCTTTCGCAGGATGGGAAATGCTGCCACGGTTCATTCAAGACAATGATCCTAAACACCCTTGCAATCATGTGCAGCGGTGGATCAGGCAGAACAATGTTAGAGTTTTAAACTGGCCGCCGCAGTCGCCGTACTTACACCCGATTGAAAGCTTATGGGAAGAAGTAGAACAGCGAAAATCAACACCGTACCAAGAAGCTGTGGGAAAGTTATAGACAACAATGCGTACGTTATTGGTTAGTAAACTTATAAATAATTGAAATTATACCTTATAAAATATTGTTTGTTCTTTGCTTATGTAATCAGTAGACGTTAATAAAAAATGTTGCAGTGCTTTTGTCACCACTGTGTTTGAACAAATAATCCTCCAACTTCTTTACTACGCACGTTGTCTTGAATCCTGCCTTAATGAAAGATTTCGATGAACTATCATGGAAAAATAATACTTATGGCCAATAGTTTAGACACGTCCTGCAAATTAAAAACAAACGTGTTTCTTTTAGATTTGTTTGAGGGACGGGAAGCTTCGCTTCGTTTTTCGCATTCACGACTTTTCGCGAAAAATTTGGTGCGGCACCAATATATCCCTCTACTTTATCGACAAAGAGTCGGACCATGTAGACGCCGAATTCGAAATGCAACAAATGGCCATCGAGCCTCACGGCCTTCTAATCTTTCCGCTGGAAATTGAACATGTTATTGACGAAGACAGTCCCCTGTGGAAGTTTAGGCCCTTGGAAATTTTACAGGCAAGGTAATTTATTGATATATGTATCGCGAAAGATGTGCGATTTTGCCTCATCTTGTTACGGAATTAACACATAATCTTAATTATTACCAGAAAAAAGAGATATAGATCCTTCAAGCTCCAAGATGGCATATCCTAGTTTTAGGACTAGCAATGTTGGAAGTTTTTGGGGTTAAGAAAAACTAAGATCTTTGAAATTCTTGGACTTGGGATTATTCAAAATTTCATATTATTTCATAGTATTTTCAAACTCACACCACTTCGAAGTGTATTGTATTTTAGTTTTCTTGAGGAAAATTTATGACGAGTTCCATTAGTTTTCATACATATTTTCAACTGTTTCTCAGATGTCTAGATTTTTTTTTTTTGCAGATTTACCACAGTTTTTAATATTGGACCTTTTATCCATTTTTGATTGCTAATAAGAGCTTCTACAATATTCACGTACAGATTTGTCATAAACAAGGTGCTCAAGAGTTGCTTATTTGTTTGTTTTTTCAAATCAGGCACTCTGTTTTGCTTATTTTTGCTATAACTTTCAATAAATTTTAATTTTATTTTGAATGTAATTAGAACATAAGGACAAAACGGGAGCAATAAAATATATATTATTATTAGCTGTAAAATAAAAATATTGTACATTAATTTGCGTTTACGCACGCCACAAGCTGAAGTTAAAATTCATCGTAGGTTTGAAATAGTTGCTGTAGCCGAAGGAAGTTCAACGATAACAGGTCAAGTGTCCCAAAACCGAACTTCATATTCTCACTCCGATATTATGTGGGGACACAGATTCAAACAATGTGTAGAATACAACGACAATAAAAGGGCCTACATCGTGGACTACAAAAAATTCAAGCAAACTGTACCGTTTGACACGCCCCTTTGCAGCGCGAGGAAACTTGCCGAACTGCAGAGACGGAATCTGACGGACTTTGGCGGCGAGTTGGCCAAAAACAGACCAGAAGGCGGTCCGTTAAACTCCAAGCAAATTTGGGAAGCGGTGAAATCGAAAGAGGAACGTATACCTCAGGTATTTTACAAGTTGTTTCATAAGGAAAGTGTAAATAATTTTCAAGACAATGTTAATTACTGAACTGTAATTAGGTAGAAAATCGCGCAGTGAGCCAGGACTTTGGCACATTAAAATGAGTACAATGCTTCATGGGCTACTGTAATATTATTTCCTAATCTTCTGGACGCCTGTTGTTCATGAATCGTACTTGCTGCCGTTTCGCAAATCGTCCTGTTGGCTTCTTCGCAGCTTAATTGGTGAAGGTAAAGACCTCACATGCGGTAGGATGGTTTGGTTGTTTAGAGATTTCTATGGATTCTTCGTTATTTTTTTGGTAGAAGAATTGATTACATGTAAGAATTTTAGTTATGTCGAATAAGATTTTCATAATTATATTCTGCAATTATTGATGAGTTTCTCGTGATCTTTTAGCCCAGTTGCTATTTTTCCTCTCCAATGCATTATTTTTGAAATGCTTGAGAACTTGAGATTTTTGGACAACCTGGTTTTAACATTCTAAAATCTAATTTAAACATTACAAAAGCAAATTAAAGAAATGCTACGGTAGTCACCCACACAACTGAAAAAATTCAAGATATTCTTACAAACAGATCCTATCGTTTACTCAATGCAACTTTAAATCTGCTATTAAACTTTATTTTGAATCCGTGAAAAAATCTGTCACCTCTCACGACTCTTAAATTCATCGTTTCTGCGGATTCCCTGAGATTCACAAACCAGTAATAATCATTCCACTAATTGTTAGCAACATTGGTTCTCCAGCCTATTCTCTAGCAAAATATCTAGTTTCTCTATTAAAACCCTTTAGAGGCAAAACTGATGATTTCGTACACTTCATTTAACAATTAAAAACCATTACATTACAACGATATCTTGTTAGTTTCGATGTTAAGTCCTGAAACTCTACACATAATTTCAGATATAATAAAATCCAAAAATCTGAAATCAAATCTTTCCATTTTAATTGAAAAATGCTTATCTCGAACATGTTTTGCTTGTAACGGTCAAATTTATGAACAGCTCTGGGTCATCGCAAATATATCTATGAAAGCACTTTCCATCTAAAACCAAAACTATGAAGACGCTACGTTGATGATAATTTTCTTACTTGGTCTCGTAGTTCAAAATTCTTCCTACATTTTCTTGACCATTTAAACTCTATATACCCTAGCATACATTTTCGATATTTTTATAAATTAAAAATCAGACCTAACATTGGGTCATTATGTTTACAGAAAACCTACGCGGTCCAGAAGTCATCCTAATCAACCTATTATCTTATCAACTCTCTTGTATGTAGAGCCGTAAAGCTATCGCAACCTGAATTACTGGAACAAGAACTAAAACACCTAACGTCTGCTCTTCTCCCAAATAATTGCCACATTTTAGATATTAAGCGTTCTATTATTATAAAATAAAAAAAATATCACGAAAGCAATCTCACACTTGCCACTGTAGTCCTTTCTTATATTCAAAACATTATTGAGCAAATAGTTCCTAAGAAATATAATGTTAAAAACAGACACCTTGTCAAAACCATTTCGGGTGACAAAGGGTCTTAAAAAGGGAGGTTGCTTTTCTCCTACCTTTTTATACAAGAAATACTACAAAAATAGAGTCCAGGTATGGGAATTAAGGTTGGCGATCCCTACTTGTCAACATTATTCTTTGGTGATGATCAGGTACTAATTGCAAATGGTGAAGAGTATATAGATTATATGTTAAGGAAAGGATGAATAAAAATGAAAATGAACAGCTCCAAAGCAGAATACTTAAGAATAGCTAAAAAGAATACGAAGATCCAGAGTTGTGGTTAAGACAGGTTAATTAATGCGAAGAGTATACCGAAATACCGAAAGGATAGCGGAATACCTTGATAGTCTGACCTGTTCCAGTTGTATTCTGGGTTGTATGTCATTTGTGCCAAATAAAACGATCCACTATAGGAGATACGAAAAAAAGTTTCGTACGAAAGTTTCTTGAGCTCTCCTGAAGATTTAAAATATTATAATTTTGTTGATACAGGGTTTCCCAAAAATGTCCCCACCGACATAATATTTGTTATTTTAAACGAAACACCCTGTATATTTCGTCATTTTTTGAATTCTTGGTTAAAATAACGGTCACTCTCTTAAAAAATTCCTATTCGAATTTTGCATAGTTTAGGCAGAAATTGAGGCTATCTGTTTTTTTTTCATATTTTGATTGCCCCATATAAAATTGTGTTGTGACGCTACTAATCCAGGTATTGCAACGAAAATTTAACCACCAACTAAGGAGATGATGCACTACTCAATCAGCTTATACAGGTCGTCCCAAATAAGTGATGTCGTTTTGGCTAATTCAATTAACAAAATCTCAAAATTTTCAAATCGAACACCCTATATTTTTATTCAGATATTAATTGTAGGACAAAAAATAAGGTAAGGTAATTTATCTTATATTTAAATTTTACTTACTTTTTGAAATTTTCGAGGTTTAAGATAACACCCTTATAAAGTCTTGTTTTGGGACACCCTGTATTAACAAATTTATATTTTAAATCTTCAGGAGAGTCCAAGAAACTTTTGTACGAAACTTTTCTTTGTATCTCGTATGAGTTTCCAGATCGTATAGTATAATACAGGATAGTGGATCGTTTTATTTGGCACACAGTGTACAAGACATTCAACCTAGAATACAGCTGGGACAGGTACGAGTTTTGAATCCTTTACTTTGGCCAATCAAATATCTATAAAAACAAAATTGACAATATACAGAGAATGTTGGAGACTTAACGAAAAATATCAACTAGGCTAAAAGAACATGAAAGAGCCTGAAAACTACGACAAATAAACTCGTCAGCACACACGTACATTCATGCGGGAGCGTTTGGCGATAGTCTCGAGGCTATACATATGCGGTAGAACGGAAACTACGGCCTGCATGGTCGGTTGTAGACTTGTGCAGTTTTCAAAAATGAAACTTTTAAATATAGAATATATATGTCCATTTTCATAAATAAAAAATCCGAGAATCATAGGTCTTTACTTTTCACCAATATGGGAGTCAGTCATTCGAGAAAATGTTAATGCCCCTCCTTTAGCTCCGCCTCCCTCAACCAGTATATAAACAGGTAGAGGGTAGAATGCAAACCAGTTTCAATTAAGATCTGAAGAAATGAACAGAATGATGGGCGAAACATCAACAAGTTCGGTTCATCGACAACCGACCCAGGAAGAATAGTTTTTTTTTTAATGTCATTGCCATAAGTCAAAAAAGGTATTTTCTTAGAATCTAAACTATCCATTGGTATTACATCTACAAGCAAATATTAAATCTTAAATAAGTGATAAGCAACACAAAAAAACACGTCTTTCCTGGACGAAACCTAACAATTCAAAAGTTAAGGATCTAACAACGATAGAAAGAAAATATTTCTATATTAACTCGCAGATATTCGACGTTTCTTCGACTTCATTCTGATCACATCGAAGTTTCGCAAACAAAAAAGAAAAACGTGTGATAACGTATCTGGTTACTTGAATTTCTTTTCCACCTCACAAGGTTATCCATTTTGCTTAGATGTTAGTAAAACATGTTACCTTCTTAATGCATTACAAGCGTGTGAAATAAAATGTCGAAATTAAAAAGCAGTTTCTTTGTAATTTTTATCCCAACTTTTTCTCACGTTAGCCGGCACAAACTTTTGCAAACTATTCAGTAAATTCTGCGCAACCCCCGATCGGTCACTGCGCCGTACGGCGGACAGGTCCGTCAAACTATCGTCACTTAACTCCATAAATGCGGCGTCGGGCTCTTCATCCGACGAGCAGTTGGAAATATTATCTTCCCTATGAATTTGAACGGAAGTGATAACTTGCTGGCCACCCTCGTCTTCTGTGCCATCTCCGTCGCGCAACTCCTTGTTCAACAACACGGGGCTTGAGTATTTGGAACTCTCGTATACGCTGGTACTCGGCGAGGTTATCGTTAGCACGTCGTCGTATACTTCGTAAAGTCTTTTGGCGCTACATAGTGGCGTGACTACCTCTTCTGTCCTATGGAACAGGTCGTGGTTCACTTTGTATTTTCTCAGTCTTTTGTCGAACGTTGTACACTGTCTGAACTTGTGACCCCACTTTACTTCCCTGCTCAGGTACGAGGTGGTTGTCCTAGACATGTAGGAAGTGGCTAGGGATGAACCTTCCATGACTACGATGATTTCGAACCTGCAGAGACCGAAAAATTATAAGGTTCTCAAACTGTCGAGTACAGAACATAGGAGATAGGCGCCGAAGAGTAAGTTGTTTGAAATTTATATATTATTTTTTAAAAGTCGGCACTTGCCTACTCTCACCGTACCCACTTCCTAAAAGTCACTTCCTGGGTCAAGACTAAGCAGTATTTAAAGGAAACTTTCAGAAGGAATAATGTATGTTTTTATGAAAAGTAAAACATTTTTGACACAATTCAGGTTCTATGCCGGCTATTTCGCGTCTAATCTCCTGTTTCAGCTCTGGAATAGTGTTTGGTTTATTTCTATACACTCTGCTTTTTAGAGACCCAAAAAAAAAATCTAGGGGAGTAAAATCACATGATCGCGGCGGCCAATTGATATCGCCGTTACATGAGATAATCCGACCAAGAAACTTGCCCCGCAGCAATTGCATCGTTTCTCTGGATGTGTGACAAGTGGCTCCAACCTGTTGGAATCACAAATGTTCCAAATGCTGCCAGAAAAAATCAGATATCATGTTTCGATAGCGAACACCATTAACCGTAACAGCGTTCTCCGAATTTTCCTCGAAAAAAAAGGGCCAAATATTCCTCCGCACCAAAATGCGCACCAAACAGTCACTTTTTGAGGATGCATTGCTTTTTGAACAATCTCTCTTGGATTTTCTAATCTCCAAATACGAGCATTGTGTTTGTTTACAAAGCCACCAACGTGAAAATGTGCCTCATCGCTAAAGATGATTTTCGTTGAGAAATGAACCCCTTCTGCAAACACGCGGCGCTGTTGATGATCTGGAGGTTTCAACTCCTGAGTTTTTTGGACGTTATATGGGTGTAGATGCAAGTCTCTTGTTAAAATTCACGTAGAGCCAGAAATGCATTTTTTTTTGGCGTTTCAAAAATATTTCAGATTGTAATGTGGAAACTCTTATTGAATCGCCCGTTATTTATTAACGTTTCGATCGTAATTTCGATCTTTTTCAAAATATTCTTATTTTGTATAAGTGACATATAACAGTTGATGACATTTGACTTTGCGTTAATATATTAAAAATAAACAGGTACGGATATTTTCTATTAGCAAATATATTGGATAGTTTAATTTTGTTAGTTTAAAATTGAATGATGTATTTTGTTAAGGCCTTTAGAATCGGGTTTGCAATTAATTGATTTTTTGTTTTTTTGGTTTTCTAAACTTTCATAAAGTTCTCTTTTTTTGGTGTAAGGTTCTGTTAGTAGGACTGTAACGTTTTGAAAATAAAATGTGTGTTTGCTGTTGTCACAATGGGTATGAAGAGCTGTTTTGTTTTTTTTTGTCATACTTATGTCAGTTGATTCTATTTTTTCAATACTAGCTTGTTTGTCCTATATACACACTGTGGCAATTAGAGCATGGAATTTTATATACTACATTGCTTCTTTTTTCAACTGGAATGTTTGAGTTTAGTGAAGAGATATGATTTTTCTAAATAATAACTTTTGTGTCGTATTTGAATTTTGTGTTCCTTGAAAATGGTTTGGAGTTTTTCTGATAATCCAGGTAGCGATATATATTTGCTTTAAGGATTTCGATGTTGGTTTTTGTTTACGTTATTGTAAAATTTTTTGGTACGTTTACTAAAGATATTATCAATTAAGTTTTTGGGATAATTATTTTCTAGAAGTGCGCGTTTTGCTTTTTCAACTGCGCTGGTTTATATTCTGGATCGGATAACATTATTGCTGTCTGCGGGACCTATTATGACGGATTTTTTTGGGCTAGGAGATGATTAGATTTAAAATTTAGATAACGTGATGATTTTGTTTTCTTAGTATACCAACTTATTTCATTTTGTATGTGATGTAAAGATAAGTCTAAAAAGTTAATAGTATTTTGGTTCTCAATTTCAATTGTGAATTGTAATTTTTTGTGGAAATTATTGAAGGAGTTTAGCAATAAGTCTGTTTTTCTTTTTGGAACTGCAGTTATGATGTCGTCGACATATCGATAAAAAAATAGTAAATCTAATTGAATTTTTTTAATAACATTTTCTTCTAGATACTCCATAACAAGTTGTGCTACTATGCTTGAAATTGACTTACCCATTGCACAACCTTCGACTTATTTATAGAACATATGAAAAAATATGGATTTTAGAGTAAAATTTAAAGCCACTAAAAATTAATCGACAGGAATATCTGTGTGTAATTTAATTTTATCCCATTTTGTTTTAATTACTTGGGTGATAAGCTCAAAGGGTATGTTGGTATATAATGACACGACATCAAGCGAAACTAGAATTTAGTTGTTTGGTGTTTTTAATTTTTTTTTTTGTTTAAAGTCTATCGAGTATCTGATGTAACATTTATTTTGATTTACTACGTTTTTTAAAATATTTTTTAAATATTTAGATAAGTTTTATGAAAAACTAAGGCAAAGGAAGGTTATTTCGTAATATAACTTGAATTTTCTTATAAATTGCTGCAACCAGAACTTGCTGCCAACGTTTACGAGATTGTCTTATCACACACGCGCCAGAAAGACACAAGCTATCCTGGATAAAGCTAGCAACCAGATTAGGCGGACGGTACGAAATTAGTGAGACTGAGCGACAACTTTTCATACTTCACCTGAAACTAAGCAACGAGATCCATCAGTTGCTGTGGGACCGCATAGAATTGTTAACATTATGGCGCACTGAGAAAGACAAATATATCAAGTCAAAAAAACTGTGGAATAAATTATAAATTATTCAGTCAAATTCCAAGAAACCTAGACAAGTGCCAAACAAAAATCAAAGCCTTTCAGTTTATAATATTTGAGCATACCATCTTTCCGATACGGAAGTTATCGTACTGAATAAGGGATTTAACTATGCAGTAGCTCCAAATGGTAGACCCGTCGAAGAAATCGTTTCCAACATCGAAGCAAGTCTTTCTACCATTGACGAACAAGATGCGGCGTTAATAAGGCAAGATGTTACCAGAGTTTTAAGACAGTCAAAACCACCACAACCAAACTTAAGCAGAGAAGAAATGCAAGTCCTGAAGAATCCAAACAAAAACGAAAATATTATAATAATGCCAGCAGACAAACGAAAAGCCACTGGCATCCTGGGCAAATAGTATTGTCCTTAGTTTTTTTGTAGCTGTCTCTTTGAGGGTTGATGTTTCGTCACATTTTGACCCTTCTCCTGTTTCACTGTTTGTTGTTTGGATTCAATCATCTTTAGGAAGTTGTTGTTGAAATATTTTCTCCGATTTCTTGGCCACTTTTCTACAATATTGAACGTGAGTGGTTTTAGGCCTAGGATTATCTGCAGTGTGGCATTCTGATTATTACACAGGTCTTCATTGGCAGCTGCCAATATTTCTTCTCTAGTTGGTGTCTCTCTAGGGAACGAAACTGGAATCTTTATCAAAAAATGCGAATACGGAAGAGTGCGCACAGTCTCTTAAGGGGTACGCGTGGATGGGTATTATTTGGCACTGCGCAACGCACTTGTACTTTCTGTTGTAGTAGTTAAACAGTCCGATGTAACCTAACTTTTGAGATATGTCTATGATACATAAGGGTCAGGCTTTGAGGTCCATAAAATACATTCTGCACATCAGATCGACAGCTTATTGTGCGAACGTCAGATTTTACAAATCAAATAAATCTTACCGTTATTCGCATGAGAGTGTACGTACTATAGAAAAACTCAACAGACATGAATGTTGCCAACTAGGAAAAATTTGCAGTGCGTGCTGTTAAGCCCGGTCCACAAGATGCAATTTCTACATGTATTTCTGTATGTATTTTTTCATGTAAATATTGCAACGTGTCTACCACCAAATTGCGAGAAATTTGGCAGATAAAATTACCAACTATTTTTGCCAGAATTTGTCCGTGTAAATCGGCGCAAAACGTTTGTTTTAATAAACTTATAGGTTTAACCCCTGTGAAAAAATGTAAATAAAGTGAAAATCACGAAAGATGATTCTTAAAGGACTAAATATAATTTAGGAAATATTAGATATCGCCCAGGAAAAATCTAAATGGAAAAAGTGTTCAAGAAGCAACTGCAGAATCCCCTATAGACAGAAAGATTATCCCTTCATAGGAAGTCTAGTAGTTGCAGTTGAAAGATTCGCTTTTCAAATATAAAATTGTAAAAAGTGCCAACGGACAATTTGTTTCCAAATTTTTTAAGTATTTCAAAATATAAGCACGAAAATTAAGAGCTCTTATATAACAAGCCAATAAACAATTTGCTTAAAACAACTATGTTTCAATCTGCAACCTAAATTAGCACGAAATGTAATTACCCACCGATCTAGCGTGCGGGAGGCATCACTTTACCACGTCAATTTCATTTCCCATGAATCCGAACCACCTCGGACATTTCAGAGATTTTACCTCACGGATTTGGGAGAAATCGGATGTTTTCGGAGATATTACCCACGCTTTCAATTTTGACGTTTGTCAATTCTGACGGTCATGTCAGTGAATGTATTTGTGTTGTTTTGCGAAAATGTACGCAAAAACTAATGGTCGTAGAAAAAATATAGTATGCAACACGTTCGGTAAACTTTTTAACTCACTCGTTTATTAAAAACTCGCTCCGCTGCGGTCCGCTCGTGTCAAATAAACTCATGAGTCAAATGCCGTTTACCGCACTTGTTGCATACTATATTATTTCAGTATTTTCTCTGCTATTTTTGAAACGTGTAATAATTTCGGTTGGAAATAAATCAAATAAAGCGTGCTCCGTATCCGAATGTTGAAATGGGTTTAGCAGTTTTTCAAAAATCTCCAAACTCTTTTATTCAAGAAAGAGTTACAAGAAAGGAGAGCCATTAAAACAACAGCCTGTTTACTTATTCCGGGTGAGTTTTTCTTTTTCTTCTTTTTTACATTTTACACAACAAAATACATTTTTGAGCTTGATAATTACAAACAAGTCCAGATTTGCTGGTCTCGTTTCTTTGATAAAAAGGTGGTTAGTTCCAGAGTCTCCTAACCCAACACCCCTATATCACAAGACCTTGAAACGCTAGTGCTCTATCACTGCAACGACAGTGGCAGGATAGTATTCGAATGTTTTCTTAAATAAATGTCCATATCTTCCAAAAGGGTTAATCGCGGGGCAAATTACCAACCAAAATTGTTACACCAGATTTCACACATTTTTAAACGATTTTTTAGATTTCAAAATACTTTTAGATTATACGGAAAATTTTTGTATTCCTTCGTAATTAAAAAACTATTAAGTAAAAATAATTAATTTAACATACACTTACAAATTTAAAATGTTTTTTTTAAATTTTTTTTCTTATTTTCTTCTTCAGTTTAAGTGTTTTTTCATTTCATTATTTAAAACATTTAGACAGCAATTTCGATGATATTTCTAAATTTTCAGTCTATAAAAAAACAACAATTAAACCTAAATAGAAAAAAAAAGAGAAAATATTTTTTGAACCTTATCTTATAGCCTTAAAAACGCCAAGCAACAGACGAAGAGAGGATGATATTCTGGAAAAAAATTACATCGATGAATCATTGAGTCAACGCTCCAATAAATTAAAATATAACTTATCAAATAATATAGCAAATAGTGATTTAATCACATATTATTTGTTTAATATTTAAAAATGATTTAACTAATGTTAATTACCCCGTAGCTGTTTTCACATATTTAGTTATCACCTATTGCGCTTAATGACTAACTGGGTGACTAATCAATTGCTGAAGACTGTAGAAAACTAACCAAAACTAATTTTATTTACTATTGACCTATTTAAGTAGGTAAAATGTGGTAAACCATTTAAAAACATGTTGCTTGACAGAAATAATTCATTTGTAATTATCAAGTTTGCCATGAAAACAAATTTTGTTTTTATTTGACTAAACGCCCGCATCTTTCATGTCGTTATTTGATGCTGTCAAAGTCTTTTGATTTCCTACTGTTTTAATTCGTTAAAATTTAGTGCATTAAAATTATATTATTTAAACTTATCGCAATCCAGTGCCTAGAAGAAATCGACAAGTTAGAAATAAAGAAAAATACTGATTATTTCAATACACATTTGAATACTTTAATAATTAGATAATGACATTGGTCTCTCTTAACAATTGATTAGTTTTGGTTAGTTGACTATAAATAAATAAGTGGTAATAATGAATATTTGAAAACTGCTAAGCGAGTCAGAACGTATGACTGTCAGCTACTGGTGAATTTGGTGTTATTCGAATGTATTGCAAAAAGTAATAAAGATAAATATTCTTAATCAAATATCAAAATATCTGAATTCTTGATTCTTTAGATCAACTACTTAAGATTTTTTCTTATTTTAAATCGAGATAATGAATCTTTGAATTAGGACATATATCCTTATAATTAAACATGAACTAACCAAGGAGTTGGTGGATTTTTGTTATTTCAATACACATTTGAAAACTTAAATAATTAGATAATGAAATTGGTCGGTCGTAACAATTGATTAGTTTTGGTTAGTTGACCAAAAATAAATAAGTGGTTATACTGAATATTTGAAAACTGCTAAGCGAGTCAGAACGTAGGAATGTCAGCTACAAGTGAATTTGGTGTTATTCGCATGTATTGCAAAAAGTAATAAAGATAAATAATCTTAATCAAATATCAAAATATCTGAATTCTTGATTCTTCAGACCAACTACTTAAGATTTTTTCTTATTTTAAATCAAGATAATGAATTAGGACATATATCCTTATAATTGAACATGAACTAACCAAAACTAAACAAGGAGTTGGTAGATTTCTGTTAAGTAGAATTCATTGGACCATATCCAAAACTTTGGTTTAAAGGCTTTTTCGGGTATAGATATCCTTTTTACCTATGTAGCTTCTAAAAGAATGTCTTACCTTTTCACCATCAAATCCTTTGCGGATATATCCCAAAACGGACTGAACCGATCTATTTTGTGTACAACATCTATCGGCCAGATCAAAATTCCGGTCGGCTGGAGTGTAAGAAGTTTCAAAGACAGCTCTCTCGCGTGATTTTCTACCACATAGGCCACGATTTTGTTTTGTGCCTCGTGCCTTTTGTCGCAGTCTCTCACTCGGAATATCAAACAAAGTGCACCATCTCGTTGACAAATCTGCAAATAAGATTGAAGTCTTTGAGGACCCATTTTGAATTTAATCAACTACCAAATGATATAAACTTTGTTTTGTTTTGTTTAATGATTTGTTATCTGGAATTTCCATAACTAATCCTTTTTAAATATAAAATTTGGTCTTATAACTGCAAATTTTACAGTCAAAGGTAAACTTTAGAAAACTATATAGTTATACTAAATATAGGGTGTCCAATAATGAGTCGGCGCTTGATAACGGCTGGCGGATCCACTATATAGGGTTATTTACAGTGAGTGTCCTATTAGATGTTTATGGAGAATGACTTATGGTAAAAACCTGAAATGTTGGTTGCTTATGTAAGCGAATATGAGCTACCTATACACCGTATATTATTAATTTTTTTAGATTTAGCGAAATATTCTGGAACTTTTTTTTGTAAAATGGTACCATACTTATTTTGAACATTTTCGGAGATAAAAAATATTTCGTAAGAATTTTTGGCAACAAACAACCCTATATAAAATAATACTTTTTTGCGCAAACTGTACAGTTAAGCACTTAAATTTTTGGTTGCGGTTCCCTATTAAAGTGCTATATCTTAATATAGCATGAGAATTAACTTATCGCGTTCATTAGATAAGGCCCAATTGGCAAGATATAAAAATCTATTTTACGTGAGAATTTTAAATAGAACCCCCCATATTTCACATTAGCAAGTAAATGAGCAATTAATTTGCCATCTAAACGTACCAAACTATGGTATACCTATTTTAACTGGTTTTCGAGTTATAATCAAAAAACCAAAATATTGTAATTAAAGCGAATTCCATGTTTCCTGTAACAAATAAGTGACATATCTAGGTGCATTCGCATTCCTCATTTTATCGCATTTTCATAGATAAAAGTTGCATTTATTTGTGAAAGCAAGATGGCACATAATTATGCAAACGCAGATACTTTGAATTTGTTTTTCATTTACGGTGAGTGTCAAAGAATTGTTTCAAGAACGTACAGAAGATTTAATGAACAATATCCGCATTTGCCACCAATGTAAGAGAAAAAAATTGAAAGAATTGGAACAAATTTTCGAATACTAGGAACATGTGAAGTTTCAAAACAAACTCAAAGGAAAATGAAACCAACGTTTTCTTTTGCGCTTCTACCACTCGTTTATCAAGCACTCGCTCCACACGTGCATAATTAAAGGAGGTAAAGGAGGGACATGAAAATTCCGGGTGACTGATTCCCATATTAGTAAAAGATGTTTAGTGGTTTAGAACTTTCTATGGATTCTCGGATTTTTCATTGGCAGAAGTATTAATTACATGCAAGAATTTTACTTTGGACGTATAAGATTTTCATGATTATGTTCTGCAACTGCTGATGAGTTTCTTTGTCGTAGTCTTAAGGCTTTTTCATGATATTTAAGCCCAGTTGATAATTTTCGTCATGCCTCCATTGCGTTATTTATCGCATATAAATGAAATGCTCGAGAACTTGAGGTTTTTGAACAATCTGGTTTGAATATTATATTCCTTAAGAACTTTTGATATGTGGTCAGTAATGTTTTGTATATAAGGAAAGGCCACAGTGGCAAGTGTCGTTTCTTTGGGAGGTTGTGACGAAGTATATTTTATAATAGAATGCTTAATATGTCTAATGTGGACATCATTTGAGAGAAGAACAGATATTTGATCTGTGTCCCGTGTTTTGGGTTGCGATAGTTTTACGGTTCTATAAACAAGAGAGACAGCGTATGACTCCTAGGGCGGATGGCTACAATTAATTAAGGCATCGGTCTGTGTGCGTAGCTTTTCTGTAAACTTAAATGACACAATGTTAGGTCTGATTTTATATTAATGAGAATATATAAGAATGGAATATTATTATTAGTTTATCAAACAGTATATAAGCAGGTACACAATAGAATGCAAACCATTTTCAGTTAAGTTCCGAAGAAGATAACAGGATAACGTCAGCAAGTTCGATTCATCTACAGCCGACGCAGTAGGAATTCAGAAGATTTGTCAATAATATTTGTTTGATGATTGTTTTTAAGGTGGTTATCCAAGGAAGGTATACTAGGGTGGTGCGATTGTTCTTTGCGAAATTCACGAGTTTAAAGTTATAATGCAAACATATTTGCAACAGAAAAAAATTAAAAGCACTTTCTTTTCGAAAACGACTTACCACGGCTTTTTTACTAAAACACACCAGCGAGTGTAGATTTCTCAACGGACCTTCCATTTTTAAGTAAACGACACAAGTTAAAGTGCCGCCAATACCGATTCCGACTATCAGTTGAATGCAAAGTATTGTCACTGCTTCCGGACAATACTCGGTGATGTAACGACCGCCGTATCCGATTGACGTTTGAGTTTCGATACTAAAGAGTAAGTAACCGGCGAAACTATTGATGCCTGGAACGGTATTACAATGTCTTTCTGCCGCATAATGAAACGATTACAGATTAAATGTTGGACAGGGCGCTAAATATTTTTTGGAAAAATCGAAAACTGAATATGGTAGTGTCAGAACTCTCTTAAAGACTGATTTTTAGGTAACAAAAATGTATTTTCTCGTTTTTACAAAAGTTTAAAATGAACGGTTTTCAAAAAGCTAAAATCGTGTTAAAAATGTTACCAAAATATGAGTTTTTTATTGACCATGATGAGGAAGATTTTTAAAGTTGTTAATCTAAATCGTTCTTTGTTAATGAATTTTTGTCAAAATTTTGTATGAATATCTCATCATTCGTCCATTATATATTTTTAAGTTAAACATTTTCGAATTTTTATACATAGTACCAATCATTAAGAAAAATAAAGAAAGTGCTGCAAAGTACTATAAACCGAAAAGCGACTCGTAACAGACCATCATACCCTTATCATTTATAAATGTATAAAAGTTGCCCCAATTGGCCCTTGTTAAGTCAGCCACAATCCACAGAATCTCAATGCACACAATCACACACTAATCACAAACTGTTCAGATTCATGTAAACATTTACATGCACCACCAATAAAGATGTTCTATTAACACATTTCTGGAACTTGCTGACGTTTCGCCAATCACTCTGTTGGCTTCTTCGGCGCTTAACTGAGATTGATTTTCGAAAAGTTAGCAAGTTCGATTCATCAGCAACTGACGCAGGTGGAATCGAGATGTTTAATCCTGTAGTTAGCAGGGATAGGTCTCTAATTAAATTAAATTAATTAAAACCACATTGTATTGACATTGTTAATGTTAATTTTTAATGTTAATGTTTTTGTTGTATATTTTTATAAAATGTTTACCCTTCATCGTCAAATTAATGTTTCAGTTATATGTTACTTGTTACAACTAACAATAGCAACAATTAACAGTAACTTTTTAATATTTTGGACGAGTTTACAGACAGCTGATAATCCTTAGTATTTTCCGTTTATATGACTTCTTTTCTTATAATACATTTTAAAAAATGGAATACTATTTCTGTAAAGAATAAGTTTTTTCATGCTATTTTAACTTAAATTATCCCGAGATGCATTTTTTACCATCCTGTCAAATTTTGTTTCAAAAGATTATATAAGAAATACTGCCCAATGTCCAATAAAATTTCTGTTCCGTTCCACAATGTAGCGGCCCTATATACTGATAACAAAAGGATTACCGCCAAGGCAAGTTTCCGTTCCGTTATAACCATGTATCTCGGCATCCTCAATGTTGATAATTGCCCAGAATCCTGCAAACACGAGCCACGTCACAATGAAACTAAGAGAGAGCACCAGTAGTGTCCACGTCCAGGAGCTCTCTATGAGCGTATTGGACATATCGAGCAGAAAGTGATATGACCTACGCGACGAGCTTTTCTGGTGGATGGACGACCTACCGCTCTTGCGCACGAGTCGGCGAACCAAACGCACCTTGTTTCTTAACTGTAAACTTTGCAAGCTGCAAGAAACGCACCACATGTAACAACAACAGACCAAGTTGGTGTGTTTCGGTGATGCGGGATTAGCTTTTTTTTCAGATGGTTTACGTACATGGAATTTATTAAAAATAAAGTCAGTTTTAGACATTTTCGTTGATTTTTTATGTGCAATAAAAATTAAATAATACCCTTACGTTGAGAATATTGCCATTATTAAGCAGCAACCTGAGCGGGCTGGGCCCAGCCCTGTCTGCGAACATTCTAAACTCATCGCAAAGATGGGACAGTGACGGACAGAATAGTAGTGTTTACTAAATACTAATATGTGAATAGTTAATATCAGTATATATAGGGTGGCTACTTTTTCAATGGGATTGGCCTAAATGGGATAAAAGTGGTGAATTTGGGTACATGATTCCTTGAAGTTACTAAAATAACAAAATGTGGTTCCCCACTCCTTTTAACTAAGAAGGTAAGAACAATAGAAAAAAAGTTAAATAGAAAACTTTTGTAATTTTTGTAATTTTTTTGTATATACAGGTTCGTCTAGGGTAAATACCGGCTTTTAAATAGAACACCTTGTATATTATTGCATTTTCGTATTCCCCGGAAAATTTTCCTGTACCAAAGTCTAACCGTGTTGAAATTTTGCTATAATGGAGCCTTAATTATTTAATTTTGGATAGATTCCTTGTGAAAAAAGGTCTATTGTCATTTACAGCATGAGCAAAAATAAAGTCCAAAAATTAAATTATAAAAAACGTAATAAGTCAATTTTTTCAAATAAAAACCCCTTAATTTTATAATTTTTTTCTATTTAGAATTAAAAATTAAGGTGATTTTGTATAAAGTCGTTTATCCCGTAAATTTATAGTTTCCGAAACAATTGACAATTTAAAATTTTTCTATAATGCTATAATACGGCTGTAAGTTTTAAATCGGATGGATGCTATAGGGAACGGAGTTAGAAAATTAGAACTAATATAAACAAATTGTATCGATGAAGATGTCGAACACTTTGCTCACTTTAAGTTTTACGATTTTATTTCTATATTTTTAAATTGGTAATGTAAATCTAATAATTACTTGTTATGTAGCAATTTATCATTCTGCTCCTGTTAGAGAATTTTTCAAATCTTATCCCCCTTCTTATACTTTAAAAAACCAAGCTCTCTCAAATCACATTCAAATCTTCAAATTTTTCTTTGTGGATATTTTCTCTGATATTCTGTTGTGGTTAAAGTGATACTCTGGCAGGAATTCGAAAGGAATGCAACGCAATGCGCGATGACAGATTAAATAACAACGAAATGGATAGAGGACCGGCGACTTCCTAAACAAATACTCAATTGGAGGCCAGCGAATAGAATGAGACCAAGAAGAAATTGCAAAGAAGGCATTGATAGCGAGATCAAAAACAGAGGACTGAGTAATGACAGGGATGCATGGGGACTGGAAATCGTAAATTAGTTTTTTGGTTATATTTTTGTTAAGTAGCAAAATACCAATCGTAGGTAAAATTTAACGAAAACCTCCAATGACTCCGAAACCCGTGACTAAAATACCGGAAATTTCGGAAGTGGCTCGCAACCGTGGGTAACAAACAAACTAATTAGGTATTTTAGAGTAGGGAGTAAAAAAATATGTTTAAGGCACTTTGAATTTGAATTGTCTAGATGCACTTGCTTAAATTTTATAAAACCAACTTACCTAGACCTACTTCTGTATACGCTACTCCTTCTTTTAATCAGATAAAAAGGATAGAACTCTTTGTTAACACTCCGCGGTTCGTCCACTTCCACAATATCCATTTCTCGAGGCATTCTTACAATTTACTATGACAATTGATTTTTTATCTTTTTCATACTTTAATTTAAAAATATTTTTCACAATAATAGACCATGTAACATTGTTCCACACCTGCACGTTTGCTTTATTATGACTGTATGACGAAAATGTCTTATCTTCGTTCCCAAAATCGGTATCTAGCTTGTTTTATTACTAAAGGAAAGATAAAAGGATTAAGGAAATGCCACTAAAATGTTATGTTTGCATCGTTTCCCGTACAGTAATAAATTATATAACTTTTTAAAGTACGCTCCCACATGGATTTATCTCTAAGATAGTTTTTTTAAACTTCACTTTACCATAGCTGGTTTTGCGCTTATCATAGGTATACAATGTGGGTCCTTTTTTATGGTTTTACGGTTTTAACCATATAGATACTAACGATATAGAAGCCCTGCCTATGCCGATAATACAGGAACTTATGAATAACTATAAAAAAAAGAGAAAGTTTATTCAATATGCGCATGCGCGAGATTCAAAATCTCGCTTGAAACCTTGACCTTGCGGTATTCAACAAGCAACATGCCCGCTGACAGATCGTCGGTAAATTTGGATCATATAGTTATTAGATAATAGCTATATGGTTTGGACGCGGCATTTTTGCAGCAGTAATTTCTCAAAATATGCCTAGATCTCGATAAATGTTCTTGGAAAACAAGTTGTGTGTGTGGAAATCGCTGTTTTGAAAGAAAATGACGCAAAGTGCATATGGTTTTTACCCATATAGCTACTAGACATAAAGAGACCCTGCCTATGCTAATAGTATAGGAACTCGGGAATCAACCATGTAACAAATTTTTTTTTTCGTTTTTAACCAATGGCAGCTCTAATTGCATTTTCTGACGTTCGACACATAAGGCCCTGCGGCTGCCAACAACCAACATGGCCGTTGACAGGTCGTCAATGTTTGGATGCTGCATTTTTACGGACCGCTGTGAAGTTAGCAGCCAAAATTACGGAAAGAGCCGAAGAACCAGTGGCGGCGGAGATTCCTAAACCAGTTTAGGAAGCAACTGATTTAAATTAAATAGATCTCTCGGGTTGATATAGGGTGCAACTAAAAAGTTATAAATATATATTATTTCTAATTCAATCCAAATTTACACACTTTCATTTCTGCATGAAAATGTGCCCACAAAGGTTGGCTTTCGTTTCCAGTAAAAGTATTCTCTTGCGCTCCCGTACGGGAGTTGTTATAGGGTGAAACAGAAAAGCTTTAAATATTTTTTTTCTACTTTATTCGAAATTTACACACTTTCTTTCTTGATGAAAATTTGCCCACGAAGGTTGGCTTTCGTTTCCACATTTTCATCAAGCAATGAAAGTGTGTAAATTTCGATTAAAGTAGAAAAAAAATATTTAAAGTTTTGTTTCACCCTATAGCAACTCCTCTACGGGAGAGCAAGAGAATACTTTTACTGGAAACGAAAGCCAACCTTTGTGGGCACATTTTCATGAAGAAATGAAAGTGTGTAAATTTCGGTTAAAGTGCGGGGGTGCAAGAGAATATTTTTACTGGAAACAAAAGCTAACCTTTGTGGACACATTTTCATCAAGAAATAAAAGTGTGTATATTTCGATTAAAGTTGAAAAAAAATATTTAAAACTTTTGTTTTTTACCCTATAGCAACTCCCGTTAGGAAGAGCAAGAGAACACTTTTACTGGAAACGAAAGTCAACCTTTGTGGCCACATTTTCATCAAGAAATGAAAGTGTGTAAATTTCGATTAAAGTAGAAAAAAATATTTAAAACTTTTTTGTTTCACCCTATAGCAACTCCCATACGCGAATGCAAACAGAATATTTTAACTGGAAACGAAGGCTAACCTTTGTGGGCACATTTTTATCAAGAAATGAAGGTGTGTATATTTCGATTAAAATAGAAAAAAATATTTAAAACTTTTTTGTTTCACCCTATAGCAACGCCCGTGCGGGAGTGCAAGAGAATATTTTTACTGGAAACGAAAGCTAACCTTTGTGGACACATTTTCATCTCATATATGATTATAATATTTATAACCTTTTAGTTTGACTCTATAGCAACCCTTGTACGGGGCTGCAAATGAATATTTTCTATGGAAACTGGTTTTTTACGGCAGTATTTTCAGGCACAAAAGGAATTAAGGTGTAGAAAGCGTTGTTAAAAAAATTAGCAACAAGTGCAGAGTTAATATTATGCTGAATTTCAGCACACGGATCGACGTCGTTTTTTAAGAATTTTAGTCCTTGGTCCTTTCAGCGCTATATACACGATACCAGCTAATTTTTCCCGAATTTTATTTTTTTATAAACTTATTGGTTTAACCTCCATTGAAAATGTAAATAAAGTCGAATTCACGAAATGTGACTCTAAAAGTGTAAATATAACTTTGAGGTACTAGATATCGCACTGGAAACATCTAAATGGAAAAAAGGTTCAACAAGCACCTCATACAGATAGAACGCTCTTTCTTTCATCGCAAGTCTACTAATTGCAGAAAGTTTCGCCTCCCAAATATATAATTATGAAAAGTACCAATGGACAATTTCGTTAAAAAACTGTAGGTATTGGAAAACCAGGTAAATTAAAAACTAGTATAAAACAAGTCAATAAACAATTAGGCCTAAATGTAACAGGATTAACATTACCAAGCCCAAAAAAATGTCGTTTATTGTCTCAAATTTTAAAAAACATTTTGCTAGCAAAAATTGCATGGTGGCTACCGCAAAAAATTCCCCGTTAAAAACATTTCAAAGCAATTGTTAAATGCTAAAAACACATGTAAAAAGTGCATTGTGTCTAGGGGGGCTTTAGATACTAGTATCAATTCACACAATAATTTACCTATATTTTATTGCAATTTGGATTCAAATGTAAGTAACCAAAAATTACTTTTCCAGAAATGTTCGGGATTTTTTAAAAGTGTAAGCTGACATGAAACATTCTAAAAGGAAGATGTCCTATTAAGAAATATTTTTTTCCAGATCCACACTCCAGACTGGTTTTGTAGACAAGATTATGGTTTATGTCACAACTACGACTTACCTTTAATTATAATAGCAATTTATATAGTGTTTTATTAACTCGTTTTGGTTAGTATAAATAAATACATGAATTATGTATTAAAGCCTTTATTGAAAAGAATAAAATACAATGTTGCTTATAATAATAAATTAAATAAAAATATATGCTGCCTTTTTTAATAGCATAATAATATTTATTTTTTATTTTCAAGGAACTTTTATATTACTTGATTTGAGAGGATCACCACCTTTAAAAATTACAAAAAAGAACATGAAAAAAATAAAAGAAATGTTCATTTATAATACATTTAAATGTCGTTATTTATCAGTAGAATAACTACAGTAAAAGTTTCATTAGCTCCAAATAAGAAACAAAATTTAAACAGAAGAATTTGTTGACAAATTTGTTACTGTGCGTTAAGTTCTTTTTAAAAACTGACGACTGCTGGTTATTCTGTGCCAGGCTTCTCTATAACTTGTAATGTTGTTTTGACTACCAAGATTAAAGATCTACTGGTGTCTGCTCTAGTTCTACCTAGGAAAGAAGTTATTATTTTGACATGCTGGAAATAAAGCCTAAAAAAGGTAAAAAAAAAAAACAAAAATTTCTCTTATGTTCAAGATGGAAAATTTTCAGTCACAAATTATGGAGGAAAAATAACAATATTTTAGACCGAAAAAAAGTTGGTAGCATATTACCAACAAATATATAATTATGAAAAGTACCAATGGACAATTTCGTTAAAAAACTGTAGGTATTGGAAAACCAGGTAAATTAAAAACTAGTATAAAACAAGTCAATAAACAATTAGGCCTAAATGTAACAGGATTAACATTACCAAGCCCAAAAAAATGTCGTTTATTGTCTCAAATTTTAAAAAACATTTTGCTAGCAAAAATTGCATGGTGGCTACCGCAAAAAATTCCCCGTTAAAAACATTTCAAAGCAATTGTTAAATGCTAAAAACACATGTAAAAAGTGCATTGTGTCTAGGGGGGCTTTAGATACTAGTATCAATTCACACAATAATTTACCTATATTTTATTGCAATTTGGATTCAAATGTAAGTAACCAAAAATTACTTTTCCAGAAATGTTCGGGATTTTTTAAAAGTGTAAGCTGACATGAAACATTCTAAAAGGAAGATGTCCTATTAAGAAATATTTTTTTCCAGATCCACACTCCAGACTGGTTTTGTAGACAAGATTATGGTTTATGTCACAACTACGACTTACCTTTAATTATAATAGCAATTTATATAGTGTTTTATTAACTCGTTTTGGTTAGTATAAATAAATACATGAATTATGTATTAAAGCCTTTATTGAAAAGAATAAAATACAATGTTGCTTATAATAATAAATTAAATAAAAATATATGCTGCCTTTTTTAATAGCATAATAATATTTATTTTTTATTTTCAAGGAACTTTTATATTACTTGATTTGAGAGGATCACCACCTTTAAAAATTACAAAAAAGAACATGAAAAAAATAAAAGAAATGTTCATTTATAATACATTTAAATGTCGTTATTTATCAGTAGAATAACTACAGTAAAAGTTTCATTAGCTCCAAATAAGAAACAAAATTTAAACAGAAGAATTTGTTGACAAATTTGTTACTGTGCGTTAAGTTCTTTTTAAAAACTGACGACTGCTGGTTATTCTGTGCCAGGCTTCTCTATAACTTGTAATGTTGTTTTGACTACCAAGATTAAAGATCTACTGGTGTCTGCTCTAGTTCTACCTAGGAAAGAAGTTATTATTTTGACATGCTGGAAATAAAGCCTAAAAAAGGTAAAAAAAAAAAACAAAAATTTCTCTTATGTTCAAGATGGAAAATTTTCAGTCACAAATTATGGAGGAAAAATAACAATATTTTAGACCGAAAAAAAGTTGGTAGCATATTACCAACAAAATAATATTTTTGAGGAATACCATTTGGCACGCTAAATATGAGCTGTTAAGTATGATAGGCAAATAGAATGAGCAGAAAACAAGTAACCCGATTTACAACTGCACAAAAGACACTGCACTGCCTACTTTATCAAGACTTTACCACCTTTTCTATATCTTAAAGGAGTGATGTGACCCCCACATATGGATGCTCTTCTAAAGCTATCAGCCTCCCTGGCAGCTCCATTTTTGACAAGCAATGTTGTTGTTTCTTTACAATTTTATCTTTTGGTAAACTAAAAAATAAAATGTCAATTGAATGACATTACCTGGATAAGTGATTATTATATTAAAACTAAGAGACAGACCTATATGCAAATCTACAAAAAAAATGGGATAGAGAACATGGATCAGTCCCATAACTTGTCCAAAAACTTGTTATTCACAAAAGGGAGGTAGGTAATACTTACGAGTCTAGGACACAGCTTACTCTCAAGCCAAGGAAGGGTTGGGAAAATACTCAGAGACTAATCAATATCTTTTTTCCCAAGTTGTGCATATAATATTTTTCTTACTTAAGTTGTCCCGAATCCAACAAGCAGATTTACAAAATCAGTATTTATCTATTTAATCAGTGTCAAAATGTGTACGTACTGCAGTAGGTGACCTACAGATGAAATACCCCAAAATTTTGAAAAGTTGCCTAGAACTCCTGGTAATACTCGAAGATTTACTGCAATGCCTTCAGACTTTCCAAAAATATCCTGCAGATTTATCGTTTAAATTCTTCCTATTGCTGCTGAACTGATTCTGGTAATTCCCCACTTTCAGCTGTAATAATTTCTGTAATTTTTGACCAACCGAAAGGAAATTTCGGTTTCACTAAGCGTGATGACAAACGAAAACTTTCCCATATTGACCTTTACAAGGTTTTGGAATTGTAAAGGGGTATTGCTTGTGATTGTTCTAGTAAAACTTGCAACTTAATAGTTTTCTTATATTTCGTGTAATTCTTGTACACTAAAACAAATTACCCAAATATCTTTCCTATGTAGCTATTTAAGTGCGTGTAAGGTCCTATTAGGTCCTCATATTTGCCATATTTGTAGTTTCGTGAAGGAGCAAGTATTGAAAGCAGAAATTATACAAGTTTGTGAATGGGAGTCCTATAGAAACCACTTTTAAATCTTTTAAATTCACTTGTACATAAGGCAACACTTAGGCTCATTCTTTTCCTTAGAGTTTTGACCACAAACAAGTTTTTCACAAAAAAACAAAAAGGTACGGAAAGAATCATAACCACCAAAAATGTAAACAACAAAATCGCGGATTGTTAGTATTCTCTGGCAATAGCAATTCCAAGCTCGGCGTTGCCAATTATATTCGGATTTCAGAGACTGATTTTGCGTTCTTATGAAAATTAGCCAATTTTTTCAGAAATATTACGGCAATGTGACAACTCAGTTAAGATCCACACCTCTAAGAAAATATAGACACCTGCGGCGCATTACTTTTTAGCGTAGTAGGGCCAGTATGTTATGTTATAGATGTATGGTTTTACCCAAGGCCACTTTTTCTCAACTTAATGGTGCCACAAACAGAAATGTCATAGTTATCTTGGATTTTTAGATACGGGAGGTAGTTCGGTTATTGACTATTCGACAAGGTGAAAGCTGTTCTGGATAGTTTTTTTTTATTAGGAATGCACTGAGCTACGCTGTATTTATTTGCGAAATAATCTCCACCAACATGAACTTTTCAGAAATATGTAATGCATAAGAGCTGCTCTTTCAGATACAATTTTTTTCATTAAAAAAAGATGGCCGTTTTCTTAAGTGCTTCAGTTATCAAATAGTCGCGATATTTCTTATTTATTATTTTAATTTTCAATATAATTAAAAATTATTTTTCAAAAAAAATTCTTTACTTAAATTTTAAAATATTAAAATTAAAATTGAACCAGGCAGTAGTCACCCACTCGGTCACAAAACCTAGCAACTTTACTAAAAAAATTAAAAACATTTGGACAAAGATACTTTCAAAACTTTGCCCCCGCGGGCAACATCGTGTCAAACAGCTTAAACAAAAAAGCGAAACACCAAATTTTAAATCAAAATAAACAGATGGATTCAGTAAATATCTTTTACACAATGAAAACTATTATAAAAGAATTATAAAAAGAATGTATTTGATAAAAGAAATGTTTTAATTCGTACCGATTGTGATCTTTCTCTCGATTATGACAAACTACTACTTATAGATAAAGTCCCGAAATTTACCCCACTTGTGATTATATCAACGGATATGACTTATTCGCGTATACGCAAAATATCTTCTGCTCATTGTTGATTTACAAAAATTTTAAAATTATTTTGTGTAAATTTTTACTTATTTATTGTGAATTATTAAATATATATTTATTTATTATTTATAATTTGTTTTCCCTTGCTTTCTGCTCTGAGGCATGTTGACTCAAAATGAGAATTTTAAAAAATCGGACATAATAGTAAAGTAAGTTTAATCAAATTATCAAGGCATGCAAGATGTTCCAAAAAAAATATTTCCAATATAGGTCAGAATATTTCAGAACTTTTCTGCTCGATTTTCGTAAAACAAAAGATGTAATTTAAAAAAAAAAGCCTGTTGTTTAGATACAGAAAGAAACTGAAAATTTAACCATTTCATTTATCCTTTGTATTTTAAGCACCTCATATAGTACCAAGATCACAAAAACGCCCTCTTCCGACTTTTTTTAATATACTTTTCTAGGACTTTAATGTTAGTCCAATACAAAAATTTAAAAATTACAACTGCGTTTTTTACTTTGTCACTTATACAAAAAATGAGAAATTATGACAAATATTCTAGATTCAAAATATATTAATCAATACTCAACGCGCAGCAACTAGAGGGCCTTTTTTTGTAGTACAGAAAATACCATCAGTGGACATATACATGAATAGATAAGGTGAAATATGATAGAAAAATCTTTCTATATAGCAGTACAAAAATTTATTAAAACGCTACCTTACACATTTTGAGAAAATGGGGTAATAACTTAAAAGAAAAATCCTGCAATTTTCCAAAGGATTAAAATAAATGTTAAGTACAAAATGTGCAGTGAACAAATGAGTAAATATCACATAAATTCCAGTTAACATAAGATACATAGTATAAAAAGAGCAGCAAAGCATCTGTGGTCCTCGAATTTACCATAAGCCTGAAGAGAAACCCCCAGGTGGTACTTTGACGTGACTTGGGATTGCTGTTGGAGCCTCTGTCTGTACTTGCTGAGGGGGCACAGCTATTTTAACAGGGCTGGGCGTTACTTGATTTATATTGGTCCCTTCGGTGATCGAGGACACGTTTCGTTGGTTCCCTTTTTTTACAGGTTGAGCATCGGCAGGGCCGAACAAATCCGTGTGCCCGCCACCGGGTGGCCTAAGTACTCTACTTGAGTTTTTCCCATCGGAAAATCCAACATTGTAACTGGTCGAAGTCATGACGGAAAACCTGCAATTAAAATATAACGGTACCAATTGATTCAAACAATGAAAAATAAAATAAGAAGACTAATCCGGATAATACCAGATAATTCCGGTTCCTAAAACGAATTAAGGGCCATATTTGTTTCTAACCAAAGGTAACAGTTTTTGATTTCATTTCAATGATCTAACAAATTACACAAAATTAAAATATACTTACAAGAGTTGCCCCAAATATTAAATTTTTAAAGAAAAGATTTACTTTTGACACCACCCTAACCGCCGATTTTGATTTCCGTCTGAGATAAAAGTTTGGTAAGTTAGATAAAATATTCTGGATTGTCAATACTGAATTTTCTGTGGATGCATCTTATACGCATAGACTAAGCAACTTAGCTTATTGATGTTAGTCTTTATCAGAGAAAAAGTACAATAGTGCAAACGGGCAATGGTACTGATGACATAATGAAGTTCAAAATATTCGAACTAAATGCCGTTTTCTCTTTGAAAAGATAACGTTGGTTGATTAAAACCCCTTCCTTTCCTTTAATTCATTCTCTTTTTTACAGTTCCCTCACAGACCTGTGCAGTTTTAAAATCAAGAGTCAGGTTGAAGCTTTTGAATGGTTTAAACAAATAATCATTTAGAAATAACAAAATTAACCTAGAAAAATAAAATTATTAATAATTTTCTGTCATCAATTTCGAGACCGAACCACAAGTGGATATATGGAACTGGTTGTACCTCACAACGGTTAAATCCTGCAGTTGCTGTAATTGTCATAACCACTACAGTTTCTGATTATAGAAGCTTAAAAAGTACAATTGTACCTCTTATTTCACAGACACAAAATATTCTCTCTGATGTGGGTGACAAATATAAATTATCAGCATCAACAGTGATGTGGAGTGTAAGTGATTTATATATTTATATCACATTATTTCCAGTTAAGATACAATACATAGTATAAAAACAGCAGCAAAGCATCCTTGGTCCTCAGATTTACCATAACCCTGAGGAGAAACCTCCCGGTGGTACTCTGATGCGATTTGGGACTTCTGTTGGAGCTTCTGTCTGTACTTGCTGGGGAGGCACCAATTTTTTAATAGGGCTGGTAGTTACTTGATTGATATTTGTCCCTTCCGTGATCGATGACGCATTTCGTTGATTGACTTTTCTCACAGGTTGAGCATCAGCAGGGGCGAAGAAATCCGTGTGCCCGCCACCAGGTGGTCGAAGTACCCTACTTGAGTTTTTCTCATCGGACAATCCGACATTATAATTGGTCGAAGTCATAACGGAAGAACTGCGATTAAAATACAACGCTAACGACTGACCATAACAAAATGAAAAATATGGCGGAAACAAAAAAAATGGCTAGTTCCGGTTCCTAAAAGAAATTAAGCGCATAAGCCGCAATCATTTCTACCCAACCATTTTATTTATTTCAACGATCTAAAAAACTACACAAAATTAAAATATACTTACAAGAGATATCCAAAATAGCAAACAATTAAAGAAACGATAATTAATGACACCGCGCTAACCGCCGACTTTGATTTCCGCCTCAGATAAGAAGTTGGTGAGTTCGATCAAACTCTGTATTATCAGCATGAGCAATTTTGTTGGATTGGATTGGACAAGTTTAAAAATTATTCTGAGTGAAGTATTTGGACCAGTCGATCATCCTCCAGGATAATTAACATATACAAAATGGAATTTCAACAAAAAAAAGGTTCTTTGACCGATAGCAATAAACGGTCTCCCCCGTGGACCATCCGGGCCAATCCGGCCTCTATACCGCCGTGAACTAGAAAAAACAGCGGAGCCGACAACAATTACAACTTTAAAACATTCACTAAACACTAAAAACACTTAATCCACACAGTGGAAACCGATTTCAAAGTTTTTGGGGACAATTACAACCGATTCTGTCGAAAGCGAACGGAGGTTAAACCACTATGTGCAATGCTCATGAGAGAATCGAGCAATTTGGTTATTTCCAGAGAAATAAGACCGTTTTCTACCAACCGTTCGACTGCTCCTCAATTCGAAGATTTAGATTTTTAAAACTTTTAAGCCAAAGTTATTGTTTAAGTTAAAATAAAAGCATAATATATATAATAAAAAATACGTTAATAATAATAACATGTTGTTAAGCTAGCAATTGCTTTTCTATCGTTAGTTGAGGCTATCTTCATCCGTCGCCCAACGCGCCTCTAACGCCTTTCGACTTGCTGCTAAAATCCCAGCAAATGCCGGATTGTTCGTACAGCCATCTTCTCTGTGCCATAGAACAATTATTAGTATAGCAACTTTTGACAATATTTATCACTCTAACTCATGCACTTTGACCAAATGGTATTTTACCATTCGTTTATGAATTTGATCATCAATAACAAAGCAAAGATACTCAGAATTCGTTAAATATATGGATGCGAAAACAAAAATTCCTATAATAGAAATTTCCATCTTTTGGCCGATTGATACAAGCAAAGGGGGCTGACTAACACGATTCATAAAAAAATTGAGTTTTTATTTAAAAGTTGGTATTTGCTTTCTTTTAAAGAGAGATATTGTTTTTTATGGTAAAATTAATTCCGAACTAACTTAAACTATAGCAAAAATTTGAAAAATATTAATGCCATGGTCGTGTGCAAATATTTCCTGAAAGGCACATGCAAATTTGGATCTTATTGTCACTATGAACATGCTGTTCCAGGTAATCATGTTTAGCATTTAAAAGGTTTGGAAATTGCTGACCTTGAATATAATTTTTATTTTCTGTTAGGTGACCTTAAAGGTTATTGGAACAACCATTCAACTTCAATACTAAGACAGTCTAATTTTGGAGTTACTCAAAACACTAATCCTTCTAGCAATGTCCAGTCTAATGTGGATACTGCAACTTTAGTCAAATCTGCTGTAAATGATATGACATTAGCAGAAAAAGGGGGACAGTGGCTTCTTTCATGTTATGCTCCTTACAAGGAAAAGTCTGCATTTCCTGGGTTTGAAGACCACAGCTTTGAAGAAATCCGGTGTGGATTCTATGAAGCTAAGAATAATGGAACATTGGATCAATATGTATGTTTGTATATTCAATGTGAGATAATATTAAAACATGGTCAATTTTTTAGAAGCAACAGCTGCAGGCTCTTTATCATGATGTTTTAAGGAAGGTGCAAGCCATCCAAAACCCATCTCAAGAAGTTATAAGAATTTTGCAAGGGATTTACAATTCTTCTGCAAGTCCCCTTGGTGGAAGTATTTTTCCTTTACAAAGTCCATCATCAAATATTCTTAGTTCTTTTAAGTCTCAACCTTCAGTAAGTCCTGTTTCGGGGAGTATTTTCCAAGATTTATCTAGAAAGGATAATCAAAGTATATTCGGAGGAGTCAAAGAAGACAATTATCAGAATAACATATTTTCAACTCCCCACCAAAATGTTTTTTCAACAAATGCTAAGAACTCATCCTACCATAGAGAGCCAAATCCTACTCTAAACATATTTGCAAATGTAGTTCCAACAACTTCTAGTTCGGTATTTGGAGATCAATCTGCAGCATCTTCAGGGATTACTGCAGTTCAACAAAATCCTAGTTCCGTTTTTAACAGCCCTACTTCGTCAAGTATATTTGGTACTCAAATGCAAACCAATCAATCTGCTTTACCTGTCTTTACAGGGCAGAGTGTTTTTGTTTCCCCAATCCCTGAACAAGGGCAGCAATTTGTTTCCACAAACAAGAATATTTTTATGCAACAACACCCGCAGCAATCTATATTTGGAAGTTTGCCAATTGGAGTGTCTAGTAGTAAACCATTACAGAGTGCACCTGAAAAACCTGTAACTTCTCAGAGAACCCGTAGTGCTCAGCAAATTGTTATAGATGAAAGTCTCTACTCAAGGGAGGAGGAATTGACGGATGAGGAAAAGAAGTGGTTTTTGAGCAATGATATGGATATTTTGAAGATTCCTGAAAAGCCACCAGCTTACAGCATGTGCTTTAGGCCTTAGCTCATAAATATAGAAAATTATTTCATTATTTTTTAAATGATTAAATGTTGCTTGTGCCTTAAAATATATTTTACAAAAATTTTTCTATAATCTATTTATAAAAGAAAGTTAAATAATTATTAAAGGTTTCTGAATTAAGAAGAGACAGAATTATGGAAAATATGTAATTTAAAATAAAAAGTTAATACCACTTGTAGTTAAACTCAATAGATTTTTAGGTGAGGTAGTACATGACAAGCTGTAAGTGTTTCTTTGAAACAAATCCTGTTATATATAAAATGAGACTGAATATAGAATATAATTTATTACAACTTTATTAATTTAAATTTATACATATTGTTTTGAAAATTAAAATATACAATAACATTAAACTATTTATCGTTTTTGAACCGTTTTATTTTAAACATTACTCATATTTTAATTTTATTCTTGCTTTCCGTCCAGTACATTCTTACACGGATTTTCAAACGGATGTTGAACCAAGTATTTTAATCACTGTATAGTATAATTTAAATTGCAAATACCCGCAAGTACATTTACGGGTAATATTTCAAACATTAAAAAAAATATTTTATTTATCCAAATAGCAGTGGTTTATCAATGTCCTCTCTAGACACTAAAATTTTTTATAAAATAATCGAATATTTCAATAGGATTCTGTTTTTAACTGAAAGATTATTAAGTACTATATCGAAAATAAATAGAATTCCTCATACTAAAATAAAAAAAAAATGCGCGACCGTTGCAAGTCTTCGTATCGCGACACACCTGTGCTACAAATAAAGAAGGGCACGAAATAATAAAACCCAGATCACCCTAGGAAATCTCATTGAAATTTAAAACTCCCGCTGCCAACGGCTGACAGGTTACCAGCGGCTTGATGTCGCCGCTCCGCGACATTGCCAGTGTCGCCCAAATTCCCCATAGCAATTTTGTGTAATAAATATTGACGAAATTTTGCCAAGAACCGCGGCTTTTAAAACGAAATATCATTTTGTTCTCAAACTGTGTTGCGTAAACTAAGAAAATCAGTAAATGTTAAGTAAAGAATGGCCCATTTGCAGATTTTCGGTTGTGTCGATGCGGCAATGCCGCCCGCTGTTGTCAGTCAGTAGTGTTTAGTGCCCCAAGATGGCTGCCAGTGATGATGAACCTATGCAACATTTGTACGAGGTTTTCACGACTTGTTTTAATAAAATAGCGAACAAGGCACCTGGTAAGTGGACGACCCTTTTATTGTTTTTAAACTAGTTATCGAACGGGGTTCTTGCGCGTCCCCTCGAGCTGATATTGGCGGTGATCTCTTTGACATAAGAACGCGTGCGGCCCAAAACATTGAACATCTTGTGTTAAAAATCGGTTTGAGCTGAATTAAATACAGCCAAGAAGGAATTCCCGAGTAGGTTTTTCTTAATTTGCTCCCCAACTGGCACCTCTTGTTGTCGGGATCTAAACGGGTAGTTTTGTTAGCCAACGTTTATGTCTCATTTTTGTGAAGGCTGCTCAGATCTGTAAGTTATGTGCCTTTCGAGATGAGATTAATTGACAATTGTTTGAAACATAGCAATAGAAACCATGGCGTTGTCGTTTACGCTCGGATTTATCGAAAACTCGATTAATCCTTCTGGTAGTGTTTATTTGTATTGCTAATCAAATATTTTGGTGTTATATGACAGTGCGGCATTGTTTATTTACCTGGTTACCAGCTTTTGGAGTGGGCATTGAAGTCCAAGTATTTTAATATTGTGAGGTGAATTGGAATAACTAACTGCTTTAAATATTATAGGTCGCTGAGCGTAATGATGCGAATTTTATTGCACTTGCTCTATGTCACCTGTATCATATATACCTGCTTGCTTGCAGCAACTGTTTTGTAGGAACAATTTCGATTTTTGAGGAATTTTTGGCTATCCTTCCTGTTTAATCATGTTTGTCGGTACTTTCTTAATATAAGTAATTGCCTTGCACAGACTATTTTTCGTAAATCAGAAACTAGCGACCTAAACACCTAAAGGAATTTTAAGTAGCTAAGGTTGACTTCTGGTCAATTAATAAGGTTGGATTCCTACATCTAATTTTTTAAAATAAAAAAGTTTTGTTGGTTTTTTAAAATTCCTCCGATTGGCGTCTCTCATGTGGGAATCCCAGAGCTTCTAGTTCTGGGTTTCGTGAAGCATTTTTAACAAATAAAAGTGCCTTGATTTAAGTATTAATAATAAGACCAGTCGCTACTAGTATTTGTAAGGCTTCAAAATATTAAGTTAATGATCTCTGTACATCGTCCACTAACGTCTGTCATTGTGAGTTAAGCATGTTATGGTTTATTTATGTCTTTGTTACTATTTTTAAAGAGTTTTTAAATTAACCGAAGTAAACTAAAAAAAAACAATTTTCATTTGTACGGGTCATTAGAAAACAAGTCCAGTTTGCTCAACCCGATTTATTGTGATATTGTAACATTTTGCGTTGTTAATATTTTTAAAAAATTCACTGCGTTTTTATTTATCCCTTCGACCATGTTTCACCGGAGATCCGGATATTGCCAAGAGCTGGCTCACGCGCTATTGCCAAATGTTACCATTTTTCCTGCGCTCCGGTAGTGTATAAATTTCCAATTCTCAAGGGCATTGATGTTTTGGTTTTTTCATAAGTTACTTCGAAAAATCGATTTTCGGGGTTTTGTCAATTCTGCGATGATTTTCTAAAGACACTTAACCTTAAAGCGTAAACATTTTATTTCTTATTTTATAAAATGAACGAAAAATTTGGAAAATATTGCAAAATAATGTAATTTTAAAGAGGAGGAGGATTTATTTCTTAGTAAATATCTTAGCACCAGAGTTCTCACAAACTTTGTTGGGATATTCGTCATTGTTATTCCTTCTATTTATATTCGAGCCATTTTTTGCCAATTAGTCCTCTCCTGCTCCAAGTGTGTTGCTTAATTTGGTTTAGTTTCATATTGTACTCTTCCTAAAAAATGCTAATTTGGAAGGCCATCATTCTCAACAATTTGCAAAAACAATTACAACATAATCGGTAATTTAACTTTCCCATTTATCCAGTTCTTCGTTTGAGTATGAGTATGGAAGACTCATTTTTTGAAAGGAAAGTTAAAAAGTAAATCCGTTGTAATAGGTAAATACGATTTCTGGCTTGAGTTTTTTTTTATCAAAATGTGCTTAAAATACTGGGTTTTACAGTTAGCTAGTTTTTGCTTTAATTATGGTAAAATAAGGTTTCTGTAAACTTTTATCTTTTGTTACTTTTTTCATAGTTAAATTTTGTCTAGCAGTTATAAATAGGTTCTGATCCTTTTTTCGGCATATTTATTGTCATGTGCTTTCGAAATGTTTTTATGTAAAAAACACCTGGAAAAGTCAGGCAATTTGCAAATAAAGATGTAGTAGGGGTAGTGATTTTTCTTTCTTATATTCTGTGAACTTCTTAGTGGCCCATTAAATTGACTAATGTTTTTTTTATTGTCGTTTATTTAAATAGTGATGGCGAGTGTTCTATTGAGGTACAACTGCCAGTTTATTTTATTTGCAATTAAGGGTTCATGTTTCGTTTAGCCAAAAACTTTTGTCTTTTAGAAGCCTTTATGAATATACAAATACGGAAATGTATTATTCCATTTTCCTAGCTTTAGACTAGTCGAAATTAGTTACATCAAAACTGAATATATATATTTTTTATGAACAAAAAAATAAAAATATATATATTTTTTAATTTCTTGTCCCTTTTTGTCCCCGTGTTTTGTTTTATTATTGAAGTGTTTTTGTTGGAATCCATCTATCATTGGCGCCAATAATAAATAAATTTGATTAGGCGGACTTGTAGGTTTGTTTTCGCTTTGCTTGAGGAATTATAAATATAAACAATATTAAATTTCTCATATTTTTTTTGTGTTATTATTGGATAGTCAGTTGTAGTTTTGCGGTACATTTGAAGTTATTTGATTTAAAAATGTCTAGCTTAATTAAAGGATGGAAATTATCAAGAATTCGGCACTATCATTCTGAAACCGATTTAGTAATGTACAAAAAAAAAATTAAACGGATTATACGGTTAGTTTTTGTGATGCTTTTCCCAGGAAAAATTTGTAAAAGCTTCTAAAAGGAATTAAATTAATCAAAATATGGCGATGCCAAGGTTTATGAACTTGATGTGGTGTCAACGAGTCGTCGATTTTGAATAAGTGAGAAAGTTGGCCGGTGCGTTCTGGCAACGTCGCGCGTACGCTCTCTCGCACTGTTTTAAGAGGAACATCTGTCTCTCGCGGCCAACCACACGCGACTTCTCGATTCTGGGTTATGGGCGCTCGCCGCCGCCAGCCTCTGGCTTTCAACATTTTTGTTTATCATCGTATTCGGCGTTCCCGAACTTGTAATTGTCCATTTCTTGGACACTCCGTCGTGGATATGACAGCACCTTTAACGGACCATACCTAAACCCTGACGCCGTGCATGAATTTCTCGTGGAATGGCAGATTTAAGTTGGATTGCTCTGTGACCTGATACCCCGAGGGCTGAAAGTAAATGACGTTTCGGGTTCGTTGACCAAATTTGCGTTGTCGTGCGAAACTCAAAGCGAAAGGGACCGCGCGATGGGCTAATCACCACGCAAAGTTGGTACACCCGATTTCACACAACCATAAGGTTTCGCAGATTTAACAAACATTTCTGAATTTTTGATTTCACAAAGATTTTACAGATTTCTACTGATTTTAATGATTTTTGAAAATAAGTTTTAAATTATGGGTCTTTGCCGCTAGTTGTATAAGATCCGTACCATCACTCGTTTAATATTATTAAAATGTATTTGCCAACAATTTTTTTTTTAATGTATGCAGGTGCTATTAATATGTTTTTTAATAATCTTCACTGCTTCTAATATCTTGACCAACCCAGAACTTCTTAACTTTCTAAAAAATAACTTTATTGAGGGGATTTATGAACAGTTTCAATTTACTTTAACTGACGAAGTCCAAGTGCCTAATATAAGGCATTGGGCAGCTAAGGCAACGGAACCAACAGTATAAATATCGATTTTTCTGAAGCTTTGTTGTCCCATAATTGTAGAATATATTGTCCATATAATTAATCATATTTTCCTGTACTGTGGAAACAAGCACAGGTCATACCTCTGCCTAAAATAATAAAAACGACAGAGTTTGATCATTTGCGAACATTTTTCAAACAATCGGGTTTTAAATCTGGTAATTGTTGTGAAAGCGTTTTTAAAGATGTAACAGATGATATTGTTAACGTTTATTGAAGGTTAAGAGATTATGGCGGCCGACAGACCGTTAGTGGCAAGTGAGCTCACAAAACTAAGGAAAGAAGAATTAATAAAAGTAATTTTAAATAGGAAAGTACAGAGTGATATATCCAAAACAAATTTGTGCGTGAACAGTGTATGGCGTCTAAAAATAGTGAAAGTGGAATTTTTATTGATGCCAGTTCTGATGTAAACAATGAACTTATTAATGCAAAAGAATCATCCAGTCATGTTAGGGCAACAGCCGACTTTGTAAAACTGACTGAGTGAACAAGAAATGTTAATTTCACTGCTAAATGAAAAGATCTCACATAATAAGGCTAAACCTGTTGATCGTTTGCCACCGCCGGTTACAGTAAAGACTCCTGCAATGGAGAAGATTCCTGCCAACACAAATTTACAGAAATCTGATGCACCGAGCTCTTGCAAACCGCCATCTGTCTCACAGAGAACAAACAATATAAACACCGATAAAATAGTCAATCAAAAAGCGAGCTTTTCGGGTTCTGATAGGAAACTACGTTCATCGTATTTTGTAACCTGCGCCAGTTCGAAAAAAGATACAATAAGAACCGTGCCGAAGCAGGGCTTAATGGCTATGTCTTGGGTGCCTCGTTCGGCAGAAGAATTTATAGACACGGGGCGTAGCGATTCTTGTTAAGGAGGGTATTGAGTTTCAATCGATTGACGTTGCAGAATTTTGTGCGGAAATGGTAAGCGAGATATTGCAGTGGTGAAAATTGTTCACTTTAATATCTTAGTGGTCACTATTTATAGATCGCCAGAAGGGGATATTCATTTTTTCTTAAATAAACTCAACGATTTATTTAACTTCATTAATGTTGGAAATAATAAAGTTACTTTGCTTGGGGACTTTAATATCCATTTCCAAGAAAATGTTAAAAATTACAAAGACAAATGAATAAGCGTCAC